TTTCACCACTTCATCCGTGGAGCAAATTCCCCTGGAAAACAATACTCAAATGTAAAAAGGAATTAAATACTTTGGGAATTTTCATGTGTTTATCATGCTGAGAGTTATTGGCTAATATCGATTTTCGAGATATCACCATATCACAGTGGGTGGAGGGACTATGATTTTATTTCTACTGGCTACCATTTTTAACAGAGATCAAAACCAATTTGATCAATTTTAGTATTAATTATTCTTTACCATAGTTAAAACGCGGCCGCAATAACATTTCTGAATGGGTTAACATGAGTGCCAAAGCAAAAGGATACCATACAATTCACTTACAAAGCACTGTCAATAAGTTCTCCCCTGCTTGGAACACCACGCGACAGCATGATTCCACGGTTCATTTTGGCGGGATCCAGGGCCCAATTTGAGATTCCAATGAAAGCTACGCGCTGCGGTTTCTCGTCAGTCTCGATGATGTCATCAGCGGTTGTTACACCATCCTCGAGCAATGGATGTAAAGTTTTAAGAGGCATGAGAGGAGAGTCTTCTGCCAGACCAACCTCATCAAGGACTACCACTGAAACAAACTTGTCTGGATTTTTCCCCTCCTGTAACTTGCTACACTGCTTGAAAGTCGCCACGATACCCTCAGGGGTAGATAAAGGACTGCACTGATATGATGCCATGTGAACCTACCATGATATAAATAATTATACTGTTTTTAAAAACGGACCTTGAGGTAAACATAAGCATGCTACACATATAACTCTTTTTGGGAAGGGGAATAAAAGGTGCTTGGTGTGACTCTGAGATTAACTTCCTCTTTGCTGTGTACCTCCCAATTTCAAAACGTAGAGCAGAAGTACTATGGACTACGCGAAGTGCGCAAAGCCGATGGTGACCAAATAGCGAATGACTGACTTATATACCCCAAACAATTCATCGTTCAACTCCATTCGTACTTTTTGATGCGGAAATAAGCTTTTGTAGTAACGTGTCTCGACCAAGTCAACCTAATAACCCAGCCAGAGCTCGAACATAAATGTAACCAAGATATCGACTACTGCGAGATCAACATATCTCCTACGAATTCCCATTACGTCGATCCTAATTGCTCTTCCCTTAGGGAAAGAAGAATATGACATTATATTGTATCTTAAATGTTCATATAACCTGCTTGAAGGTCTTGAATAATTGCGATCTTGCAGCATCGCCTTGCATATTATCAGCAACAACCGTCTTCGCCAAAGATTTTGAGCTGCCTGGTTTTCCAACCACAAATAAAGGGATCCTGAGCTCAATGCACACCACCATCATAAACACATTTTCGCTCAAGGCTGTGTTGCGAGCAATGTTGGGGCCGAGATCCAACTCATTTAGCACAGCTTTTTGACAACTATCACAGACAAAATTGGAACACATAAGGTAAATTGCTTGCTTACATATGATAAAGAACTGGCAAAGGTGTGAGTAAAAAACCCGAACTCCACGAATCTTTTCTTGTTGATCAGACTTCTGTTAATACCACATACATATGGATCAAAACAGTCTTTGTCTTAATAAAATATACTTCTTATAACTATCCATTGACTGGCCGCAGCAGACGTCTTTCTATTTTGGTAAATAAAATGTCCAAAAGGCTGGGTCATGAATTCCTTCGCATGAAGTAGACCACGTTGTATTAGACTCTCCTCATACCTTGAAATCTCACGGTGTATCTGCTTGTGACCACCTGGAAGCGAACATGGCGCCTTAAAGCTGCGGGCGACGACCGTGCGATATTCTTCACGCCGATCCTGAAGCTTGGCATGATAACAGACACCAATGGCGAGTACCAGGGCTCGGGTAAGAGGAGTGATTGAATCCTGCGGAATATACAAAATGATGATATTTTTAACCAGAATTCTTGCGGCCCCACTTTGTTCCCCTCAAACATAATTGGGCTTCCTCAATGATACAAACACCTATTTCTGGTTTAAGCAACATGATGTCTTATAGCATCAAATTTCCAACAATTCATTCCAGATCATTATTTTGGAGGATCATACAATAACTCAATAAGGCACGTCCAAAGTCCCCAAAACGAGGACTGTGTTCAGAGTTTACCATCTTACTTAGTCCAATTATCGTGCAAACAAACTGACTTTCAAGAAACATTTTCCACCGATTTGAGAGGATTTCTAGACTCGAGAATAGCTCATTCTGAAATTCTGTGGGATTTCATTTTCGGTAAAATTTTACTTAGTGGAGCATAAAATGTTAAATGGCTTTATTACCATCTCTTCCTCTTTATCATCTTCATCGATATCTAAACCTTCCTCCCTTCGTTGCTCAGCGGTAACCTTTCTCATAAGTCTACCGAGTGTATCCACGTGCTTATAAAACCAGACCATCACTTGCATGGCTCTCTCGACATCACGAAGACTAACAAAGCTGCACTCATCCTTGATTAAAAAAAAAAGGTTATTCTCACTTTGGGCTTGCACCGCCACCATGTGATTGAAAAAGCAATTTATAACACTAATGCCTCTAATGTGCAAAAATGGTGTTTTAAAACTTTTCACGCACCGATTGATCTCTCATATATTTTTGCGAGGCTGCCAGAACCTCAGCGACTGCTTCTACAGTCGAAGAGTCTCCTACTAGTTGTCCTTCGTGAAGAATCTGTCATAAAAACACAAATAAGTAAAATCAAATTGTATGAAAGATGGTCGAGGGGGGGTAAAGTGGCGTTTGCTCTCTTCACTCGAGGTTATTCCAGAATACGGAAAAAGACAAAGCAACAACCCTACCCTTTTTTGGTAGACTGATGTTTCATTTCCTTAAAAATTTATTCATAAAATTAGAGGAATATAAGTAACTAAATGCCGTACCTCCTGTCCTCCTGCCTCGTACCATGAATCAAAATGTTTATTTCCGCCAACCCTATCTTAGGTTCAGTGAAAATGTTCACTCAGGTCTCTTGAACATGTCACATTCTAGATTCATTTCTTTTTTATCTTTATGTCTTTAATAAATCTCAGATTAAATACACATATCTCGAGTTACAATAATAAAACATGTGACAGAGGACTGATAGTTTATGGGTTAGAAAGATCATTATTTGAGTTCAGAGGGACTATTAGAATACACTTACGTAACGGCTGACAATCTGGTTAGTATATAGTCTTTCTACATCTGGTTTCAGCTGACCAAAATCCCATATCAACGGGCGCATGCTCCCAGGGAGGGCGTGTACACGGTAGACGAGATGACGTAATGGGATATGACCTGTAGAGAACAATTATTACCAAAAAAGTAATTACCAAACGACCTTTTAATTCATTACTATGCTTTACCGCATTTGCAAGTGAGACACAATGTCCCTGTTTTTGATCCCGACTATTTTTTTTTTCCAGGGTGTAACCCAACTTAGATGATCGGAGCCTGTCGCACTTGCCGAGAGTCAGCCAATACGGAACTGTCGATGGGACAATTACCTGGTATGCAAGTTCCTCCCTTTTTAGGAATCATTCAACATTGAAGCTTCACAAACAATTCTGAACAAGGCATCACCTGTGATTAATAGATCCGTTAACACTCTTCTTTTCTCAAAATCAATTTTCAAACAAAATTCCTAGGAAATTCAACCCTATAACGTCCCCTACCCAGCCGATCTTCTGATTCATCTGCTCTCACGTGATATCCAAGACCAGCTGACTCCAGCTTGTGGATCATGTCATCTGTGTGCCTAGAAATACATATGGAAACAACACTTTGCTCTTACCATTCATTTCTAAGACACTTTACGCTTAGCTAAGCTTGGAGCGGAAGACACATGTTTTACCTTCTGTAAGGGTTACAGGCAGCGATAAACTGCAGCCTTTCTAGCCCTTGTCCAATAGGCCGACCATTGATTCTTCGGTCGACCATAACTTCCTTAATCATGGTCAGTGCCTCTGTAGTGTTGGCTTCATCAAAGAACAAAACCGTGTCAATATTCTTGTCTTGATTTTCGCGGGCCATTTCTTCTGCTTGGTGAACTTTGAGCTTGATGTCTTCGTATGTTGTACCACCATGAACCTTGAAAAGAAAATGGTGTATGACGAAATTGATGTAGCTGTAAAGTAGGTGTTACGTTGAAATTGTTTTGTTGGAGAGATTCCCTACAACCAGAGGGAGCACCACAAGCAGCTCTACTTCCACGATGAAAGTCACTACCACAACCATACGCAGCAGGAGCATCAACAAAAACTACCACTAATAGCCCAACTTTTCCAAACACCATTAGCAACGGCAACACCACCCTTACACTCTCCAGCAATACCCCCACTCTCCCCATTTTGCCACCACTACTACCACCAGCAGTATCAACACCATCCCCACCACAACCACCATCTGCACCACACCCACGGACAACCACACCAATAAAACTATCTCAATTTCCATCGCTAACACTTGGCTCCACCATCATAACCTAAAACATGTTATCCGCTATTATCACCACCAAAATATGGTGTTAGGACTCTGCTGGTAGAAATAAATATTAGAAATCTAATAATCAACTTACCTTAACGAGAAGCATGTTCCGGGGTCCTTCAGGCCCTGCTTGTAAGCCGCACATGTATCGAATGAGACGGGTCTTACCACAACCAGTCTCACCCATCACGATCACAGGGATGTTGCATCTGTAAGTGAGAGTTGAATTTGCTCTAAACCTTGCATAGCCTGACCTTAATTTGTCTTAAAAATGAAAAGGGAATTATTAAAAACAATACATCACCACCTCTTACCTGAATCTCATGTGAATAGCCAGAATCTTCTTGACATTGTCTGTAGTTAATTCATAGGCTATGTCTGGATCGTACAACCAGTTTACCCCCATCACAGAACATAGCTGATTTATCTTGTCCTCTCTAAAGGAGAGTTAATATGTTGTACAAAATTCATCACACTGGAACAAACTGTCACGTAGGAACTAAATGCTTCGGTGAAATGCTGCTTTCCCCTCTACGAGGCGTATCTAGGCCGGAAGAACTCTACCCCTAAATGCCGTATGCATGAATCCCTTCTCCACGAGCTTTGCCAGTCTTACCATACACTTCGTAAGAAAAAATTCTTAACTTGACTCCTAAAGGAACCAAGGTTAATTGTAATAACTCTTCTTCAAAGAAAAATACCTACAAATGGTTTTATTGTCTGGCACTTACTTCTTGGAGGCCTCTATGTTTGTTGCAAAATCGACACGTTGGGCCTGCAGACCATTTCGCAAGGGTTTGGACATTAAACCTTTCTCCAAAATTTGACTTGTTTGTGGATCAACAAGATCACCAACGGAATTGATGAAGAAACCAAGAAACGTCATAGTTATGTGGTCTTGGTTGAAGAACAAGTAGGGGTGAGGACTGAATAACAAAAGAACAATCATGAGACACACTGTGTTCAAAACATGGGAGATTAATAGAGAGGATATAGTCCTTATCTAACAATTTTAGCACAAAGCGAGCTCGCAATACGATTGCTACGTGAAAGTTAACCTGTCTGAGTTAACCCGTCACAAAACAAATGGCAGCGATAATCAATAAAAATCTGAAGTTTTGAATTATAGCAAAAACAGTTAAGCTCTCACCTGCTTTCCCAGCGTCTTCTAAGTTGAAACTGTTCGATCTCTTTTCGCTCGAGCTCTGCGTTGTCCTCCGTATAAAATACAGTGTTCTCTTCTGTCAAAGATGGAGTAGCAAAATCCTACAAGGAAAGGAAATAACTCTTCATGGTACTCATTGATGCTGCAAAGCCACCAAAAGATGTAATAAAACTCAGAAGCTCCCCTGATCACGGTAATAAATCAAAACCCAGTATCCAAGTTATTTGGAGTCAGCAGGACGCTATAAGAAAGTTGGGTGAGCAAAAATTTGAAAAGCCAGCTTACCCTTGACATTTGTATCATAAAGCGCACAACAAAGGAGCGGAAACCTTCAAGATTCAGCACATTGGGTCCTGCTAAAACAGCCCTCATCAGCTGCATGTCACAAAAAAAACTTTGTTCACAGTCTCGGAGCTGCGAGTTCAAGAAACTCACAAAATGACGAATCTCTGACCACGAGGGATCAGGAATACCACAATTTCTGCAAATTAAACAGTAGTGAGTGACTATGATGGCAAACCAAACAATGTATTTTAACAACCTTCAAAAAGAAAGAGAGAATAATCCTTTCCTTCATGTATGTGCCTAAGCATGCAGATGGAAAGGGACGTCTCCCTTCAAAGAAACCTCTCATTTTCCATTTAAGAATTTGTTCAGGCTTAGAGTGCGTATATCGAGTTGTGGATGCACGCAGGAAGTTTGGAGAGCATGAAAAACGCGTAAGAGTAGCTCAAGGCGCAGACGCGCAGCTCAAAAAGCTAGAGTTGCTCTCGGCTACGCCTCGAGCTACTCTTACGCATTTTTCGTGCTCTCCAAACTTTCCGCGTGCATCCATAACTCGATATACGCACGCTAAGCATGAACAAATTCTTAAATTGTTAATGTACCTTTCAGCAAAGAACGAATTGACAAACACTATCTGTTAACACGTTTAGAACATTCAATTAGGTACGTGCAACAAACCTAAGAAGGAGCATGAGGCATGTCCTTTGATCTTCATCCACATTTCCTGGCGAAAACGTAAAGTTGTCAAGACTCTTTCCTTCATTTGACAGTTTCAGATATTGATAAACCCTCTGGAACGGTGCGTTTCGAAACTCTTTGACGTCAAACAGTGGATTACAGTCCTGTTTATCTAATAAAACAATTCAAGGAAACACTTAAGAACCAACCACTAATTGCTTGTCGAAGGGGAATCTCAGTTAAATACCTGGAGTATCTGCTAAACGGCAGAGAACAGTTCTTGGTGTTTGACACTCAATAGTTGGTAGCAGGTCATAAACTGGCCGCTTAGACATTGCGGATTTTCCAGATTGTCTCTGAAAATCAAAAGAGTAGTAGACATCACAAGAAGAGACAGTGAAGGATACAAACTACTTTCCATAAAGCAACTGATATTTAAATCACTTCTTGAACTCTCAAACTACCAAGATTCAGACCCATGTGCTTCCAGACATGTTCCGGGAGCACTTGCTTTCCACTGTTGGGGCACGGGTTTGGCTTCCAGACTACATTACGTTACATGTGGGTAACCTTCTCATTGGTGTTGCTCCCTCCTTCCACAAAACTCAGCATATGAAATTTTAATTCACCAACAAAACAATGGACGAAGCACCTTTCCCTGATTGTGCTACTGCATTATTCTGTTAATTTAATATCAACAGATGACATTCACCCTCTCTCCAACTTTTCACTCACCCCTTGACTTTGAGCTTCTTCCTCCCTGGCGAAACCCATGGGTAGGGGTGCAGTGGTCGTAATCTCAATGATGTACAAGTCTGTGCTTCGTCTCCTCCACACTCTCCCCATCTTGTCACAAAGGTAGCCAAGGACAAGAAGGTTGAAAATAAGGGCGTCCAAACCACGTCTCATCTAAAAGGAGAACATGACATGTCATAAAATATTGAGATAAGTAAATTATGTTAAGTAGAGTAAGTAGATTATGTTAAGAGCCTGGAAAGCTTTAAGAAATTTAAATTCTGAATTTTTTATTAGTGCTTCCCTAGCTGCTTTAAATGATATGAAATTTACTTGAAATAACGTTCGTTCAAGATCTTATTGACAGCACTTGTACATAAATAATGTTAATCTAGTCCTTTGAAGCAACTGAGGACACGCGCCGGTTGGGCATTTTACAAGTGTTGGCCACTGGAAATATTAATTCAAGTTTCAACTTGCATACGTTTAACATCTCACCGAAGGTGACACGTCCAGGTGGAATATACGGGACAGCGGTACATTTGCCTTCACTGCATGCGGAAGAAGTGCATCAACAAGCATCGACGAGTCTGTGGAATTCCCATGAAGAGGCACGGTCACGTGCAAGAATGTTTTTGAGTCCTTTCTCCGTAAATTTGTCATAACCATGTCGTTGTTTACGAGGTTAGGCAACTGTTCTGTTAAGCGACGAACAAACAGAGTCTTTCCCAAACCTCCTCGGTGTGATGAGACAACTCGAACGGAGAGTCTAAAAAAAAAACAGCATGTTAGCTGCACCAATCCTCATCAAAAGAAGCCCGCTATTTCGAACCATACCGTTTGGACCATACAACAGAGTTTCTCTTTTTGAAATCTTCCATTCTAGGAACAGAGACTTCAGTCAGTTTGAACAAAACACTTCTACAAACTTTGCTTCTTTCACCTGTATTGAAGGAAAACTTTTTCCCACACATTTTCTATTTTCTCCGGGATGGAGGCCTCCCACTGTCTTAATCTCTAGGAACATCAGCGAAAACTTACTTTTCTGGGTCTAAGGATCCAGCTGTTGTCCAAGTAATCTTACTACCACTGATGTAACCGTTTTGAGAAGGAGGTGCTTTGAACTGATGCTTGAGGTAACTTTTCAAGTCATCTGGCGAAGGACAAGGTGGAGCAGCGACACGATACTGATCAAGAGCTGCTACTACGTTGGCACGATCTTCATTCTCGCTACTGCAGATTACTACAATGCCATAATCTGAGAAGTAACAGAAAGCACTGACGATTCATATCCATAAACTTGACCTTCTAATGAAAAATATGTCATTTAACTCAAGTCAAACTCACGTTCTTCATTCTTGCCAGCAAGTCCCCGTGTCACTACACTAAGTATTTCCACTGCCTGCTTACTGACTGAAAAATCCAACACATCTGCGTGTGCGAGACAATAAAAGCGGTTCTCCATGTCCCCTATTGCACGTCTCCATAGCAACTCGATCTACGTTAAAAGAAAAACAGATAGAAGGAAACAAATTGTAATGATTGAGCCACTCAACTCATAGGCGGGAAATTTCCATACTTTCCTCAATCTGCTGGATATGAGAATCAAGATGTGGTGTTTTAAGCAACTATGCTCCTCGACTCATTTTAATATTAACGGTATGAAAACATGAAAATATATTGGGAAAATTCTTCCGAAATGTACACTGTACCTCTTCTGTGGTGGTGTCAGGAGTGCAAAGGAGCACCTCTTCATGGCTTGGCAAAGGCTGCTTTTTGTCATGCATATAAAGGGCGAGGACTGTAGCAAGGATGTCATCTACAACAAAATGGGTAGGACAAAGAACAAATCATAGTAGAGAAAATTTGCTGTCTTGTGAAGTACAATGGGGAATACATGGTAGCAAGACTAAAATGATTCTAGTTATTGAACTTTAATCCAATGTACCGATCTGATTAGGAGCTCCCTGAGTTCCTGTTAGACTTACCTTTAGGAACAAGCATGAGGTTGGGTCGTCCCCTTTTTAAGAATGCTGGAAAAGTGCGAGCTGTCGCTCCAATTCCTGAAATGGTTCAGCAAATAGAGATAATTTTGATATCACAGCTGAACATTTTTCATTCACCTCAGCAGCGGTTTTAGCTGTTTTACATGAATATAAGTGAGCGTTTTACCTAGAACTGAGAGTTCTCTCAGGATGATTCCAAGCTGAGTGAGTGTAAGATATTGACTGATCTCTGTTTCGTTATCTTCGTCTTTGCTAACCGCGTGCTCTTCAAAAATGGTTTCAGCAGGCTTGGACGACATCTCCAATACCTGGTCTGTGTCGGTTTCGTTTTCACTGAAGTAAAAGATAAATAACAAAATCTCAATTTTTGATGGTTACTTTCATATCTTATCTCGAAAACCATCAAGTTGACATAGTTACTGTTAAGCTTACTTATTCTAACTTGATAACAAATTGCAACTTTTATATCAAAAGGAAGCATCCTACGCAAAACAGTGACATTAGCTCTTTCTCTTTAACGTTAAAATTTTCAAGTAATTGTGATTAAATACTTTCTATATAATAAGCTCAGTTATGCACGCATTCTGATTGGTTTTAACTTATGATCTATTGGAGGACAAACGTATAGAAGACGTCATCATTAAAACTTTTTTTCCCGTATATTTTAAGTCTTTATTACATAAAACAAATAGATTCCATGTCCTTACCACATTTTGACGTCATCTGTGATCTATTACTGAACAGACGCACGGCAACTTGGAATCTGTTTGTTAAATAGTTATTCTACGATGATGTTCCTTGTTGCACCAAAGTTAATTTAGTTGGTATAACTAACATACCAGAAATCTTCTGCTGGCACATCCTGATCAACAGACTCCAACCCCTCTGGGAATAATTCTCGGGCAATCATGGGATTTTGCTTCGCATCTTCGTAAAGAGCCTCGATATCAGCCTCGTCGGCTTCTTCAAGACACCACAACAGTAAGTCGTCTTCTTCTGCATCAACACCTAGCCTTGCCAAAGCAGCCAACGCGATCTGCTCCGAATAACCATCATCGGCAGCTGCATTCAAGAAACTTTGAATCTTCGATGTTTCCTTTGGCTTCGGTTTCTTGACAGATATAGTTTGTACTCGACACGTACTGGTTGCTGTTGAAAAGCTCGTGCTCGCGTGGTTGTTGTTGTCAAACATTGACTTGCGAGTCACTATTTCATCGTCTGAGGGAACATGAGTGAATGAAGGCAGCTCCGCTGTTCCTCTGCGGTTCTCGCGTAATTCTGCGTCCTTAAAAGCACGCTCTATTGCTGATTTTACCTGTTCGCTGGTCAAACTGGGACGAACACTTTCCAGCAAAGTGAGCACTTGAATGTTGTTCATAGCGAGGTCGTTGCTGTGGCAAACTGTGGCGATTTCTTTCCTCAGTGTCATCAACTGCTGCGTGGTGAAGAAGTTCAATTCCCTATACTCCTTCCTTGCATCACTGACCTTCTTCTTCCAGTTCTTGTAACACGTTTCCATGAAGGAGCTCTCTTCATCCAATTCCTTCGCAACAGACTCGCCCGCGACTTGATCTTTGCTACAGTGATATTCTTGGCTCCAATTCATACGATGAATGTAACCAGATTCAAAGAGGTCGATGTATGCAGTTGCTAAACGCATGACGCCTTCAAGATTCTATAATTCGATAAAAATAAATTACTTTTTAAGTACCGTATTTAATCGATTAAACACTGCCCTCCAATAAACGCCACATTTTAGAGCAGGAATATCAATAAACGTCGCCCTCGAATAAACTCAAAAAGAACGCAAAAGATTGTTGACTACCAAGGCAATGATAGACAGGTTGCTGGTTGATCGCTATTAGCCTAACTCTACTTCGAGTGCTTCATTGAAGATAGTATTACGCATTGCAGTAAAAAAAAATCGACCGAGTTACTGTGCCAGGAGAGTGCATCAAGTATATCTAGCCACCGGACGTTTGCTAAAGCAAGCCGTTCAAGGCCGCTTCCTCTGAAAAGTATGATAAATGGCTGGGTACCGTGGGAATTAACGGAAATAACAGCAGCTGGAAATTTAAAAGAAACCTCGAGGAGAACAATTTTGCTGCCGGTGCTTGATTCCAGTGCAGAGATACCCACAGGGGTCATAAAAAAATCTATCTCAAGCTGCTCGTTGAACCTTCCCGTGGCCGGATCGAAAGGCAGTAGGCGACCAACACTTTGAACGCATTTGGAAATTCTAAGTGAATCAGACACAAATCCTTTTGAATGTACCATTTTTTATATCGAGGAAGCATATCCATATTACATCATTAGTACTCAGATCATGAAGAGGAGAGTGATATTGAAATTGCGTGATATTTTTTCACTTTCACTTTATGTATTGCAGTAGTATTAACATGCAAATTGTGAAATTGAAAACGATTTAGAAAATGACTTTTGAAACAAGCTCTAAAACATGTTTCTTTTTATAAAAATCAAAATGGTCAGTTACCATACTAATGTTTGCAAGAAATGTATTGGATTGTAAATAAACGTCGCGCTCGAATCAGAAAAAAATTTAAAAAACCCCGCGGCGTTCAATCGAATAAATACGTTATCAGGCAACAACTTCACTGGAAAAACTGTCCTCAAAACTATTGTATTTTCACTTACCCTAACGAACTGCTCCACGTCATCCTTCCCTTTTTCAGCCTTTCCTGCGATCAACATCAGTTTACTCTGCAAGTCCTTTAGTTCGTCAATCGAATAAGTTTTTCTCTGCTCCTTTTCACTTCCTTCTCTAAGGGGAACCGTCAGTCGGATCACATCTTTGAATGACAATCGTTTTCCTTGTTCTGGTGACGGACCTTTCTCGGTGTCCAAATGGCCCACAAGATATACACCACTGGAGTTGATCGTCTTAGCCTGCACTAATGACGTCATGGCAACCGAGCCATGAGACTCTTTGACAGTTTTAAGCCACTCCAAATGTCTGTTTGTGTCGTACTGCAAGAAACAAAGAACTCGGGTATCAATCACGTATTTGGTCCCACTGCCAAATTCCTTGATTTGCAGTAGTGTACGAGGTAAAATCAATGAAGTTTGAAGACTGAGCCAACCTCTGTAGGCCTCTTATGTTTGCTAAAAGGGAAAGTGTTAAAAAGGGGAAGTTTGTGAGGAAAGACTGAGAATAGGCATACAACCAAAAACTCGATTTAATGAGTGCAAAATAAGTAAAGGTATTCCAAAAGAGGTGAAACATGTTTTGCAAAGGTAAAAGCAAAGAAGATGTTCAGTAGGAAAACAATTGAACGGTTTCATTCTGTAATTCGGCTGTTTTACCAGCTTTCTGGGTAACATCTGATCCGTCTCGACGGCTTTCCAAACAGGATCACAGGCGTTCATCAGTTGATCAAAATTCACTCTTTGTTTTTCACTCTCTTTGAGGTCAAATATCAGAGGAGCAAAACCCAAGCAGCTGGTATGCAGACTGGATATGCGGTCAGTTTCCATGTCGCTTTCACCGGCAGAGATCAAAGCCAAGTCAACAAGAACCTTAAGCTCTTGAGTAGCTGTGAAACGAAAGATTCGTAACGATGTTTATTACTTCCTCAGACTGACGCTCAAGTGAGTTATTATTCTAGTATGTGTTATACAAGCGAAAAGCAATATTTTCATGCGTCGCGGAACACATAAACTTCTGTTGAATTTTAGGCAAGCTGACAAAAGCAGGGGAGACAACCTGGGAGATCGATAATGGCAACGGAGGGTTTCGTCTAGTGTTTCCGTATCAAACTCTCTATACGACCACTTTCCACCGCATGTCTCAACTTACATTTGATAGTAGAACGTAACCACTCCACGAGCCTTTTACTGTCTACCACTGCTTTCAGGCACTGAGCCTTATCGACATCCAAACATTGAAGAGCTTGACCGGCCTTTGAAAAGCTTTCCCCAATGCTGTGCAAGGGCTTTTGCTTGAATTCTACTGATAACTACATTAAAAAAAAGGAAAATGGAACACGCTTTTATCACATATTTTAATTTAGTATAAGTCAGGTGCACATCTCGTTTTCTTTCGCCGATAGCTTTTTGTTGTGCAAGATCTGTCGCAAAACGAAATTACACCCTCGGGTTCATAGAAATTTTTTCCTTAAATCAAACTTCAAGACTTCACTAAAAATCAACAGAGCTTCCTCAGTTTGGGTAGAATATTTCCAATGCCACGAACAGAAATTGTTTGTAGCGAAGCATACTCGTTTGCATAACGATGTTGTCAATTCCAGATGTGGTTGGCGACGTTTCGATCGCATCCTTGACTTTTGCAGGCGCTTGAAGAGGAAGACCAACACCTGAAAAAGACATCGCGGTCTACATCGGCAGTAGTAGTTCCTAAACTTACTCGGCATCGTCAATAATCAAAACTATAACAAAATTCTCGAACATAGTAGATTATCACCAGCCCAATTTGAGCACTAATAAGACATACTTGTAACTGGACAGTGTAATAAGGCAGTTAAAGGGACAGTTAACACGTCATGCCTGTGCAAGTAGACAGAACGCATCATGTCCGCGCGCAGTTGTCTCGCCGAGTAAACTAGTTTTTCTTATTACGTAAATGTATAACCAATGTAAGTTTCTTTCCCAAATTTTTTCATACTTTCGATCAATTGGAAGAAAGGACTTCGTCCAATTCTGTCTGTAATCACACTCGTGATTGACAGTTCGCATTCCCGCTTCGCGCTCGTACGATTTTGTTCATCGCTCGTATGATTACTGACCGAATTGGACTCCCCTCAGTCCTATTACCATTTTTAAGCAATAAGGACTATGATACCTGATTACGCAGATCTTCAACAACTTTGAAGTTCCCGGTAAAACCCATTGCCTCTTTAAACTCCCAGATGGTGTCTGCTGCATTGGAATACTGATGAAGCTGTTGGTAACGTTTAATTTGAGCAACTCGCTCTCTAACAGTTTTATTTAATTCTTTGGGGTTTGTAATTGTTTGACCTGTGTTCACTTTAAACATGCAGGATAACTCTCCCTCGAGTTCACTTTTGCGGTTTCTATAGCTGTCAAAGAGCTTGTCAACATCTCCAAGAGAAATAGTTCCATCTTTGACACTGGCAACATCTTTCGTCCAACTTTCAAAAGCTGGTGTCCAAACGTTTTCAACTACATCGGAAAGACTGAGATGTCGTCTTTTGGCCTCGTCATTCTTTCTAACTGTTTGAGCTTTTGTTTCATATCTCGTCCAAAGGGCTTGGAACGTTAAACTCTCTCGAACTCTTCCAAGGATCGGGAGAACCTCCTTTGCGGCTGAGGTTAATTGGAATAACGTGATCTCGATTTTGTTGTCGTCTAAGCGTTTGCACAAATCACGAATCTGGTATAATGTAACATCCAGCTGCGCTCTACTCCTAAGGTTGCCCAAGTCGACTGTGGAGAAAATGATCATTTCGCCAGTTCTTTTATTCTTTCTCATTTCGAAGTTGTAGTTGTAATGGAATCATAGAATGAAGGTCATACTAAGCTAGGCAAAGTCTGTAGATCTAAATACGATTTAATTTATTTAAGGTAGTTCGCGATACGGAAAACTTTCCCAATCAAATGGAGACCGAACCTGAGGATAATTACACCTCTTAACGTAACTGAAAATGGATTAAAAAGCCAAAAGAGGAGCGAGTTGGCCATTTTTTGGTAAACTAACCCTTCCTGAGGCAAGAACGAGAAAGTGATTGAAATGATAATCGCAATTAATACCGTTCCTTGCCGCCAAACATTTACAAAACTAAAAGCCAATAGATCACATCAGCACAGATCTTCATTTTCTGTTGAGATGCATAAGTGTCAGGAGGGAGATTTAAAATAGTGCAAATTCAAAATTTTAGGGCGAAGGAAAGGCATTTAGTATATAACGAGAGATGCAGAGGTAATAATAGGAGCAACATGACTGGCTCTTCAAGGGTTCAAACAATTTTTTTTCTTCGGAGCTCACCTGGTGGGACTACATCACACATTGCAATAAATCTCCCAACATTTTCCCGTACTGTGTAAAATTCCTCAATTTCTTCAATTCGTTGGACCACGCTAAGCTCAGCATCATTGTTATCTACACCAGACGCTGTCTCCAAAAGTTCTAGAAACGTTGCTTTATGCTTCTGGACAAGAAGTAAAACCTCGACCGTTACTGAGCCATCTAACATAATTCTTACAAGAGCGTCCAATAACGACTTAGCCTGAAACAACTTCTCCAGACCTGCAGGCGTAAGTATGCCGCTTCTTCCAGACTCATCTCCTGTAAAGTGAAACAATCAATTACAATGTACACTTTGCGAGGCATTAGGAACTGAAATTGAACTACTTTCCTCCGTTTGAGAGGCTCTTATTCATATTGCCTTGATTTAAGATTTTTTATTGTCCCCATTTATACTTTCCACCCTTCTAAATTTTTTCTTTTTCTGTTCTCATAACGAAGCTATCACTCTAAAACCTACGGAAACGTTCGTTAGTTGAATTCATTGTTCAGTGATACATGTATGCAGCGAGTTATGCAAACACACTCCACTTGATTTTGAATTTAGCGTCTAATGTAATCTGATGGTGAACTGGTTTTGCTCTGTGACTGGTTGAGAAAACTCGCACCATCCTCTCTACAAACTAGACGTAAACCAAAAATAATGACGCCTCGGTTACTCGCGCTTTCCCGCTCATTGGTCACAACTAGCCCAATGTCTCATTGGCTCATTGTTATGATTTGCCACTGTCGTCAGTGTGGTTTAGGTTTAATGTGCCATTTTGGGCAAATTTTAAATACAGCTGGATCATACAGTGGAGGGATATGATCTGAGCTTACCAAAGAATTTGAGGTATCCAGTCATAGGTTTCCAGGTCAGAAGAAATTGAACAGTCTGAGGATCCAAAGAAGACGTGTGTGTTTTCTGTCCTTCCTTTGGCCAGGACTTTGTGAGCAACATCGACAAAAGCTCGCCATATTTTCCTGCTTTTGAGTGTGTATCAGGTTGGTTACATTTTTTTGTGATCACGTAAAATACTCGCTCGCCCACTCCTACTTTTTCTGACTAAACAAAAAATGCCAGAAAACTATCAGTCTCCGTTGCAAAATTAGTTAACTCAACTCTAGTTCTTGATGGAAAATAAAAAGACAAATTGGGTATAAAATAAATAAGTCTAATATAATCAGAAAAATTTTTCTCCGGCACACGTTTAGCAGTTAATTGTTACAATTCACAATTTACTGACTTTAACTAAAAGCATGCACACACTTACGGAAGCGTCTCTTTCTCCATTTGTTTAATTGAAAGTATCCAGGTTAGTTGGTGACTTGATTTGTTTCTTTGTTAGTTATGCAGTTACCGATTACCCGAGAAACTATGCCACCTCCAGACTTAAAAAAAAGCAAATTACTACAGGAAAAAAAGACCTAGATATCTTGTAGCCCAGCGAAAATGTTATAGTTAAGGACAACGGGACGAAATCTGAATTTTCTATGCGTGGAAAAAGGTTCAGAACTTGACACGCCGCAGTCTTCCTCGCCTCCGCGATTTACCATCAAATGTAAAACTGTTATTAACAACTCACGTTAATAATCCTTTCCACGGCCTCAAATGCAAGGTTTGTGAACAGCTCTCCAACACCTTTTTCAAAAGCATCCATATCCACTTCACAAAAGATGTCAACGAGGTACTTTTCCTCCAACTGAAAAACGAGGAAGCATTCCACGAAGTTTACGATAAAGCAATTCTTTAAAGACATTTATGATGAAATAAATTCACTTACTCTTTATAAGAATTACATCTAAAGTACTACGACGTAAAATGCGGGTCGGGTCCTTTTGAATGCGTTCAATCGTACACAAAGGTCACTTTTCAATACCACGTGAGTTCTTACTTACCCGTCTTGCTCGAATGGACAATTCATTAATCAAGAATTCCCGATAAGCGGTGAAGCCTTGTTTTTTATCTGTAACCAAAAGTAGCTCACTCCATACCTGGAAAAAATTTTAAAAAAATCGACCGCATTGGTCTTCCTTGCAATACTAAAACAATCGAGTCGAAGCGTAAAATAAATGTATTACTTTATGACCAATTCCTATTTTCCTGGGGGGGGGGGGATACAAAATACTTAAATACCAAAGGTTTTTTTCTTCTTATATTGCATTTTCTTAACTATTCACATACCAAGAGTTCATCTGCTAAAGCATCGCCTCCGTAATAGTACGACATGTAGGGAGACAGATCAACTCTCAGCCTTGTTCGAAGGCTTGCTAATAACACTTTGATGGCTTCGTTCTCGTTTTTCTGCCTTCTCTCCTGATCCGCACTCTCATCAACTTCTCGTCTCTGTCTGCAGATGCTTGCAAGTAGCAGCTTTATCACTTGGCAGATGCAATCCAGGTTATTCCGAATGGTTAATTCTTTAAGACAAGCTTCCAACAGCCGTGTACACATTAAAATTGTAAACCCGAGAGTCTTCAAGTTGGTGCTACAAAAATAAATGAAAATCAAAGGGCTCTTAGAGCCAGCTCATTCATGTTATGGCTTAAGTTTGTATCGATTTCTTGGACTTATTGAATATAGGTGCAGTTGAATTCGGTTCATGTGAACTTTCAAGACTTATGGAATAAATTCTCACTTATTTTTGGGCAGTTGTGTGATAAGAAAACTTGTGCATTCGTCGTAATGAGAATTGGAAAAAAGGTTGTGTGAGCTGGAGGTAGGATGGGCAGAGGTCATTAGGCAGACAGTGTCCTTTTTGTTGGTGTGTATGTTTGTGGGGCGGAGGGTAGGCTGGGTGGGCATAATCAGGTATCAAATATTGTTATAGCAGCAAAATATTAGTAACCCTCATCTTTCACGATCAATTGCACTATTGTGAAATATTCCTTTCCCGTTTCTTGATATCTTTTGTTTTCAACAAAGCGGCCATTATATTTGGTTTTTAACTAAGCGGCCACAATCGTTCTTAATAGAATTTCTAGCCTTCATATGGTCTGATTTCCAAATACTAATGAACAGGTGAGAGATAAAACCACCAGAAAAAGTACACAAATGGCCGGTCACGAAAGCAACTCTTTGCTTTTCCCTTTAAAAATTCGCTGGTTCCTCATGTGCTAAGCCAATAACGATATAAGGCACATATGGAAAATCAGTGTGTGTACCCCTAAACGCTGAAAATATATCAAGTCGAAGGAACAGTTTTGGTCTCGGTCCGCATTTTTGTCAACAAAATGAACACATATCGGTTAAAACGATGAAACGTACTGACCACGTGCAAAGCTGTCAATTGTTTCTCGAATATTGCGCGTGTTAAATATTCAGTAGTGGCATCTCATTAACATCTACATCTACTTCCATTAAGTTGGTAAATTCTGTACCGACATCACACCAACCAACTCGCGCGCAAAATGAGAAAACTATATGAAGGCTTGAAATTATATTAACAACAATTGTGATCAAGAAACGGGCAAGGAATATTCCACAATAGTGCAAATAATCATGAACTGGATGATCGCGGAAAAGCGGTAAGTTGCAAGATGACATGTTATCATGTATCAGACGAAAAAACAGTATAAATTCTCAGTCTGCATTTTGTACCTAGTCAGCATTTTGTACCCGGTATGCAGTCTGCATTTTGCACTGACCGGATTGGTATTGCTGTTTTTGTTCGAGCAACAGATAGGAGAGATAAGAAGGCTAATTTAACAGTTCACAAAGGAAAACAAACCAGGCACGCCATGGAAATAGCACTATCACGCAATTACGTTGAAAAAAATGTCAAACTGATACCCACCGAGTTGATTCCTGGGCCGCTTCTAGCTGAGAACACATCTTTTCTATGAGCCCCATAACATCCTTCCACTGTGGATTGGAAATTGCCATAAATGACACATCTTTATAAAACGTACATAAAACTGATCCGTATGAAAAATAGAGGTTTGATTGGGGAAAGAAAAGGAGGGACGATTTTAGTTCTCCATGTATCTGATGCTCTTTTATAACACGATTTCAATCACAAAAAATTGGATTTACTCAGGCTAACCCGCAATCTTTATGTTTAGAACACAAAGAATCTGATCTTTGGAATGCTATTATGAAAGATGAAATTCGTCTGGACGCGTAAGTGGGACAAGGAGAAAAATCTGAGTTAATGAGGAATCAAACTTCAGATCTTCGGATTTCGCGCTCCGATACTACAGCTGAGGTCATAAACTCTATGACGAGCCTGGTCATCACTAGATTCACACATGACATGCGTCCAGTATACTGCTAGGATCAGCAATGTTACCTAAGCTACGTAACTCAAACGTTTTCGAAAGATACTTCCATTCAGAGGAGAACCGTCCTGGTCCACAAAAAGTCTCCTGGACACTACGGATTTTAGTGACGATGTAATGCCGTATCAATTCAAAGGTAATCTCTAATATATGGGTCGCTTACCTTGCCAGCAGGCACAACATTACGGGAAAAGAATGTAACTAGGGCAACGCACACATCATAAATGTTGAATTCTTTTGACCCAACAATCTTGTCTAGTTTCCAAACAGGAATGGCGTGAAGAAAGGTTCTTTTAAGCAGAGGGTCAACTTCAAAGGATGGAGTGAGTCGAAGTGACAGATCCAGAAAATTCCTACGTCAAAAATGAGAAGCTATTTCAATGACTCATGCATGCTCCTCCACTTTGCAATGTTTCATACGTCGTTGAAATATCTATTGACACTTTGTGCAAAGCAACTTCCTTATTCAGACTCAAGCAAGCACGTGTCTAACAAAAAAAGCGACACTTAAGTTTCACAGTCTGCTGATCAATATTTTTATAATTATATTCTATAACAATTCTATGTGATATCGTTTCCTTACGTATGAAAAACAAAAATATAGCCAATAACGGACTCTAATAGAGATGAAAGTATGCAAAATAATTTAAGTAATTTAATTCCCATTGGATTGTTGTTATAAATAATTTAGTAACTAATTACATTTCTGTTGCTGATCTTTGAAATTCTTTGATGTTTAGGTTCTGCGCTCCAAACCACTCTGGTTTGCGGTAAGATCCTTCCACATCCGGCTCTTCGAATGGCTTTGAATCTCCTCTCAAGAAATGGAGTAGTGGCATAGCAAACAGCCAATCCTCCTTAACTGGCTTCCATGCGTGTGTCATGATTTCGTTGCAAAGTTCCTCAATCCCATCAGCAGCAAATCTAAATCGAACAAAAATAACACAAAGGAAATTTTTTTATCAACCAATATTTCTACAGGAAATCACATGATTTAGGGTTCAGTTCGGAGTAAATAAACACGAGAATTTGAAGACCAACAAAATTGAAAATACTCGCACGGTTCGTCGAATTTGTATAGGTAATCACATGATTTCGAGTGCAATTTGGAATAAATAAGCACGAGTAAATCAAAGACTAACAAGGTTGTTTATTCCAAATTGCACGAGAAAAATCATGTGATTACGTGTTAATAATATACATGGAAAAATACGAGATGGCTTATCATAATTAAATATAAGCTAAGTGCGCGCATCAAGTGGAAAAAATAATTTATTCAAACCGTGCGTTCGGTCAAAAGAACCGCATGGGATCAAAACAATAATAGGCAATGATATCTTCACATCTTTAAGGTGCAAGAAAGTTCAAAGTCCGACAAAACAGTTCAAGTAATATTTCAGACTGTGTCCGAAGCACTTTCGATGAAATGGAATCATCGTTTCCGAGGTTTAACTAAGACTGTTTTTAATTTTGGCGTTGGATCGCTCGAGCAAAGTGTTAAGCTCGGCTCGTAATTTTCGATTTCCTTGGCAATTCCCTTCTCTAAACACCACTTTTTCCAAACTGACAACCAAAAAGCAGTGCTTTTTATAGTGTTTTCGTTGTTTAAGCTGTTTTTCAGCTGCGGTGGCGAAAGAAAACCTACTTAAAACGCCGGTCATTGTTTCGCTCGCAAATTTTCAAATTTTCAAATTTTGTTGCGCCATCCAAGGCTTGCATTTGATTGGCTATCTGTGAGTTTCTTTGATTATTGACCAATCAGAATGTCTGATTTGTTTCTTTCTTTGCATTGAATTAACCCTCTTCTGCACTGAATTAACTCTCTTCTGCACTGAATTACCTGAAAACTGCATTTATCTTAACCAATCAGAACTGAGTAATTTTTCCATGTATATTATTAGTGGTAAAAAGTTCACAAAAACATAATTGCACTAGAAAAGAAATGTGATTAATTATTTCTAATACACATGAAAGAAAAACCTGAGATACCTTTACATAATTAGCAGACCGCGTTTATCAAATTTGTATATTTTGTTAAGCACAATTACTTACTTTCTTAGGCCCTCACTAAACTCTTCCAGAATGACTTCGTATATGGTACATTTTTTCTCTTTAGGATCTGCTTCAAGCGACAAACAATCTAAAAGTGTGAGTTTGTGTTCCCTTGGAAGGTCTGGTTTGTATTTCTTGACAAGTATGACAATTGCCAGAGACGAAACCAACGCTGAAGCTCTGGTTTTCAAATTCATTTCTCTTCGGGACAATATATCAGCGTTTTCCTTCAATTTCGGTTCCAAGAGGTCCATCAAAACCTTATCAAAAACAAAAAATGAATTTCCACATCACCATGAATGCAAAACATAGTTGTATCTTCTGAAAGTAAAAAAAATGTCTATAACTTGTACAATTCTGGAGTAATCCCGGAATCCAAATAAATTTAATAAGTACCATGATCAACCACTCGATTGCAAAAACTTTGACACCTAAAATACAACAAACAATGAGACCGAACAGCCCTATGGGTATACACGTACGTGATACGCTAAGAAATATGTAGTGAAAGAAAATAAACTATCCCACGAAAGGGTTCTGATAAAAAAAAAAAACAAGTAAAACTACAGATTATGTAAATGCTCGGACACTGCTGACACAGAAACTCCCGGCTTCATCGTATCTCGTTCATGCTCTTTAGGTGTCGAAATGTATACCATCAGACATCAAAGTAAGAACTGTCAATTTTAGTCAATTTACCGTTTTAATATTGAATAATGCTGGTTGCTTCTTTTCAGCCCAGAATTCGCTCTCCTTAACCCAAGAGCTGGTCAAGCCGTCAACAACTTTATTTAGCTGTACAAGCGCCTTTGTTGCATCCATTTCCTCTACAGCCTCATTGACAAAAAAGCCTTTCCACTTCGGCAGGTATGCAAGCACAGCTGCTGCGCGATTTTCCACCGTTTCTTCGCTACGAAAATAATCGTAAACTCGTTCCCACCAGCGCCTCTCCCCGTAAATGTAGCATACTCCATCAAATTGGTGCCATACCTCTGAACAAACAAAAATGACCAATTGTTACTGGAAATTATGACTATCATTGTTATCTTTATTACCATCAGTGCAAAATGTTCTGAATGAATACATAGAAAAAAACACATTGTGGGGGGGGGGGGGGCAAAGCTTTAAAGGAATGCAACACTGATAAGCTGGTATTATCCTCAATCTTATTTAGCTAGTATAGGCTAAGAAAATGTCATTATCATTATCATTATTACTGTTGTTATCTTTACCTCATCACCAACTTAACTATTCCATCCCTCTTCTTATCAATCCCCCCCAATTTTATAATCTTACCTCCAGGTTTAAGATACTTTTCTGGAATGCGAAGAAAGCGGTTAACAATTCCTCCACGATATCTTGGTAGAAACTCAGCCAGATATTCATAGTGAATATCTCCTTTCTTAATCACTGCGTATTTGTAAAAGGTTCCTTTCTGGGCAAATCTGATACTAAGAGTAAATTGGCCCTTGAAACGCATGAGCTTTTTGTCTTTCCGTCTAACATTCCTTTAAAACAAAAGAAAAAATTAATTATATTATATTATATCATATTTATATTATATTTATTATTATAAGATATTCATTGCACAGAATGCCGCGACACATCCGGGACCTGTTAAGACTTTCTGGTGATAAATTTGAAAATGAATTGACTAATTCTGCTTAAAAAATAAACCAGCTAGAGAATCTGCCAAAATACTTAACTTAGTTCTTACTTAACTTAACTTAGTTCACTTAACGCAAAATGAACACTTAACGACATATTCAGACAGCTGCGTGTGCTAAAAAGCGCAAACATATCAGATGTAATAATTTCTGTGAACTTCATGAGTTGTATTACATGGTGACCAAAAGACAGCCGCTAGGAATTATTGGAGTTCCGGGAATAATACAGCTTGACTGCTTTCCGCTGTACCTACGATACCTTCACATATTGTAACATTTCTCAACAATGACTGATACGAAATCATTTCATAAAGCAAACATCCGATGGAGTTGCCCTTCAAGCCGCTATAATGGCGAACAAAGTTTAGCTTACAGGAACATTAGTTTTCAAAGAGAACAATCAACTGATGAAATACACTATTTCAAATCGAAGTTCCTGTCTGATTCAGACTAGATGAAAGATCGTTCATCTATTCTTGGGACTTTGGCTGAGTTAGATCGAGCTTCAATTGAGTGTCCAAAGAATTCCGGGATTGTACTGGTTTTTACAGTGTATAGAGAAATCACGCCACCCGAGACAATTCGGCGTACTCCCAAAGCATCCCATTTTCTTTGAAATAGAGTAACAAGAACTAAAAATGGCACTTGGGGCCATGAAGGAATTACCAGTCTCGATGAGCTTTGCCGCACCAGGAAGGCGGGGTGAAAGTTCAAGGTCATGGTTATGTAGAATTTATAGATTAACTTAATTTGACGAGTCACGAGAAAAGTTTAAAATAATAGAGAAATATTTTGATAAACTTACCCAACAAATTCCAAGTCAACGCAGTTCACTTGAAAGTTTCCTAAGTCATCTCCACTGGCTCGTATATGCAAGCATTCCTCTTCCATTTTTAAGTTGGACACTAACAAAACATGGAACACTACAGTAACCCCAGCTTCTGCTTCTACTGGCTTCAGGCTAGTTGGCGGTTTTGACCTTTTTTAGGAAAATAAAGACAAAAGATTGGTGGTCTCTATGCCTCAGAGCTAACTAAATCAATTTAACTATTGATGTCCTTTATCTAGAATCCATTCATCATTTATTTATTTATCTCTTTGTTTCCTTGTTTTCATCTGTTTCTGAATGTCTATGGTCACTAATCCTTTTAGATATTCAACCGTCCTTTCAAACTTACGTAGAAGGTGGGTTACTAGTTGTGTCGGTATTTCCTCCTTTGTTCTTTCCTTTGCCACTTCGTTGGCTTGGAGCACTATCTGTTTGCGTTTCACTCTTTTGATACCATTGTCCACTCCCTGTTCCAGTAGTCTAACAACATTAATTACACACTTTTTTATTGTTTTAATTGTTTTAATCGTTGAGCAATCTACTTATCAAACAAAACTCTAATCTTAGGCATCAACAGTGTTGAACTCTCTATCAAGAAAATCTTGAGTGCTTCATTCATGAAATGCATTTCAATTATAAAAAAACGACCAACACTGTCGATTGCTGCAAAACCAAATCCGACTCGAAGGTTTATTACCATATTGACAATGAGAGAAAATATGGGGGACAGAGTTAAAGGCCCCCGATCCAGTTCATGACTTGAAATTTTTCAGTTCTGCAAAAGTTATTGTTTGAGAGTTTCAAGATAAGTCTGGTTTATAAGATGTTCGTAAAGTCTTCTTTTGATCTAATGTTCCACGAAGCGTTTTAATGGAGTCTACCTCTTGAGTAAGAATTCCAGTTCGGACGTTTCGGAGTAAACAGTTTCGTTTAACTTTAACGGAAATTAACTTTTAAGTTAAAAGGTGTGGGTGGGCTCATTAGACTCATTTAAAAATGGAATCTACCTTTCCCACCTTAAACCCTTATTGTTGCAGTGTGCCAAGTTTTCTCTCAGTGTTTTACAAGCATTTAAAAATCTTTCCCCACCAAAATGTTTCTCCTTTTTTCAAACAGATTATGAAGAACTACCTCTGCACTTTCTCTGGAATTGTTCCTTTTGTCACTGAGAGGATGTGATATGACAGGCTCTTTCCCTTCAGCGGGTGACTTAACCAGAGCAGTGCTCTCAACTTTTGCTCCGTCCACCTTTTTTCGCCCAATCTTAGATAACAGTGTCGGTTTACTAGATGTCTTCGTCCCTTTCTTTCCCTGTTCCTAGATCAAATCCAAAATCGATAAGAAAACGTTGCTAAAAATGGGTTATCGAATACTGCAAAAATAGCGATATTTTTCCTACAACTAGGGCGCGTTATTACAGGGAGAAGGATAAAAGTGAGTGAACAACCTTCTCTAGAACTGGCCACAAAATTCTATCAGACATCAGACAACCACAGAAAGTAGTCTACTAGGCCGAAAGGGTATCATTCCTGGAAAAACGATACCTCCTGGTTGCTCGTCAGATTCCGGATAGACAAAAAGTCTAATACCGACGAATATCCATTTGCAAAATTGCTGTTGCATTTCTCGCCTAAATACAATAATCGTTATGGGCGTTATTTACCTGAGCAGATTTGTCCTTTGCTACTTTCTGGGTGGTTGATTCATGAGGGGAAAGCGACTTGGGATTTTGAGAATTTGCATTGACACTCCGGCTTGAAGCAGACTGCCCGGGTGGTTGAGGGCGATGTTCCTTTCCACTTTCAGCTGCATCAGCCTTCTTTCTCGCTCCCTTGCCTTTACCCCCCTGTGACTGATTCGAAAAAGTGTCTGTGGCATGTTCGGATGATATCTTTGACTGCGTGACTTCTTTCTCTGCAATACTGGCTCCGTCATCACCTCCTGTCTGAATAGCATCTAATTCACCACTTTCAAGATCTGCTGGGCCTCTCACGCTTACACCACCAGAGGTTTCGTCTTTCGTGGCGTTTTCGTTTTCACCTACTTTTGAAGAACTTTCGTTAAACTCCACTTTGTTGTCAAAACTAGGCTGCCTCTCTTGTTGTAATGCTGGCGGCTCTCTATCACCTGGTTTATCCTGTGAACTTGACAGTTCTGCCCCAAGTGTGGCTGTGGCTGTGGCGCCAACCTGATGCGGCAGATTACTGTCTCCCATGGAAACTGAAGCCCCTGCTACTCGGGGCGTTGGTGGGGTACTCACTGAATCATGCTGGCTTTCTAGTGGTCCAGTATTCCTCTCGATTGGCCGATCAACCAAGGGAAAACCACCCTTACTGTCTAGCTGTCCTGGATGAGTTTGTTGACTTGACAAATTTCCATCCTCTTTCCTATCTTTACATGAATGCTTCTCATTTGGACCATCACCTTGGAGTAAGAGAAAAAAACCCTTTTCGTTATTTTTTCTTATCTTATCTTTTTTCTTTCAGTTATAACCTTAGGGTTTCGTACGGACTTTTCTTAGCCATATGCACCATATTGCTAAATGCACATACATTCTAAAGGATCGTTCCAACAAAAAAAATAAGGAATTGATCAAAAGAAGATTCAGTAGAGATCTCATCATAGATAAAGGGCTCTTTCATTTCGACTGTCTCTCTTTTTCACATTTCTTTGACATAATTTCTAAAAGGATTACATTGACTAAAAACTTGAAAACGATTATCAAGTTTAAGTGAACACTAGGTCGAGAAAGGGACGACACCTAAATTTTCTTCCATCCCGTATATTTGACATGACCCTCCTTTAACTCACTAGAAAACTCTAAAGCATCCCTATGACTGCTCCTCTTTCGCATATTTTGTCTTGATTTAATGCTTAAAAAAAATGTTTTCTCAATTTTGAAAGATTTTGAGTTTGACTTAAAGTTAACAAATCTTATTGCCTTTATGAACCCTTTCAGAAAGAAAGAAAAAATTAACCCTTTTCAGAAAGATACGTTAAAAAGTGACTCTTTTGTCTAGATTGAGGACAAAATTGTTCAAAAAAGAAGGTAGAAGTGAAGTTTCATTTATTGGCATCAAAACGTTGGAAACAGGCATTCTTAAGCAGTGCTGCACTTGTCAAAGCAATCAATAATGATCATGACAATTGAAGTTTTTGAGATTAAACCCATCTGAAAAATTTGAAACAGCTTTAAAAAAGGAACTGATGCATAGCCAGTGCACATAACTGTTGGAAACCAAAATACCAGAGGGTTAACATCATACCGAACTCAATCCAGAAGTTGTGGCATGAAAATGTACTGGTCAACTGAAGGGAATTAATTGATTTCATTTACATTAGTATATGCAAATGTTGTTTTTTTTATACATGTTTGCGCTCGTCAGAAAGGAGAAAATGAACAACTTAATGAACAATTAAAGATCTTAGCTGCTTAAAAATTTGATGTCAATTTCTAACTGTTCTTGATGATATTTTTTTATATGCTCAAAATCTTCCATTATGCTCAATTAATAATTCAAAATAATAGCTTTTAAGATGTCCTTAACCTCCCCCCCCCTTTTCCTTTAAAAAGTAGGTAAAAATTTTTCTAAGAATAAAAACCTTACTGAAGTTCAGAACATAACATTTTACTGGGTACAGGCAAGCTGAAATTAGCAGCCTCATTCTTGACATGATTACTCAGGCCACAGTTTTATTTCTATTTGAACTGCAACATCGAGTTAAAGTTTTTGGTTAGTCATCATGCCAGCATTGTGCTTGATTCTCTGACTATAACAGTATACCCACAATGATTCCAGCAAAATTTATCTGACCCTAGTCCTATGGGGGAGGCCTGGGGCCTACTTGGGTACACCATGAGTGGATATGTGCCCACATCTTTAACTTAGAACTCATCTCAAAACAAATTTACATGCAGAGTCCATTTGAGAAAATTACTGGATTTTTTTTCCTCATTTTCTGGATTGTTTAAATTATAAATCAAATTAAGACAAATTAACTTCAGCAAGTCATTGAACTAGAATAACCACACAAAAGCCTATTTCTGTCTGCATGAAAGAGTCTGCAAAATTTTGCCAACTAATCTTTTGCTTATCAAAGACTAAAGGAAAAATTTCAAATGGCTAGCTGTTCGATCATGTGCAAATTTGAGGATTTAAAAAATGTTTTTCAGCATTACACCCTGTTCTAAGAAACATCATCACAAAGAAGACCCTGTTAACCCGATCCCAGAATAATTGGATTTGGAACTTTGAGGAACTTTGAGGGAATTTCCCCACCTTGATGAAGCTGTATTGCCCCAATACTTGATTACTAATACATGAAAGATGTTTATCAGTAAAGTACCAGTGAAAATTTGTCAAGGACTATGTTAAAAAGATCTCAATCACACACTGCCTAACAGAAAAATAGTCAACCAAGTTCTCACAATTGTTGTCCAAATCATTCACTAGTATGTAATTTTGTACCAAATGAATATACTGCATGATACATGGACAAGCTGATTTCAGTGCAATGTCAAACTTGTAACAAATCAGACATCTTGGAACCTGAATTGAAAAGTTTTTCTCTTGTTTTATCATTGATCATGTTTCTTCTTTAGGAGTCATTTAAGGTCTGATTAATAAAACACTTTCAAGAGGGAAAATTTGGAGGAGGTACTCTGAAACTAGGAAGCATGTCAGACAGTTTGTATTCAGATGCAAAACAGAAAACCTGCTACATCCCACATATTTATGAGTACCACAAGAGAAAGATGATTCATGAATAAAGTGACCAATTGACATTAAGCCCATAATTAAATAAAATAGACTCATTAATTGAAAATAATAACAACAGTAATAGTGATGATAATTTATAGGGCAAGCTCAAGAATCTCACTGTTCCTCTATCTTTTATGCTCCAATAATGATTAAACTATGCTTCATTTGATTTTGCCTGTTAATCATAATTATTTTCTTATTTCATTGCAGTTCCATTTTTGTGAGACTTTTGTTTCATACAACAAGGCACTTAGCATTTTAGAATATTTTTTCATTTTCTGTTTAAGGTTATTCTGCCATCTCATTGTTATTATATTAATTTTTCTAATACAGTGCCTCTCCTTCTAATAAATGATAACCACTTGTGCCTGATTTTTTTTTTTCTGAATTAAATAAGACCCAAAAACAAAGACCTGGTAACGAAGACCGGAAAACAAAGACCCCTTTATTTCTTTTTTCTTAACAAGATCTTGTTATGGTTTCTCACCAGAAATATCCAGCTCCAGTTTTAACTCTTCTGAGAGTGATGAAGTATGCAATCAAACACCAGTTTTAAATAAAAAGACCCCAAAAACAAATACCCAAAAAGGAAGACCCCAAAACAAAGATCCAAAAGAGAAGACCAGAAAATGTCTAGACCCAGACAGGAAGATCTCAGACAAAGACCTGCAAATGAAGACCCCTTAGTTCCTTTAACAATATAATGATAAAGGATGTGGTCTAGTGTGAACTAAGAGCCTATAAGAACCCTTTTCATTTATTGGACTCTTCCCAATGCTCACTATACCTTTCTAGTCAGCTAGTTTAGTTTTGTTAGCTTAAAATGCTAAATTGAAGGCCTTTCAGCCAATCCACTAACATCAAAGCGCGCTATAATTAGCTAGTTTTTTCTTCTGTTTGCTCCTTTTATGTAATGCAGAATTCTGTAAGAAAAACCTCTCCAAAGCTTCCTTGGCCAATGACTGCTTTTGCACTAGAGGCTTATTGCATTAAAACTGCAGAATGTCCCACACTGCAGAAGTCACCACATACTTTTCTCCTAAAAGCTTTGGCAACCGGAATGGTGCAGACGTCGCAAAAGCCGTTTCATCAAAATCAAATAAAGAAGAAGGAAGGAAACCTGCCTTCAGGCAACACTGAAAATACTAAATTATTTTGCATTTGTCTCACTAGACCAGCTTGTTTGAAGAGCAGCTGGACTGGCTTGTATGAAAGAAGAGCAATGCCGTAACACCTATTGGTATCAGCCAGGTAAAAAGTTTACATCAGTGAGCTTTGATCTTATATTAGAATAAGGACATCAGGGGGCAGCAGTTACAAATTTTCGAAGGGCACTAGTGTTTTCTAAAATAAATGGAGAAGGCAACAAAGATCCTTAATTTCCCAAACAAATCTACAAGCATCATTGTATTACTATCTATAAAGTTTGATTTTACCTGAAAGGAAGTAAAAAGTTATATTTTGGAATTTAAAAAAAAAACAGTTACTTCATAGATAAACCATTTTTCACTTTAAATGATTCTTTTAATCTGAAAAAAGAGCATAGTAACAGCATAGAAAAAAAGGAACAAAAACAGGAACATTTGGTGTTTGATCCTTTTTGCCATGTTGCCTTAACCCTTTCACTCCCAAAAGTGATCATCTTGAAACTTCTCCACACAATATCCTTACATTATTCAGCAAACAGGTAATGAGAATACTTAAATTTATCAGGTAAAAGTTGTTCAGTTGATCTAACACCAAATTCTCATGACTAAGTTATTGATTTTACAACCTTTATTCCCCTCACACAAAAACCATTACAACATAGGAAAGAGAACAAAATACATATATATATGCTAATTCAAAAAAAGAGCTTGAACAAGAAAAGGATAAATTAAATTAAAAATTCCTGTGAAACAAAACTAAATTTAAATAACAACGGTCAAATATGCATAATAACAACATAAGTTAGAAGTAAATATGTAGCAGATAGAGGGGAGAATTAACAATCAGATCTTGGGAGTTAAAGGGTTAATATTACAATAACATCAACCAACGCTTCCGCCATATTCTTTTGGGTTCGTGTCTTGTTGTTTCCAGGCTCCACAGCAATGATGCTGGGGTACCAGGCCTCATATTCAAAGACTTCTTGAATTTTTTTTTCTTTTTTTCGGTTTTTCTTTTTACCGTTTTCCTTTTTTCGGTTTTTCTTTTTTTCAATCCGACCGATCGACCGACCCAATACAAGGAAAAAAAAAAAAGAAATGGCCTAACTGGTAACGGTACGATGCTTCCGGCCGTGAGCGGCTTATTATCATGCGTAACTTCGTCGCATGACGAAATATATTTGAGAGCACTTTCACTTTCGAAGGGCCCGGAATAATCCATCCTTATGGTGATCATGACTCCAACCTTTGCTTTTCATTATATATAGAAATACAATTTAAGACCTTTCCAGACTAACATTTAAGCTCTCTAATTCACAAATAGCCAGATCATTTCTTATGCAAGACTTCGATAGTAAGTCGACATCAATCACAGGAAGAAATTTAAATCGCACATGAAATAAAATTCCACTTCAAATTAACTTTTGAGCAGGGTTTACGTACATCCACAGAACCACCTTCAAACGGAAATTTTACCTTCAACATGTTCCTCACTAGTACCGTTGTCGTGCGTTATCGCTGTCCCATCGCCATTCGGTTCCTCGCTACTAACAGCTGGTACGATCTTTGGCTCCCTTGGTGGGTTATTTTGGCCGTATACCAGACGAGAACCACATTCTGGGCAGCATTTGAATTTAGGTAACAATTCTGTGTTTCCACAGTTTGGGCACTCCATCGTTTAAATTCACGGCCGCATCTCGTTGTTTAAACGCCACTCATGTCGCAAGCAGCCACTGAAATGTTGCGCACTCGCAATTAAATGATCTTGGAAATACCTCGTTTCTCAGAAATCAGGCGGAAGTGGCGAGGAATGCGAGACGACATTTAATTGGCTAGAAAAAAGATGGCTTTTATACTAGGTAATTAAGAGTGTGTCCACGAGAGGGCCGGGAAGGCGTGACACATGCCATCTCACCAATTTCTTTCAAACTTTCACAGTTTATGAGGGTCAATAAGTTATTCTAGAATTTAGAGTGGTTTTGGCTCCTGGCTAATCCCTGGAGTATTAAAGCCCCCACATCAAATCCCTGGGGTAAAAGGCTAGATTTAGCTCGAAAAATGTACCTCCAACGAATCTCTCTCACACTAACAGAATGCGATGGATTTTAATCTTATTAAGTCCAGTGATTGTTTGAACCTTTAAGAAACAATTTCTTAAAATTGCGGTAATTTGATATGACTGTGTCACGCAACTATTCCAAAAAAGAAAAAGTTAGGGTTTTTTAATCGCAAATATCTCCAATAGGCAACATTGTATGCCGCCAAACATACCATCACAAGAAAGACCTATCTTTCCACTACGTTTGTGGGCAAAAAATTTTTGGCGTCTGTAAACGATTCGCGATCACTTCCCTCTGAAATACGTGACCTTAATTTATGCAATTTTTGGTCATAAACTGATGTTTTTTCACTCAATTCCAATTTGAGAATGGGATCGCTGACGCCAGGTTTTGTGTTTTCTTAAAACAACAGATGTAGAGCTGCAGAGCTAGGTAGTCACTTATCATAGAAATTCTGTAACGCTGACTCAATCCATTGGAAAAAATTATTCATAAATGTATGTATACATCATAATTGATTAATAGACGTCGGCAATTGACAGCGACGTTTGCCAAATGTAATTCACACAAATGAAACACTTTATATACCTATTATAATTTTACTCGATGCGCCATATATTATTTTTACCTGTGGGAAGCTTTGGAGAAGACTCCAACCAGTTTACATTACAGGAAAGTTGTCTCTATTACATTTAACCGTGTAGGGTAGAGTAGAGTAGAGTAGTCTATTTTAACTTTCCGCCTAGGAGGCTATTCTGAGTTAATTACAACACTTTACGGGGGACTTTGACTGGAATGCGTTGAGGAGTTTGCAATTTTTGAAAGGGAGTGTCGCAAGTGCCCCCGATTTCGGAATCAAGGCAAGACCATACCGGCGTGAGCTACGTTCCCTTCTCTCTACAAAAAGTGCGTGGGTTGTTTAACGTCCCTTGCTGACCAGTCATTGCAAATTAGGGCTGGGATGCGGCCAGATAAAACCTTGCAACATCCTTAAGTGGTTGAAATACTTTTATCATATGGCCGTACGGCCCTGTACGCGCAATTCCATAAAAAAAACCGTAATAAAAGCTGTTACGTGAGCAGGTCCGGAAAAAGCCGGTCGGCCCTGCACTCACACGGCTTTGTAGAAAAAAATTAAAGGAAAAATGAAAATGATTTTAAAAAAAGTCGGTTTTTTGTAGAATTATGTGTCTAAATGATGGCGTAGCACCCTTTCATCCCTCCCCCTTCACCGTACTATTCAACAGCAGCCTTCGTGTCTGCCGGTTACCAACTAAGGGGAATTCAGTGCAGCGTCCTAAAGGGCTGCTCTGAGGATGTGCGCTATCCACTCAGGGATTACGTTATCTACGTCATGGTTTAGTTCTTCCAACTGGCATTTGCTCTGACCATCAATTAAAGAGATTCTTCTGCCAATCTGAAAAAATTGTGCTTACCATTAGATTAAAAAAAATTATCTTATGTTTTTTTTTTGTGTCCTTTCGACAATGCCAAACTTTCATAAACTTACTCGAATCAGAATCTTACAGTACAACTTCAGCGATCCCCAAGCCACCAAAGATGTTTGCGATCGCCGTCAAGCCACACTTAAAAGTCACACGACGCGATTCTTAAAAGGAAAAGATTGAATAGTACGGGGAAGGGGAGGGGTGAAAGGGTGCTACACCACCAACGCAGAAATTCAAGACTCTTTCTCAAAGATATCGAAGCACAGTATGGCTACCATTCAAGCCTTGAACAACTTTTCCTTTGAGTCTGAGAGCTTGGAAAAGCGCACAATGTGGACAAGTTTCTATCCCTGGGAAAGCTTCAGAACTATGGTTCTGCACGTGCACGAGGTACGTGAAAGTTTACCAGGAATTCAAAAGCCTTGAGAAACGTCTCGATGTTGGGCGCCACCGAACCAAGCAAAGTGGGTAGAAAACTGTAAAATTATGTGCTACGTGTAACCTTGGTGGTTCTCCGTCAACAAATTTATAATATCCCGCGACAACAGAATCGATTGCAGTACCAGCCTACAATCCATCTTTGGAGGGGGTTGAGCTTTGAAGAAGGGGAAGAAGTCTACAAGATTTTCTCAACGGGTGCGGTCATTTTTACAAGAGGTATTCTAACAAGAAGAAGAAACCGGCAACAAGGCAAATCATGTTTATGTTGCACCTAAATTGAAGTGTCTAAGATGAGGAATGGAGACATATTGTTCACCAAGGAGAAATGACCTTCAGTTGTTTGAACTGCTAGATATTTCAGCAGGCTATCAGCCCTTAATAAGGCCGATCTCCTGAATGGAGTTGTGAGTGCCTCCCTGGAAGATGAGTATATAGATCTTTTACATCTTAGAAGTCAACCTCACTCGTCAGAGCTCAGTTTTTGGTTTTTCTTTCATTTTTTTGTTTTGTTTTGTTTTGCTTTTTTCTGAATTTAATTAAGGTTAAATGTGACAGGAACAACTGTCCTGTAATTAACCTAAAATTCGATGGAGTCTTCTCTATCGAATGGCGCATTGAGTAAAATTATAATTGGTACATAAAATGTTTCATTTCTGTAAATTAAATTTGACACACGTCGCTTTCAACTATGTTTAATGTATGATATGTACATACACTTATGTATCAATTTTTCCAGTAGATTGTGTCAGCGTCACAGAATTTCTATGATAAGTGACTCCTCTGCTCGGCAGCTCTACATTTGTTGTTTTTAGGGCTCTGCCCAACTGCCCTCTGTCTATAAACGGCAGCCTTGTATTTACTGAACAGAGTACTGAGGAACCTCTTGTTAATTTATACGGTAAGGATTTTTGATGAATCCAAGAAGCAGTATACAATACGCGTAAAAGGACTTGGGTGGTATCAATCTTTACTTTTTTCAATTTTTATTTATCATTATAATTATCTTTATTTCATTACTTTGCTATCTTATAGGCTCAACAGTCTTTCTGTCTGTGTCACATCTTGGATTTGTGGTCCACAATTGCCGAAGCGCATGCGAAATTCTTGTTCAAGAATAGGCAGGTGCGTTTTACTCGATTGCTGTTACAAAGCATTCAAATCACCTTCAATTGAAAAAAAAAATGTCATCATCTTTTGAATGATGGTTAGATGTTTCCTGTCCAGAGGTTACGATCCCCCAGACCAGCCCTTTCGTTTCGCCATTTTTCTCTTTCGAAATATTTTAGATTACCTTCACACAAAGATACTTTTTTTGTCCCGATAAACAGTCCATACATTTATTCTTGTTCTCTCTGTAACGTTCACGGTTAACAAAATGCATTCCGTTTACCAAAATTAGCTCCCCATAACGATCAGCTAATCGTCAACTGACAAACGATACCGCAAAATACAAAGCATAGTTTGTGGAGATGATAGACTGGATTTGTTTCTTTTCTGTTTGACAGATCTTAGTTTTTCAATTCTTTCCGGATTCGTTTGAAGAGATTTCAGAAAGTTTTAAAGAAGAAATGCCACGAGATACAATTGCATTATTAAGTGCAGCATTGAAAAGAATGGACGTTGACTTGATTTTGAGAAGAGGGTTTCGCAGAATTTCCCACTTGCGTTGCTGAGAATTCCGCACACGCTGGTTCAGTAATCTTGGACTGTATACTTTCTCTTGATACGGGCTTTTTGACAACAATTTAGCATTACACGTTCCGTTCTGCGATCTATCTACTCTATTACAATCTAATCCTAGGGTTACAAAAATGTTACATTTATTAGCTAAGGAAATCCACACCTAGATACGTAATTCCGTGTGGGATTCAAGACTCACTCACGTTCTACAACGATTCGTGGGCACTAATTTCCTATCAAACATGGCTTTACTCGACAATCATGCTGCTAAGTTCCTAAGCGCTTAAACGTCCTGCAAATACTTAGTTGCATACATCACTGCTCGCAGAACTAATTTGATTACCCTATGCCTCTCCCAATTACATTCTACTTCTAATTGTAACGCTAACTCTGTATTTAACGGTCACAAAATTACAACTCTCTTCATACCCAATTAAATTCATATTAAATCGAGGAAATCAATTTTTGCGAGGAAACATTTCACAACAGAGTGATTGAAGTCATCAGTTTGCTGCTTGTTCATGACGAAGGACGAAATCGTGAAATGGGATAATTCCCATGTTTTACGTAAAGCAAAGAAATATTTTTAACGCAACAGCTCAATGATCTATCTATGCAACACATACAAAGTGTGTAGTACAGCACACTTTTTATGATAAATTACAGTTCACCAGCTACATTACCTAAATTTAGAAGTTTTTCTTACCGTATAACACATACATTACTAATAACCATACGCGAGGAACTTTACATTAACATCGAAAGTTGTTCACTACCATACTCATTCCACTTCATTTGACTTCCTTTACATGGTGATACTTGGAAAGTTAAAACAATCCCTAAAGGTTTTTATTCTGCTTACCAAGTGCGTAGAGTTCAAAACGCTGTTTACAGTACAGCAAACTATATTCAGCAAACTACATATAATGCTAAAGGCACGATAAAATCCCTAGTAATAGCACTTTTAAAGTACAAACTAAAGGGAAAGCCAAGGGTGCCATCTAGTAAAAATCGTATCCTTCCTTAAGAACATAAAAACTGTTTATGCCCACAGTTAGGGACCAAATTAATCGCCAAATAATAAGGAAGTTTGGATACGTAAGGCTGAAGGGGTAGCTTTAGGTCTCTTTATCTTTTTACATGGTTGAAAAGTCTAAAATCTTGGTTTTCCGTGTCCTCCGAATTAACTACTTTTGTAACACACCTATGAGCAATTCGTGCTTATGGGTTTCAGCCACCTTGTCAGCGTTAAAGAGCGGAAAATTTGTATTGTTCTCAGGGTATAATCTCCTACGTCTTTATTTCCAAACTCAGTGAGTACTTATCGAGGGTCTTTGATGACAGTTCCGACTTAGATCAGACTCCTGATGAAGTCAAAGTAAAACACATAATTCACGCGTGCAAACTTGCGTTAGATGTGCGTGAAAAAGACCGTCGACGCAGGAGGTCCATGATGTCCTGAGGCTCTAATTTTTGGAGTTCAAAAACCTCTCAGATTTTGTAGTTCATAAGCTATTTGAACTGCCAGAATTAAAATTTATCCTATATCGCGATTTAAAGGACTCTCCTAACATGCAGAATGAATATGTTTTTGATGTTATAATCAATCTTAAAATTGTAGTTCAGCTCACATGTAATTCTAAAATAAGCCAGGTTTAAATTGATGACTATTTTAAAACTTCAATCAATTCCTAGTAACTCATGTTGGTATAAACTAAATTTCACCCCTTCCATCCAGCGGGTCGTGGATGAAAATTTGAGCCGTTTCGATTAGCAAGCAAAAACAAGAGTACAAACTTCACTTAAATGTAAAACTAAAATTAGGCACCTCCAGGTCTAAATGGACGAAAATTAACTTCAATCGACTTTCAGTGAATCAATTATTAGGTTAACGTGTTGTTATCAAGTCAGCTTCATCCCTTCATCCAGCGGCTCGTGGATGAAAATTTGAGCCGTTTGATTAGGCATATTAAACAAGAGCGCAAAATTGCACTGGACTGTACGAAAAAGTTAGGCTGGTAATAGTTGACAGTAACGACTGCTTTATAAATGTCAACGATACTTTAAGCCGACAGAAGAAACTACATGTTTATACGTGTAGTGCAGCCCAAGAAGTATCTTAGAACACTACGGGCGCTTGAAGTTTAAAATTTCTGTCCGTAGGTAACCGTAAAAACTTTTTTCCTCTCCTAACCTGGAAAGTGTTGACTCAAGAACCGGTCCCTAAATTTCGTCTTTTTCACGACTAAATTGGCAGAAACTATGGCCCAGAGGGAAAAGCAGTAAATTGAATCAACTATAATCACCACCGGAAGTATTGTGACAAAGGTTCTTTTCATCAGGGCCTTTCCTTTTATGCTCATAAAAATTTTGCCCAGGCATAACTTTGGGTGGGGTGCTTATTACATCACATTAGAAGAAACCAACATCAGCAAAGGAAAAATTTATGCAAAAGTTTAATGGAATAGATATTTCTATACTAACTTAATATTATTAATTGAAAGTGCGGTTTAAACTTGCACGTCATGCTTATATCATTCTCAGCTGTAGCATTCTGAGTTATCTTTAGACTGCATAAGAAACAAATTATGAAAAATTAATCAATAGTACCATTCCCCTTACTTTTCATATACATAGAAGTTCCTGCTATTTCTACTATTTTTGCAGAGGGGGCATCGAGAGGAATTTTTCCTAATAATCTAAATAAACCAAAGGTAATTTTACGTGGCAAAGGAAACTGGCTGGTCCTATTCATTAACTACAACAACGAAATACCTTAAAGTAGCTAAAAAATGGAAGTATTTACTACATGCCAGCATTTTAAAATTAAGGAGAAGATTAGACTGCTTTACGATCTTTGTGGAAGTCATCGCTTAGCTGAACAGCGGAGTTCCAAACGTCTTTTAGGTGCGCCATTTTGATGTTGTCCGGTATGTTCTCTGTTCCTGGGATTGATTCCAAGCCTTTGTCGGCTAAACAACATTCCAAGTAATCTTCAAAGCTGTAATAAATTGGTATTTAAATCTTAGTCCTATTAATACTAGTCCAGGATTTCACTATTTTCAATTCACATTTTAAATACCAGTGCTAAAAAGAATTAAGCGTGGACTTGAACCACAAGCTCGTTTACAAAATACAAAAGGAGCCTTGAATTAGAGAGGAAATTTAGAGAAAATTGGAGAACATGGCGCAGTAAAGTGTTTATCATTAGAACCTTCGGTTTAGATACAAGAAAAGACACTGACGATGTCATCCCTCCCAAGAAATAACATCACCTAAAAAAGTTACATATATTTTTTTGAGAAAAAGGTTTTTTGAAAGCCAAAAGTCTATATATTACGCATAACAGGGCAAGGAAATATCGTGGCTTTCACGTTTTGCACGTCATAGCCCGACATTAGCACGGTGGAAAATGCGTTATTTCCTGCAGTTACGAAAGCAACCGTAAGAAGTGCAAGATAAGAATAACGACTTTGGTCCTTATTTAATTGACGCATCACAGAATGGAACATTTCGAATAGCCCGTCTTACCTCATCGTCGAAATCGTTTCACCATCTCTTTTCACATTCAGAATAATAATCTGAAGTAGTTGCGGCAGAAATATGTCCATGTCGATTTTTAGCAACTCGCGATTTAGCCTAGCTTTTTCTCTTGAGCCAAGTTTTTCCTTGAAAACGTCAGGTAATTGCTCAAAAGGCTCCTGAAAAAAAAATCCCGAAGCGGGTTTGTTTTAAAGTGGATCTGACGAGTTCAAGCGCAACCCACCAAACCTTTCATATTAAAACTACACTTCGATACCTTGCAGTAAAGTTACGGCATACATCTCGTGTACAGCACACAGAAACACTTACCAAACTTTAAACGACGTTAAAGTTATCGTTTTTATTCGCAAACGAACGAATGCTATAAGGCTAAAGTTACAGAGGAAGTGACGGAAATTACACAGATCGAAAATTAAAACCAACCAAGTGAAAAAAATATCATTTCAAACCTAACCTGTTTGTTCCTGGACTTGATTTTTGCTCTCTCGAGTGCCATAAGCCGCCACAATGCCAGGGTGTGGGATAAACTGCAGTGCTGCTCTGCCTGCAACAAGATGGCATAATCCATAAGAACCTATACAAGAGTCAAAGCACTCTTACATAGAACAATTGCTGGTGTAGGAGCAAACAGTCAAAGACAGGGCTTCTCCTTTAGTCAACTAATCGAAAATAATTATTAGACATCTTTTACACATCGCTCGAGTGCTACACAACCTCTGGCGTCCAGAAATGAGTTTTTGTAGCAACAAACAAGAATATTTTGATTTAGATGTTGGTGTTGGGAGCTTTGCACCAGTCAAGAAGAATGACCGTTTAACCCTTTAACTCCCATGAGTGACCAAGACAGAATTTCTCTTTACAACATTAATACAATATCAAGCAGACAAGTGATGAGAATAAAGAAAAATATCAGTTAGGGGATTATAAGTTGATCCAATGCCAAATTATCCAAGCTAACATTACAAGAACTGTACGAGAAACCATTAGGAGAATTACTAATGAGATCTTGGGAGTTAAAGGCTTAAATGAGTCTTTCAAATAAGGAGAAATGTACTCACTGTTGCACTCTTGAGACCTCGATCGTTGGGTAGCTTAAGTACGTCATGTAAGTACCATTTTAAAGGGCTCTCCGGCTGGCCACCCGATGAGGCAAGAAAACCAATGGCAATATCCAGAGACGACATAACATCACAGATATCAGACAAGGAAGACCGCAGATCATTAATAATCTGACTTTCAACGACGCGGGAAATAGGTTCCTTTAAAGAAACACTTGGTGTAAGTGCCTTACATCTTGATCACACCAATACAAACAATAACATCATAACAATGAGATAAATATATTACTGTAGACGTAAGAAAAACAATTCAGAGCCGAAGACATGCTTCCGTTAACTTAAATAGCTGGAGGGAAAAGTTTATCATGTTAGAAAGAGGAATGCACTGCTCTTTCCGTGGTCAAGACGGATCAAAGTGGTACCGCAAAAATGCAATCAATGACAGACCAGATGACAAAACAATAAAAGCAAGCAAGCTTTAGTTCCCAATGGAAACTACGAAAAGTTAGGTTGCAAGTAAACAAGAAAATAAATGAAAGAACACATTAATAAATAAATAAACATACTGCATATATGAAGGCAATTTGAAATGTTTCCCAATTTAAAACCCCCTGGTTGCATCGCCAATCTAGCGTTATCAGACGCCCACCAGCATCGAATCTGCGGATAACCGATATTTCAAAACATTCCACACCTTGAGATTTTATTTTTGGGTGCATCCATGAAACTGAGGCGAAAGCAAAGTTTTGTTCTAGAACTTTACTGTACACTGGTTAATCGTATATATTAAAAGGACAAAAAAGGAAACTATGAAATTTACCTGAGGAATTTTTCCAGTGAGGGAGGTGAAAACTGCGTCATCTTGGGTGTCTCTGCTGAACGCAAAACGTTCCTCCTGAAACAAAGGGAAAAAGCGCTGACAGCAATTACCATTACTTTGGTTGCAATTCTTCTTCCAGTTGTGAGGGGATAGTCTTAACGAAGCTCCAAACGCATTTTCAAAAAGGAATGTTTGTTTTGATTTTTTTCTAACTTTCGGTCATCAGATACTGACCAGTGAGACAAGCAATTCAAATGGAAGGCCGATAGAGGATGAATGGCACTCAGTATCAAGAAATAGGGCTGACACCGCTCTTTGAAACATATTTCCTAGAAACTGAAGCAGTATGCATACAATCTTTTATCCTACGAAATTACTTCTATTCTGTCTGTAACTGTCGCTGAAGTTCCATCTTTCAAACGTCACAAAAGGTAAGTTTTTGATATCTATCAGCTGAAATTGTGGTGATTGGTTGAGATATATCTTCACAAGAGAAACGTGCCTTTAAGAAAATGAGATTGAAACTGTTTGCAGTAAGATGAAGCAAACTCAGTTAGAGAATGAAGAGAATAAATACATTCCTGTGCGGTGAAAACGAGTTCTACATAAAAAAAACTGAAAATGCTTTTTTCCTCATCATATGCTATGTGTTCTAAATACTTCCACCCTACCTTGAACTCGACAAAAGGCCTTCCCCTAAACAACCTGTCTATCAGCTGTCTCTCCAGAGCCGCCCAATCGTATTGAACTAAGGTCTCCTGTCCCACCTCCAGAGAGTAGTTACAATGAGCCAGGATGAGGGGCAACAGGTCTCTCTCAGGATCATAGGCTATTAAGTGCGACAAGGTCACCTCTGATACGAAGACACGCTCCAAGGAACTGTAAATGAAAAAGAATATTACAGATGAGGTGTATAGTTGGGTCTTACTTATAAACAATTATTGAATCAGGTTTTTGTATTATCCAGAATAATCAAGGTCGAGACAGGGGTTATCAGTCGAAGCCGAAGAATGAGCCAGCTGATAACCCTTACCAAGACCGTGATTGTTCTGGATATCACAAAAACTAAATACAATAATTCTTTTCTTATACGTGAACGAAAAAAAACTGATCAAAAGTCGGTGGAAATGATAATTTATTTCTAAACGTGTAAAAATATACCAATCAGCAAGCAACACATGACACTTAGAAATCGTGCACCGCAGTTGTACATGACATGATTACCCGTGTGACCTCTAGTGTCCTTGACATGATTATTGTATAATCTGCAACTAGATTATGTCCCAGGCGCTGATTTCGAAAATTCACTGAAGACGTTCGGCCAATCAAAAAAGAGATAGTGTGTTGAATGTATAATAATGATTGTTATTGCTTGTAGTAATTGTCCTATGCTTAGGTGGTAATTATCCAAGACTAAGCAGGAATGCGGGCAAATGATTTTCATCAACATCGTAACTATTTCCAGTTTACATTATTCTCGAAAATAATAGCCCCAATTCATGACACGTTTCATTGTAAAGCTGCATTTGGAGGAGACGATAACTGATTACAGGATGCTAATATCAGTCTCATGTTGCAGCTCAGTCAGTTATACAAACACCTAAGACTTAAATTAAGCAGAAAAGCGTCAGCTACGATTTACATGGCACGAGTCAGGTCACTTCGATCAACTATTTCCTTCTGAAGAAGGTTAAAGGAATACAGGAACACGTAAGCTATTCATTGTAAAATTATGAACCTGTCTTGATTAGTTGCACTACGGTAGGCTATCAGAGACTCGTTGTTTGCATTAACCAGGAAAAAGGTGAGCGAGGTCGTACAGACTCCCATCCCGGTGGTGCTGGGAAGAACCATCGCGATTGGACAATTGTCGTCCATATCGGTATTACAAAGGTCTTGTGGGACGCGCAGGCGACCTTAGTGTGTAAAGAATGACAAAGACAAATTAGAACCAGATAAAAGTACTGGTATGAAAACACCGGATTTGTGTCTGATTTGAAATGAATCACCACATAAAAGGAATGACAAAAGAAAAAGACCGCACTTTGTCTAAATCGGTGTGCTCCTTTTTGAAAACCAACAATTCAAATGTTCGAGATATTGTTCCATGACTAAGTTTTGGCTCCCCATCAGAGTCTAAATTTAGCATCACTCATGAGTTTAGCCTTTCATATCTTACCACAATGGGCTCGGATAAATTATTACGTAACTATAAAAACATTATTTAGAAAAAGACAGACTATGGTCACACGAATTACCAAAGCCTTCTTCCTTTACCCTGGAAAAACGGAACAATCATTGTACCTTGATCACCGAGAAATGACTTGCAAGCATTCCATGCATTCTTGAAACTCTGGAGTAGATTCGTATACTCCTCTTTCACAGGTCCTGGGAGACAAATTTGACTTCATTCAGAATAAAAATTTATCTAGTAAGACTCATCTAAGTTTCACTCACACTGGCAACTTTCTCTTAAATAAAATTCACTAGAGCTGTAGATGGAAATCTTCTTATCCAGAAAAATTGACACGCAAATTATTTAACACGAAGAATTGTCGAGCAAACCCTGGTCAAGGAAGGAACATGGCCTGAGAAGAGTTTTCACAAACGTTCTACGTTCTACGAATGAATTGTTTTCTTGACAAATAAAATTAAAATTGAAATTTAGCAGTGACACTTTCACAAGGTGGTTCTTTGCACTTTATTTCCTAGTCGAATCTGAATTTGGAGTGTTGGAAAAGGTGCACCTGCCAATTACAGCTTTCCGAACTCAAACCTTCAACCTTTTATATCGAAAATGTACATAGTTTCCATGGCGTTGGCTATATCTCATAGAGCCTTGTAACTAATTAAGTACCTTTAGGAAGGTCCTTGAGAAATTCGCGGATTGTATATTTCTCCGCATCCACTCTATCAATTCGTCGGTGGAATCTGTCCATTAATAGTCGCTGGAGGCGAACAACATCGGGTAGAAACTGGACGAAACGCAACTTGTGTTCCTGTATTTGGAAAGCATGTAAAGATAGACATGGAAACGACACCCTTCGGTTTTTCATAAGCAGATGCTGACTGAAACTTAGGCGGACAAAGGGGTTACAATTACGAGCAAAAACCTTGATCTTAAAAGACTAAATGGCCCTAGTAGAAATTGCAAGATAGACAACCTTTACAAACAGAACCTTCATCAGCAGTACGTCACCTGTTTAAGGAATGTGTCCAGCACTTTGTATTCCTGTTCGCCACCAAAAAGGACTTCTCTCTGAAAAGAACTACTCAGGTCCTCTACGGTGATATGCTGCCTGTACTTCCAAAGAGTGTAAGACATGGGCCTGACGCCCTGAGACAAGTCTTCCACGTACTCATCGAACTTGTACAGTTGACGTACCAAGAAATCATTTCCTGAAAACGACACCAGAAATGGTGTATAAAAAAATACTCATGGTGAAGCCAGGTGGGGTTTTTTTTTAATCAATTGTTTCTTTTCAAATTTTTCAAGTTCGTCATTTGGGAGCTGAGTCTCCTTCACCCTCAACCATAACCGTTTTTCTTTTAATCGTTCTTCTTTGAGACAATCAAAGATAATACTATTAGTTAAACCTTTTATGCGGATTTCTACAGAGAAAGACGGCTTACTACCGGCTAAGATTGAGGTAACGAATTTTCAAAAGTAACACTAAAGCTCTCGTGTCTACTAGTAATCATAACCATTACAATTTCCTCAAATGTAATTGATGTAGGAGCTGCTTTTTTTTCACTAATCATTTTGTACAGTTGTAATCGAACAGTGTTATCGGACCGCTGTAATCGGACAGTTGAAGCAACCAATCATACTAAGTCTTCTCAACTAAATATACCAATTACAGAAATGATCAAAAAGCCATAGAAACAAACACTTATCCATTAGAAAAGCCGTGGAATTTCCAAAATGGAGAATTTTCGTACTTCAGGCTTTGTCTCTACTTGATATATTTTTCCAAAATGTATTTGTTGTTTTCGAAAATTGTGACGGTTATGATCAATTGGTAACAGGACTTCAAGTCGTCCAATTCTGTCTGTAATCATACTCGTAATTGACAAAGTTGTCCGATTATGTCAATCACTCGTATCATTACAGACCGAATTGGACTCCACATGGTCCTATTAGCATTATTAATAGGATAAAATAAACGTTAAACTAATCGCTTGTCTCGTATTTTTACTGCGTTCACAAGTCATAAGGAAAAGCGTACCGAGTCTTTCGTCACCCATCAAGAGTTTTGAGGCGTTCTGTAGTTTCTTGTCAAGATTCTGGGAAAATGATATAAAGAATATGAGTTGCATTAGAACGATCTCGTATGAATAAAGATCGTATATGGCAAAAAAGAAAAAAGGAGAGAACGAAATCTTTCAATTTACAGGGCACTTACGGTGATGACAGGATTAAGAATCTCAGCGCAGAAATCCTTTTCCCAGCAGCGACGACTTTCCCGGGTTTGAAGTCGCATGTCATGCGCGTTTGCTGAAGATTTTAAAGAGAAAAGAGAACGAATAAGAAGCAACCTGCATCTTGGTAAATGGATTAGGTTAACGCGCATAAATGTAAAATCAAATCAAATCAATAGATACTTAAATTCCCCAACCATTTTTGATTAGGTCTTCCCAAAAAGAGAACAGATGAAAATGTAACGTATTAAAGGCAAATTTTCCCTCTGTAACTGAAAAAACCAATCTATCTTGCCTGGTGTTTTTAGTTGAATTTATTAAAAGTTCACGTTTCTGGTAGTTCCTCTTTATCGGATAAAAGTTTAAAGGTTGACAGTTGATCGCCTAGCCTTTTAGGATACGTCTACACAGTTAAATTGCTCACAATTATATTACTAACACCTTGACATTAGCTATTATTAAACCAAAACTCCAGTAGCTGATTTCAAATAAGCTACCGATTTTTGTATTAAGAAGTGAAAATATTGTCAGCCACCCTGAATTGGATGCGATTCCATCTCAAGACAGTAAAATGTTAGTGTGATGAAAATGACTAAAACTCCTTTAAGAAAAGAGACATAGCAATAATAACATTTTTTGCCCCAACTCAGACTTTTCAATCAGCCCGCAAAACATTAGAGCATTGCGTTTTCGCGATAAATTAACTCGATGGAAATTATAAAATTTTTTACCAGTTTGTCCTCCATTTCGCGAGATCATTCGTGCTAATGCCAGATGAACTGTAAGAGCTGCGTCATCAACACTGCGCCCCAGTGCTCTACCGAGAACATCAAGGTCTCTCTGCAAGTGCTCCCATAAGAATTGCCCCTCAGACTGCGAGGGGCATGAAGGTGTAATCAGCAGTGCGGTTGCCTTTGAAAAGAAATTGAAGATCTGGTGATTTACTCAAGAGTAAGAGAGCAAAATCAGAAAACACTTGTCTGCTTTCCAAGATTAAAACCAAAATATTACAAATGTCTAGTCCACCAGAACTATAGACTTAGCGAGTGAGGCAGAGACGTATTTTAATAATATAAAAATGTTCTTAATACGAGACTTCCTACGACAGTGAAAGATAATAATATGTAAAATTGTATATTGCAAGGACTGTAAAATGCTGTTCCACTTATTTCCATCGGCTATCGTTCAGAAGAACTATAGCCGATGGAAAGTTCCTCGTTTGCTTATTCGCTGACAATCACTGACTCGGGTGAACTAATAATCACCTGGGGATTTCTGGATGCTCCCATGACCATGGCCGAGTGCATGATAATCCTCAAGACACTGCATACTATCGGGGACATGTCTCTCTGTGGTTCAGCATGAGTAGGTCTCGAAGCAGGTTCTCCGAGGGCGTGACCAGTCTTCGTCCTGTCTCTCCTAGAATTCATTATTTGAAGAGAACATGTCAGGGCGATTCTGGACTTAAAAACAAAGACGTAATATCTTGTGGTGAACTGAACAAAAAGAAGGAAAAAGCAGGGTATTATTCCAGAGAAGTTAAATACAGTAGCCTCAAGTTACCTGTCGGAAACTTTATATTCTCCTGAAAACTTGTGCTTCTCTCCTCCTAATACTCTTCCACAGTCTGGACAGGTGCTCTTCTCCATTGGTTTAGTGCACTATTCCGGAACAACAACAACGAGAAAGTGTGTGTTAAGAACGCCAGAATGGTTAATTACAACGACAACAAAGAAAAATCCCTTACTTTTTTCGGACGAAATCAATTTAAAGCCACAAAACACACAAAAATGTTTCTCCCCTCAAAGCCAAACGCTCTCTTCTTCTAATCAAACCTGGTTGAGATTACGTTGGCTTACACAGGCTCTTTAAGGCACTACTGCACTCGCCAGTTCGTTTATCACTGCTTTTCCGTTCATGCGAGCGCCCATGCCACAGCGTAAATGAGAGCCAAGTTGCAGGCTCAGTAAGATATCGCTTTAATGGTAGGTGTTGGTTATACCGGAAAACCAGGCCCATCATTAATTTACAACATCGTTCTATTGAACAATGTGTGATCTGAGCTCCATTTTTCTCCTCAGTTTTCGTCTTCGTGACACAAAAGGTGACTTACATGATTCATGGGCCAGCAGTTTATGATATAATAGCTTACCTCTCCAATAAAGTACAAATATCTGCAGTTACGGTTGCCGCACTCTGGAAAGATTTAAAAAAATACGATGTGTTGTAGACTTTACACAAGTAAAGTAACAGAATGAGACACTTTTTTTTTGTCACACTCAACATAGCCGTTGTAAGTAATTACTGTATATACCCTTTAAAACAAAGTAATACCTCACAAAAAGATTCTGAAAGAGGCACATAATTTTTTTTCCAAAGGTAAAAAATATGAAAAAACCCACGCTTACCATACCACTCTCCCTTCCAGTTAGTTCCCTTCATGGTTTCAGCGATGGCATTCATGCACTCAAGGTAGTTATCCTCGGGCATTGTTGGTAGAAACGAGTTCTGTACAGAACAATTAGTATAGGGGAAATATACTTTTATTACAAACTAACCGAAAAAGGAACAAAAGATCAGGAACACAACATCCTGCTTAGGGCTACATGAGTCAATTTAAGTTAGTAGGTATTTTCTTACGTGCTTTTTTCTTCCTAGCTCTGCTGCTGAAGCCACAAACATTTGACTTATTCCTTACAACTCCCAGTGTAATCAATCGAGTTCTCTATCCACTTGATTATTTGCATATTTCACGCCGTTAAAACGCTGGATCTTCTCGAGGAAATTTTGGCAGTAAGTCACTTATGAGAATTCGTGATAGTAAGGGTGTTATCGTAATTCTACCATTAATAAACTTTGTATCTCCCGCTTTCAATGTTTCGTTTCTTTGTGCTGCATATTGCGTTATATACAGTCGTGAACGTTGCTATAGGCCACGTGCGGCTAAATAAGTTGAGTATCGAAGAGTTTTTTTGGTGAGTTTGTGTTGAGTAATAAAATGCAGTCCTTCAGTAATTTGCGAAACAGCAGATGTGTTATGGGACTTATGGTCGCCGGAGCGACATGCATATACTTACATTCATGGTCGATGGATCCGTCATGAGGGCGTAGAGAGGTTGAGCCAAAGATCCTGGACCAACACACTGTAAGGTTACTGCTGTGTGGATCACAATTTCAGCCAAAGTGTGCTCCTGTGGGGTTTTACCATTATAGATTTGGAGTTTCTGAAATTGTCCTCCTTGGCTGTTCGTAAGAAGTTCTCTGGCGAAAGGTTGAGCCTTCATCCGAGTGCGCGAGAATTATAACAAAAATCAGCAATAGTTTTACAAGAAATGAATTATTTCCCTAAATTTTTCTTACCGTTTCAGATAAGTGTCCACCGTTTCTTACGAAATCATCAAGCTTTGCCCTCACCTGACGAGAAAGATAAACCGAGAAATAATCTTCGTATCTGAACGTTGCAAGCAGGAAGGTGTCAAATTAGCGTGCACCGGACATGTACAGAGCAAAGTTACCGCAAAAAGAAGGAAGCTCTCACCTTGCTTATACTTACCTCCTGAGACAAAGTCTGTGTCTGAACTGGTGAAACGTTTGCCATTGTTATTTCACGGTACATCACAAGGAGGAGGAGTACATTTTTGTTGAAACCTTGTAATCCAGTTTCCTACAAAAAATATTTATACGCTGCAATGGTCTTATTGGTAACGTTTTTGAGACTTCACTTGAGAGTTGTTCGATGCTTGACTCAGCCTTAAGTAACTGAATAAGATGTATTTGCAATTCGCTTACCGGCACGGCTTTAGGTCGTTAAAATACGTCTATTTCAGTTACTGAGACGTTATCAAAGCAAACCAAACTGTTCATCCAAGCACAGGCGGCCTAAGCTCCAGCTGTGAGATGATCATCTTACGAAATAACAGTCAAGGCGAAATTAAGAGTTTGTATGGGAATATTAACGACCGCTCAAGGGATTAAAAAAAAATGAGTCAAATTCTCACAAAAAATACCTCTCCTTACTTTCCTTCAACGTAGTAAGCGGTCAGATAACTAGCAACGCACGGTGAAAGTAAGCTGAGGTATTTTTTATGAGAATTTGACATATTTTTTTATTCTTTAGAGCGGTCGTAAATATTCACATAAAAACTCTTATAATTTCGCCATGACTGTTATTTCGTATGATGATCATCTCACAGCTGGAGCTTGGGCCGCCTGTGATCCAAGTTCAATAAGTCGATTACATTAAGTTTCGTGTACCAGAAATCCATTTATGATGGTATATATTTAATAGAGTATCAAAAAATTCTAACATATTTGTGATTCCAATTCCTTCTCTGTTATTCATAAGGAATTTTATTTAATTAATAAATAGCTACAACAGTCCCCGACCTCAACCTTACAGCTTCACCTATTCACCAATTAAGAAGATGAACGCTACAATGAACACGAACCGTGATGGCAGAGACAGTGTCTTGGATTTTCCCACTGATGACAGTTTTAGCCAGTCCCTCACGGACAACACGATATTGCTCTCCATGAACAAGAAACCTGTCTTGGATCACATCTTCCTCCTACAGATCGAAGAAGTAACATGCAACATGCTTGATCTACAGTCGAATACAAAAAGCCTAACCTTTACACTTTTAAGAGAGACGTTCCATAGCGGGCAAGAAAGAAAGAAGGAGAAAAAATTGGAACTTTTGAAATATTTTTGTTTCGCTTCTTGAGTGCTCGAACATTGTGCTCTCCCGAGGTTCGAGTAGCCTACGCTCTAAGGTGAATAAAGAGAAATTCAGTTCACACAGTAGAAGGCCTGGTTCGCTAACAAGTTCCCGGTAGCACAGTAAGTAGTGCACCTGACTACTAAGTCAAAACTTGCCAGATTGTTCCTGCCCGGTCCCGCTCTTACGACATTTGCTTCACATTTTTCTTCAAGATTTATTTGCCAAACATTTTAGCGACACCCATTCAATAATCGTTTATCTTCACCTGCTGTCTAGCCTCTGGTGGTAAAATCCAAGCCAGTTCCTCATATTTACCCAGAGTTCGGACACAGTCCAAGCCATACCGCCTGACAAGCTGTTTAAGCAGATAGAGCTGCGGTGTTGAACTCGACACTTCCATACAAAGCTTCCTTGCAGACTCTAATGAAAACATCACTTCTCTCTTGGCGTCAAGGTCTTTGTAACTGTTATCTCCCTCAATGAACAATTTGTAAAGGTACTCTGCCACCAATGATAAGACGTAACGTCCTTTAGCAACCCCATCCAGAGAAAGAGCGCTCATTTCAGCAGAATCCTCGTCACTGGCCGTAAGAGCCGTTAATGCCTCTTCACAAGTCTTTTTGGCATGTTTGAGCTTTACTGTTAACTTCGAATTGACCACTTTGGCTTGATAACGGCTGATAAGGATGTCCTGAGGTAAAGGCAGTTAGATCAGAAAACAGCTATGACTTGATAGTACAATTTACTCCACATAATAAAAGAGAAAAAAATAGCGTCTTGGGTATGTAGAGTTAATTTAATTCCAGTTGAACTACTCTCACCTCATAGCACAATATTAGTTTTAATTTACATACCTCCATGCACTGGACGCATAAGAAGCAAACTTCTTTGACGTGCGAAGGTTCTGGTTTTAAATTCCGAGCCCCACGCAAGAAAACTCCAAGATGTTCTTTTACCAACCTTGTCAACTTCACACTATTAAAAAAAAAAAAGCAAGAGACAATTAAGCATATGCTTCTACCCTCATTAAATAGACAATTTAACGTGAATTGAAGATAAAAAAAAAAGAAAAATCAGACATTTTAAGAGGCACAGGAACGTATGAGTGCTGAAGTTGAGAAAGCGGTTGTTTCTCAATACTTTTACCTGGAGCGCAATAGCTGCTGAAGAAGAAATGAACGCACCACAGGGGTGGGGTCAATAGCATAATCAGGGAATGGAGAGAAATCCTTAGTCTGAGTTGACTGATGACCGATAACATAGCGCATAAGCAGAGTGATAGCTTCCTTTTCAAGGTCCTTTGACACTAAGTCACTAAAACAGAATATTGACACCAGCTCCATGAAAAAGGCATTACATCGACGACGTAACTCAGAAGCAGTCTCTTCATTGCTCCTGTGGTCATAAAGAAAGCATGAATAAGTACCAGCATAGCAGTAGAGTTATATCTTAACCTCAGATTCGATAACACTTTCCCACGATCAGTAAAAAAATAACTTGAGTTTTTGGCATTTAAAGCTGTGAGAAACTGTGATTACTCTGTGAAATTATTCTGTGAATATTCGATTCAGATTTTTGAGTTTTGGTTTTCATGGAGGGAAAAAATACTGGAACCAAATGAAAAAAAACCCCGGAAAGCAACGGCAAAAACTAGTGACAAAGCAAGCCCTGGTGTGAGGTAGGGTCCTAGAACGAACCTTGGCCACACAATTTGGAGATGAGTGATCACGCCCTACCACATTCCCTGAAGTTGTCGGCCGAGGCTGACGCTATACAACCAATGAATACTTTACTAGCCACAGGCAAGCCTTGAAGTGTCTCCAAATTTCACTCCATTTTCAATTTCAGTAAAGTAGTTCAATACCACCAGAAAAATATCAGGAGATGGCTTATGGCTGGATTAAATCTAATTTACTGAAAAAACTTTGTGACAAGAGAGTCCATAGACGACTCTTGCCAGATTCTACCCGAAACAAATTGTAGGGTAATTTGATCAATAGTGTAGTCTCTGATACTTGCGAGACTAAGGCCCTATATTGTAAACAAATAACAACTAAATTGTGCATAATGTGCAACCTTACCTCTGCTTGATGTCTTCACTGTAGTTAATCAAGAATTTTTCAATGGCTTGCAGCGATCTCAGCGTTGAAAAGTCAGTTTCATCTCCCAAAACCTTCAGAAGAGAGCAGTTTGTTATCATCGAATTCTAATTAGAAGTTGATTATTTCCGTTTTGCATTTCTTTACTCTAACCTACCTTCCACAACCTGATAACGCTCTCGGAAGTGACAACTTTATCTTTTTCAGCGTACAAAATCACGTGCTCCACAAAGAGTCGAACAGCTCCTGTTCGCTGCCACATGAATCTGATCCACACAAAAGGGAAATAATATAATAATCAGCAGTACTTTCTCATTTATATGCACTTCTACATTCTATCAAACGGGTCCTCGAGACAACCCCTCAAAATACGGTACTACTACCGTTTTGCGTTGATAGAATTAAAGAAATTTTTAAGCGCAGCAAAAATACCTTCCCAATTAATTTCGAGAAAATCAATAAGACCGAACAAAGCCTTGAAAAATTCGCTTTCTCGCGTCATCCTTAATACCTAGCATATTTCCTGTCATTTAAATCCTCAACCTCGGCAAAAATTCCCAAATTCCAAACTTCAAAGTTAGCTTGGATAAAGTAAAGATGTAAATACCTCTTTGAAGAAGTATAATTTAGTTCTCTATTTACGACGTTTATTCTCTCGGGAAGATTGTGCAAGAACTTGATTATTAAGCATGGCTGGCCGAAAGACCAGAGGGAGCGAACGAATGACTGACTGATTATAAAAAATCTTACCAATAGGGTCTACCGATTAAACTAACTGTAACAGAGCCTCAAAAACGGAAAATGCGTGGTTTTGTTACCTGCAGTGACCAAGCATTACTGTCGATTTCTCTCCATAGTTTGAACATTTCTCCACGACAGGCCCAAACCTCTCTTTCCTTATCATATCTTCCACCACTGGCCTTATAGACAAAATTCTGTCACACCATATTCGTCGTTTCTCCGGAGAAAGCAACATCTCTCGTGAAGGCTCCAATGCCCCAAGACAAATGTTCAATGCTATGACATCCAAAAGCTGTAAAAAATTTTAAAAATGCAAAAAGTTACAGAAAAGAGCATATCACAGAACAGTTAAACACTACCGAACGCTGTACTTGAAACGGAGGGGAAGGGGGGTTCATTTTGCGCTTCTGACTGCCTCGCCATTACAAACGAGTGATAAATTTCAGTTATAAAACAGGACATATAAAATAACCTGGCCTCCCCAAGGAACATAAATGTATCAGTGTAGGACACCTTACGAAAAGTTTCGCCTAATGTGGTAAAAATTATGTTGATAATCACTACAGCTTAAAGCTTCTGTTTATATAATACCTTAAAATATTCGAGTAAATTGGGAGCTCATTAAAATAAGGATGAACCTATAACTAACGTATTACAAACAGCTACAACAAGGCATTTAAACTCACCACTTCTGGCTTGTTTCCTTGAAGAGCTACTCGTAGTTTTCGTACCAGATCTGGATTCGCTTTAACGAGTGAATCAAAACACTTTAAACGGTGTTGAGCTCTACTATGTGCAACATGAACGAGTGCTATATCAATCGACTCGTTACCATCCTCATCTTCCAGAGTAAAGATTTCTCTCGCTGACGAAAGAATAGCCTCGCAAACAAGCTGAAAGAATGAAAAAAAAAAGCAAACTCAAATGCTATCGGGCTGAAGAGAGCATCATCTCACGACTTAAAAGCTTAATGTTTTTCTCTAACCTTACCTGAAAGTACTCTCAAGAGGTTAATTTACCTCATCTAGTAAAAAATTCCATATGTTTGCGTCGTTTTTGATAGCTAACGTTCATAAATTAATTAAAACGATTTCTCACGGGAAAGGATGTGCGTTGGGTGAAGAGCGTAAGCAAGCACTACGAAAGAAAATATAACTATTCTCCAAAAAAATATAATATTGCGATGAAAACACTGGTAGAAATGAAACCTCGTATTCCATATCGCTTGAGGGCTTGTACACCATATGAACAAAATCCATCAGATACTGCAGTCCCGGGGAGTGTAGACGACGCAGTTCATCAAATGGACGTCTCAAATGTGAGTTGCCGATCAATTCACGAAGAGATTCCAACAGAGTGGTGCTAGAACGAGCTGTGAAACATACATGAAACAACTGTTTCTACACAGAACTAAATCAAATCGTCATGAACATCAGAATAAATAGCGCATATCGAGATGCCCATGAGTGACAATTTATTCTTAGTGATTTCTTTTATATTCGTTCCTGGATGTATGGACTGACGACGAATAGTGGTCGTCAATCTCCATTTACCTACATTTTGGTGACCACACTAAATCTAAGCTAGGGTGACTGTTTTAAGTGAATCAATCGTTATGTAAAACAGAAAGATAACAGTAAAAAAAGTGACAAACAAAATTTAATGCAAAAAGTAGTTCATGTACCTTCAACACTAAATGCGTCTTTTAACAATTTTTCCACGCGTTGCTTGATAACAAACGAAAATGGAAATCGGCAAGAAAAACGATGACCACCGGCCCCTGAACCAATAACTTGGACACGTTCTCGAACAGAATTATTAGCGGGTGATATCATGTCACTGTAACTAAGCTCTGAGATGCTACGGTCGGCCAAGATCTTCAGCCACAGCCTCGAAACCCACGTGTTGTTATACTCCATAAAGTCTAAATTACAGTCTCTGTCTGCCAATGCAATGATCTCGGCCAAAATAGGAACCACAACTGAGAACACTCGCTGCAGAAGAGCCTTTCTAAAGGTGCCCCACTCTTGCACCCCTGTTCCCGACAGAGCTTCTGATTGGAGCCATCCTCGTGGATTTGCCGCTGTTAGTTCTCTTTCCTTTAAGAGGTGGTATGTTCTTCGTACCACCACGCTTGCAAACGACTCTTCATCTTAAAAGAGATGGGAGTGAGGATTAAACAAATTAATAAAATAATGAAATTGAGGAGTTGAATTCTGCCAATTGCTGAATTAGACCTGACTTTTTCAACTCACTTCACACAATGTTACGTTCTTTTCACTGTTGCCCCCAAAACTACAATTCTGAATAACATTAGAAAGTCCTTTAGCACTGCGCCCAAAGTTGAATTGCTTTAATGGCTCAACAACGATTGCAAATTTGATGCTCATTCTAACCCAATATTGTTGATTAAATACGTTCCGAGCATTAAGCGATAAATAACCCAATCATTCTACCCTTGCCATTCTCGCAGCTTTCCTGACGACACCAGAGACGGTCACAACTTTGGGATGCCGTATAAATGGATTCTCTTTCGTAGCTTCTATATCACATTGACCTCTGCAAAAAGGTAGCGCATTATTCTTACACTGCCGCAACAATAGGAAAAAGGAAAGTTGTTCTGTATGTCTTGAAACAACTCTGCTGTTTGCCAATCTATAGAGGTCCCCACTTCATGGTACCATTATTGTAGAAAATAGCAAATATTTTCAATTACAGGAAAAGGAGCGCCCTACTCAATACCTTCCCGCAAACTTCTGGAGTACCTTTGAAGATAACACCAATGGTACAATTGGGTGATTGCAATATTTAAGTTAAACTTGGAGATTTTGCATTCGCCTTCTAAATATAAAGAAAGGCAAATTTAAAACCTTGAAGGCTTCGATTGCATCTTTCGAAAAGTTTACATTCCTTAAACTGAAAGACTTCTAAAATTCTATTAAGTCACATTGTTTATTGCTTCTCTTTACTAACCCTGAGTTTGGTAGTCATCAGGCAGTAAATCCAAAAGCAGCTCAATCCTATGAGTTGACCGTTCCGCTGATTCCGTTTCGCTATCAACCCTACAAGCAGCCGCCTGCACACAGTTACGAAGGAGCTTCACCGCCACCGTCACCGCTGGTATGTCGTTATCTTCCTCAATGCGGTCTCCATTAAAAAGCTCACTTATGGGACGATCGATGAGTTGCTCGATGGAAGGAGTGTTCTTACCGGGTGGACGAAGTTCGTCAATGTGAACGGACATCCATTTTCCACCCTGGAAACCAACAAAGTTACGACATCCACCAGGAATTCTTGGCAACTGTGTGATCAGCACAATGTGGACAGCTACCAACGAAGACAAATTAAGAATTTCAGACGCGTTTGTTCGTTCTTCCAGCAAAATGTGTCTTGCACCCGCAATCAGGTCGAAGTTTTCGTCTCCTGAATCACACTGAACAAGAAGAATACCAGGATAGTCTCCTCTAAGGTGTTTAAAAAAGGTTCTGCAAGAAAAAGATGACGGCTCGTCTCAGTAAAGAAAATAAGGTACACATCATAACAAAGTTATTTGAGGTGTACGAGGTGAGACACACTTTAAGCTGTCAATGTGTTACCCACAGACAAAATTCGCACAGACGGGGAGTAACACATCGCGGTTGTGATTCAGATAGTGGAGATGCTTATTATCCAAAGTTGAAATTTATCGAATGAATGAATAAAAAAAGTAACGCTCGTAAACAAAACTTGAAAATGTCCCAATAAAGGTCGTTCTCTCCAACAATTATTCCTTGTAGTTGACAGAAAAGGAAATTCACCTCATGCTTAGGGTCATTTCATGGTTTTTTCTTTTTATTAGCTCGTTTCTAACAGATAACGGAATTATGCTGCACAGTTAAAGTAGTTGCATTGCCCTAATCGCTTATTTGCATCAAGCTCTCACCTAACTGAAGCTCTAAACTGTTGTTCCGTTTGAAACTGTTGAAGTGTCATAGAATCCACAGTCGACCGTTCAAAGCCAGTTTGATTGCATATGTCTCCCAAATCGTTTTTAGAAAGCAGACGTGAATGAGTAGTAATCTAAAACAAAGATGAAAAATCTTGGTCTTGCAAGAGCCATCCTTGATTTGTTTATCTGCACTATTCATGTCAGTTGGTGATGTCACCAACCGCATGAGACAAGTACATGTCGAGGTTCAGTATCACAAACTTGTTCTTTGCTCGCATTCAGAACCTCCTCTTGCTGACTTAAAACATAGCTTGGACAGCCATACCCCGTTCACAACAAAGCTGAAACTCGGTTTAAATTGGGGATTCTTAAACTAACCTCTTTCAACTTTAAACATAGCACATTAAAAATACAAGTTAGTGATTAAGCCAGCCCTATACCAGCCCTATATAAATATAGTGCTCCAGCTGTCTGTTGCTGATGATCTTACGGTTAAACCTGGTCCAAGGAAACATTTTTTGAAGATGGGACATTACTTACGGGCGTGCTCTAACGCCTTGTAAGACTTTGCTGCAGATAAAGGTCTGCAGTTTCACTTAGCCACTTTCCAACATGTTTGCATCGTTACTATACTGTTAGAGCTTGTAAATATTGCTGCTTATGTGGTTTTTAAGTCCTCTATCTTGCTCAAGAGAGAAGCAAACTATATCATACACTACCAGCTAAGAACATTGTATCCTCATCACTAACTTGAATCAAGAGCCCCTCCTGACGTTTTTCATCAAAACGACTATCCTCCAAATTGAGCACGTGCGACATGAACTTCGCCAAACTTGAGTGCTGTTGTTTTTTGAAGTAGTCATTCCAGAAATGAGGGGCTTGTCTTTCTAAAGCAGTGTGAGGAAGGCGAGCAATTGCATCAGGTGTAGCCATCTCTAAAAGCATCATCCGAGATCTTCGAAGTACCTAGTAAGGGGGAGAAAAGACACCTACAACGTTACTTTGCTGGTCTAATGAGTGCAAAACTATACTTTACACAACAATCTTCGTCATCAAAAGCCCAATTCATGTTGCAGGCAAAGCATGTAAATTAGGAGTTACATTTAATTTCCCATCTTTCGCGCGCATCTCGGGGTGATCGACAAAAATCTCAAGTCCGTAACACGATACGTATTTAATAATTCAGTAGGAAAAAATATAAGCAAATTACATAATAGTCTAATCATTAATTCTCAAATCGATTGTAAGACATACTCGAGCAGAATTTGCTCGCTGTACTGACGAAGTGTTCCTAACGGATTAAAAATTCATGCTACTCGCAAAATTTCCAATTAATTCCGTTAAGCTTACTTTCATTTCCCATGTATCCTTTGTGTCATCACTTGCCGATAAGTGGTCTTCTCTTTCAATTTCATTACAGACTTGCATGACAATGGAGGGAATTGTATCCTCGTGAAATCCAACAAAAGCGTCTCCAATGGAGAAGTCCCTGTTGTAAAACATCAAATGAAAAAATATTAAAATAAAATAGCCCACAATCTAAAAAATGTTAAAATCATGAATAGTTGTTCCATATGCTTTACTATATTTATGTTTTGAATTGCGCCTCTTGGGATTGAGGAAAAGCCAACAGTTTTTTTTCTTTTAATCATGAGCACAAATCACACCCAAAATCACGCTGTATTCCGGATACTGCAAACTGCAATAAGATTGAATGTCTTCATAACAAAAGCCTCGAAACCCCTATCATGTAACATCACCTGCCACGTCTGTCTTCACCCGAAACCTCAGCAAATTCACTGGCCCAGGTGCGCAGTTTCTGTACCAAGTCCTTCTGGTCAGGAGTCAAACTTGTTAAGGTCACAAGGAAGTGTTTCTCTAGGCGGTTGATCAACGGAATGGGAAAGTTGTTGTACACCACGTCCTTTTCAGCAATCACGATTAATCTGATTAAGGGAGAGTGACTTAAAATTCAAAGCGATGAAAACAATAGGTTAAGGCTATATATGTTCCTTCACTGGCACTGCGTTTGTGAAGGAACACGAAGGAACGAAGATGACGATGAAAACGGCAAAGGCGAGGGATCGTCTTTAAAACGCAATCCTGGCAACGGTTGCGAAGGAGACTACAACGTAGGGAGCACATCCACATTTATTATGCTTTTTATCTGACCGCTTACAGTCGATAGATATACAAGTTCAAGGAAACTTTTGTGATAAAACAGAATTACAATTTATAAACCACACCATTACAGTGTGAATAAAATAAATCTTCTTTGCGACCCACGGAGGATAACGAGTAACGAAATTGCACTGACAGCTAAGCCACAATAACAAAAGGAAGTGAAATTGTCAAGGATTAAAAGGGATTCGTCTCAAAAAAGACACTGAAAAGACACTGAAAAGACACTAGGAAGACGTTACAACCCACTGAGCTACGAGGTCACATTGGGAGAACGTTGGGAACGAAGTCAATTAAAGGGATATTTTTTTGTTCCTTAAATGAACTTGCTCATCAGTGAACACAAAAAAATAACATTTTAAAAAATAATAATAAAATGTTCTTAAATATCGAGATTATCTACAATCAGCGACAAATCTGTTGACACATTGCCTTATTTAACACCCTATTACTTCAATTTTATCTCGTTTGCACTTGTAAAGTTAACCTATTCGCCCCCTTCCTCCCAAAACAATGTTGTATCGTAATTCTATGAACCTTAAGCTACATACAGGTAACATTAAATAGGGCGCGGGTGTTGTCAGTGATTTAGAGTGTGGAAGAGACAGAAGTGTTATCCTGCACATAAATACGACTATTCAAACATGAAGTGTCAACTAATTATAACGCTGATTGTAGGTAATGAGCCAAAATTCTTACTTGAAGCGATCATCAACACGACATTTGACGCGATGAGTACCAAGCCCAAGATCTACATACTTCTGTCCTCCAAAGTACACATAATACTAAAAATACAGCATACCAAGAAATATGACAACATTTCCAACCTTTTTTACTTCAGCACATGTACAATAACATTGAAGACACGACTTAACTTATACAATAATAGTTACAATACTTTTTAACATAGAGATACAAAGTAGAGCAGATTCCGCTTGGCCCCAACGAAGAGAGGATTTGCGAATGTTAACAACAAAATGTACAACATTTGCATGGGATATCTCATACCTGATTTAGGGCGTCGTACAGACTCTCGTAGAGACTTTCAAGGTTCAATAAGATCACTGTTCTTCCTGTCTCCATACAAACCTTGATGCGATTGATGTTGCGACAGATCTGGATATTAAGTTACTAACGTAAATTGTACAGTTAAACTATTTATAGGACTCCTGTACTAAACACCAGAAACAATCATCTCTCCATTTGCACATGAAACTAAATTCGTCGTAAGTTGTAACAAACTTTGTTCTTATATCCATAAGTTTACGTTTGCTAGTCATCATCGTTTACTTCTCCCACAATCTCTAAAAACATTTGATGGTAAGTCATGAGTACACTTCAGAGCCAACTCAAACTGTAATTAATGCAACTCTGTTCACAGAGAGTCTCTCCTCCCATGCTTTTTACCTGAGTATATTCTTGGTCATTAGGAAAGCTGCTTCCAAAGATGACAATTGCATCATCCGCTGTTCTCAAAAGATGCTGCTGCATGATGGGTAAGGCGGCGTAATTTTCAGTCAGAATCAGAAGGTAACGGTTTTCACTGTAAGACATTTAGTTAACATGAAAACCTATCCCGTTACTATTTTATGTCAGCTACTTATAAACGACTCGACGAACCAACAAACAAAGAAATAAAAAATTGGGTTAAGATGAACAGTAGATGTACCTGAAATTGGCTCTATCTGCAACGTCTTCCCTTCCAAGACTTGCCTCGATCAATCTTATTGTTGTGGAGGTTTCACCTACGTTGTCATCCTTCATCGATGAGGGAAAAGTCAGGTTAAGCAAGTAAATAAATCCTGCCCCAACTGTTAACTGAATTTCCGAGCTAAACGTATATGTATCAACCCGGTAAAAATAAAAAATCCTGACATTTAATGTGAATAATCCCCTATTGATACCATGGATCAAAGTTTCCCTGTATAGTCATGATTTAATGGACCATTTTGCAGTGCTTTATGATTGGCTACATCGCAATGAAGTAGAGTGAACGCAATGTAGAAACAAGTTCGACACTAGCTTAATATTGTTCTGTACGTCAACTTACGTCTTTTTCGGTATAGTAGCGTTTGAATATCTCTACAGGGTCTCTTTCAATTAGGCCACCAAAGTTCCTCTTGATAGCGTGTTCTAGTTCATGCCAGCGAGGTCTCTGATGAGATTTTGCAGCGATTGCGTACACCATCTTAATGAGGCTTGCGTAAAAGACAAAAGAGGTGAATCACTTCGAGCACATAAGTTTATTCATCATTAAAGAAGCGAACTAAAACGAATCGATGTAAAAGGTACGCTCTCAGATATCAAACCTGTAAAAGTCACGAAGACCAAAAAATTCTTCTTTGCCACATTTTTTTAACGATGCAAAATTTTTCTGTTCCTTGTAAAGTTGTGCATATCCAGCGGCCAATGGAGATATGAGAGGCAGGATAAGAGCTTTCACCACTTCATCCGTGGAGCAAATTCCCCTGGAAAACAATACTCAAATGTATATAGGAAGGCAAGGAATGTCTGTTTCCAAACCTACCACAGAACGACGCAGGACTGACTAAAAACATAGCAAAGTAGCTTTTGAATACATTCGGAGACATTTTATTCAATACTTTGGAAATTTCCCCTTGTTTTTCATGCTCTAAGTTATTGGCTAATATCAATTTTCGAGAAAACCGATATATCACCACATCATAATGAGTAGAGGGATATAATTTCATTTCTAAAGGCTACAATTTTAAACGGAGATCAAAAGCAATTTAATCAATTTTAGTCTAAAGTTTCTTTACCAAAGTTATGACGGTTTTCACAAGGTTCAACGAAATTATTTGTGCGGCCGCAATAACATTTCCGTAATGGTTAATATGAGCGCCAAAATGAAAGGATACCATACAATTAACTCACATAGCACTTTCTATAAGTTCTCCCTCGCTTGGAACCCCACGCGACAACATGATTCCACGGTTTATTTTAGCGGGATCCAGGGCCCAATTTGAGATTCCAATGAAAGCTACGCGCTGCGGTTTCTCGTCAGTCTCAATGACCTCATCAGCAGTTGTTATACCATCCTCGAGCAATGGATGTAAAGTTTTAAGAGGCATGAGAGGAGAGTCTTCTGCCAGACCAACCTCATCAAGGACTACAACTGAAACAAACTTGTCTGGATTTTTTCCCTCCTGTAACTTGCTACACTGCTTGAAAGTCGCCATGATACCCTCAGGGGTTGAAAGAGGACTGCACTGATATGATGCCATGTGAACCTACGATGAAACAAATAATTCTACTGTTTTAAAAACAGACTTTGAGGTAACGCATACAACACTTTTTGGGAAGGAAATGGTGTTAAAGGTTCTTTGTGTGACTCTAAAATTAACATCCTCTTTACTGCTTACCTCCCTATTCCAAAACGTAGAGCAAAAATACTGTGGACTACGCAAAACGCGGAAAACCGATGGTGACCAAATAGCAAATGGCTTACTAATATCTTCCAACAATTCATCGAGTTTCCCTTAAAGTATGCTGGTCACCATTCGTACTTTTTGGATCAGAAAGAAGCTGTTATAGTAACGTGTCTTGACCAAGTCAACATAATAACCCGGCCGAAGCTCGAAGTTGAATGTAACCAGGACATCGACTACCGCGAGATAAAAATATCTCCTACGAATTCCCATTACATCGATCCTAATTGCTCTTCACTTACGGAAATAAGAAAATGAAAGTACAGTGTATTTGAAATGACCATATAACCTGCTTGAAGGTCTTGAATAGTAGCGATCTTGCAGCATCGCCTTGCATGTTATCAGCAACAACTGTCTTGGCCAAAGATTTTGAGCTGCCTGGTTTTCCAACCACAAATAATGGGATCCTGAGCTCAATGCACACCACCATCATAAACACATTTTCGCTCAAGGCTGTGTTGCGAGCGATGTTGGGGCCGAGATCCAACTCGTTTAGCATAGCTTTTTGACAACTATCATAGACAAAATTGGGACACATGAGATAAATTGCTTGCTTACATCTGGTAAAGAACTAGCAAAGGTGTGAGTAAATAACCTGAACTCCACAGCTCCTCTCTTATTGATCAAACTTCTGTTAATACCACATACACATGGACCAAAACCTTTTTTGTCTAAATAAAATTTACATCTTGGAATTTTCAATTGCCTGGCCGCAATAAATGTCTTTCTATTTGGGTAAGTAAAAGTCCAAAAGGCTGGGTCACCACCTCTTTGCCTGAATTAAACTACGTTGCATTAGACTTTTCTCATACCTTGAAATCTCACGGTGTATCTGCTTGTGACCACCTGGAAGCAAACATGGCGCCTTAAAGCTGCGTGCTACGAAAATGCGATATTCTTCACGCTGCTCCTGAAGCTTGGCATGATAACAGACACCAATGGCGAGTACCAGGGCACGGGTAAGAGGAGTGATTGAGTTCTGCAGAATATACAATATCATGATACTATTAAACAGAATTCTCGCGGCCCCGCTCTGTACCCCCTTAAACATAATTGGATTTCCTCGATGATACACACACCTATTCGTGGTTTGAGCAGATGACCTCTTATAGCACCAAATTTTCAGCAATTCACTCCGTATCATTATTTTGTAGGATCATACAATAACTCAATAGGGTACGTCCGAAGTCCCCAAAACGAGGAATGTTTTCAGAGTTTACTATCTTTCTTATTCCAATTTTCGCGCAAACAAAGTGACTTTCAAGAAACATTTTCCACCAGTTTGAGAGGATTTTAGAATCGAAAATAGCTCACTCTGACATTCTGTAGGATTGTTCATGACACAAATCCTATTTTCGGTAGAATTGTATTAAGAGGAGCATAAAATGTTAAATGGCTGTATTACCACCTCCTCCTCGTCATCATCTTCATCGACGTCTAAACCTTCCTCCCTTCGTTGCTCAGCAGTCACCTTTCTCATAAGTCTACCAAGTGTATCCACGTGCTTATAAAACCAGACCATCACTTGCATGGCTCTCTCAACATCACGAAGACTAACAAAGCTGCACTCATCCTTTATTAAAAAAAAAAAAAAGGCTGTTCTCTCTTTGGGCTTGCACCGCTACCGTGTGATTGACAGAGCAATTTATAACGCTAATGCATCTATGCACAAAAAAAGTGTTTTAAAACTTCTCACGCACCGATTGATCTCTCATATATTTTTGCGAGGCTGCCAGAACTGCAGCGATTGCTTCTACTGTCAAAGGGTCTCCTACCAATTGTCCATCGTAAAGAATCTGTCATAAAAACAATCGAAACACAAAAAGTAAAATCAAATTGTATCAAAGATAGTCTAGGGGAGTAAAGTGACGTTTGCTCTCTTGACCCGTGGTTATTCCAGAAAACGGAAAAAGACAAAGCAACAACCTTACCCTTGTTTGGTAGACTCATGTTTCGTTTCTTTATGGATTTATTCATAAAATTAGGAGGATATAAGTAACTAAATACCATACCTCCTGTACCCCAACCTCGTTCCATGATTCAGAATGTTTATTTCCACTTATTATAACGTAGGTTCAGTAAAAACGTTCCCTCAGCCTTCTTGATCATGTCATGCATTTCTAAATTCATTTCTTTGACAGAGGACTGATAGTTTATGGGTTAGAAAGATCATATTTTGAGTTCAGAGGGACTATTAGAGTACACTTACGTAACGGCTGACAATTTGGTTGATATAAAGTCTCTCTATATCTGGTTTCAGTTGACCAAAATCCCATATCAACGGGCGCATACTCCCTGGGAGGGCGTGTACACGGTAGACGAGATGACGTAAAGGGATATGACCTGTGAAGAACAGTTATTACTAAAAATTAATTTCTAAGCGACTTTTTAATACACCACTATGCTATACCAAATTTGCATGTGGGACACAATGTCCCTGTTCTTGATCGTGACAATTTTTTTTTCAGGGTGTGACCCAACTTAGATGATCGGAGCCTGTCGTAATTGCCGGGAGTCAGCCAAAGGGGAACTGTCGATGGGACAATCGCATGGTAGGCAAGTTCCTCCTTTTTAGGAATCATTCAACATTGAAACAAGGCACCACCCGTGATTAATAGAGCTGTTAACACTCTCCTTTCTAAAAATCAATTTTCCAACAAAATTCTAAGGAAATTCAACCCCAGATAACGTTCCCTACCCAGCCGATCTTCTGATTCATCTGCTTTCACGTGATATCCAAGGCCAGCTGACTCCAGCTTGTGGATCATGTCATCTGTGTGCCTAGAAATACACAAGAAAACAACACTTTGTTCTTACCATTCATTTCTAAGACAATGTGCGCTTAGTTAAACTTGGAGTGGGAGACACATGTTTTACCTTCTGTAAGGATTACATGCAGCAATAAATTGCAGCCTTTCTATGCCTTGTCCAATAGGTCGACCATTGATTCTTCGGTCCACCATAACTTCCTTAATCATGGTCAGTGCCTCAGTGGTGTTGGCTTCGTCAAAGAACAAAACCGTGTCAACATTCTTGTCTTGATTTGCGCGGGCCATTTCTTCTGCTTGATGAACTTTGAGCTTGATGTCTTCGTATGTTGTACCACCATGAACCTTGAAAAGAAAATGATGTATTATGATAGTATAATAGCCATGTGTGTCATTCAATCTCAACAGAAAGGAGGGTATATGACGTCTTAAACCAGACATAGCTGTTAAATAAGTGTTACGTTGATCTTATTTTCTGGGAGAGATTTCCTACCACCAGAAGGAGCAGCGCTATCATTTCCCACCATAAGCAGCTCTACTGTCACGATCAAAGTCACTATCACAATCATTCGCAGCAGGAGCATCAACAAAAATATCACCAACAGCCCAACTTTTCGGCTTTTACTTGAGTAAGGTAAAGGCTCATTTCCATATTTCCAGATTTTTACACTTTCACACTTCCACACTACCAAGTTAAGATAAATGTGAGAAAGGTAAAGGCTCATTTGTATATTTTCATATTTCCATGCTTCCACACTTCCTCACTTCCTCACTTCCTCACTTCCTCACTTCCTCACTTCCACACTTCCACACTTCCACACTTCCACACTACCACACCACCAAGTTAAGATAGATGTGAGAAGGGTAAAGGCTCATTTGCATATTTCCTGATTTCTAAACTACCACACTACCAAGTTAAGATAAATGTGAGAAAGGTAAACGCTCATTTGCATATTTTCAGACTTCTAAACTTCCAAACTTCCACACTTCCACATTATTCGAGAGTAAGGTAATCACACATCACACATTTTTACGTTTCAAGGTTACTCTAAGGCGATTAATTTCATGTGCAGCACATTCCATTGTGATGAGGTGTTCTATGCTCTTCTATCCCAAGTAAAAGCCAACTTTTCCAAACACTATCAACAACAGCAGCACCAACCTTGAACTCTCCAGCAAAACCCCTATTCTCCCAATTTTGCCACAGCCACCGCCACCAGCAGTATCAACACCAAACCCACTACAATCACCATCTACACCACAACCACAGACAACAACACCATCCCAATCTCCATCGCTACCACTAAGCTCACCACCACCACCATCATCATCATCAAGATGAGCTCTTCACCAAAATCGCGCAATCACTACCTCGACAGCGTCACCATCTGCATCATGCAGCATTGGCATTATCAACGATAAAATACTCAGAAGAGGAGCGCCACCAGCTTTATCGCCACCGACAACTTCCACCAAAAGTATTTCATCACAATAATCAAAAACATGTTATCCACCATTACCACCATTAAAATATGGTGTTAGGACGCTTTTGATACAAAGGAATATTCGAATTCTAATAATCAACTCACCTTAACGAGAAGCATGTTTCGGGGTCCTTCAGGCCCTGCTTGTAGGCCGCACATGTATCGAATGAGACGGGTCTTACCACAACCTGTCTCACCCATCACGATCACAGGGATGTTGCATCTGCAGATTTTAAAGCTCAGAAGTGAGTGAAAACCAGTTTACCTTGTCAGGCAATGGCAAAATATTGTTGAAAAAGTATATGGAGTTTGCTTTCGATCTGTTTCATTTTCGTTGCCATTTAGACTGAGAGTTGAATTTGCTCTGATACTTGCATAATCTGATCATAATTTGTGGTAATAATGAAGAGAGAATTCAAAACAGTATATCACCGCCTCTTACCTGAATCTCATGTGAATGGCCAGAATCTTCTTGACATTGTCTGTAGTTAATTCATAGGCTTTGTCTGGATCGTAGGACCATTTTACCCCCATCACAGAACATAACTGATTTATCTTGTCCTCTCTAAAAGAGAGTAAATATGTTGTACAAAATTCATCACAATGGAACAGATTGTCACTTAAGAACTAACAGCTTCGGTGAAAATCTGCTTTTCCTTCTAGAGGGTGCATCGAGGCGGCAATGCTTTCCCTTTAAATGCTCTGTGCCGTGGATCCCTTTTCTAAGAATTTTGCCAGTCTTACCACACACTTCATTAGAAACAATTCATCAATTAAGTGCCATGAAGGAAACAAGGTTAATTGTAATCACCCTGTATGAGAGAAAAATAGCTACAAATGGGTTTATTGTCTGGCACTCACTTTTTGGAGGTCTCTATGTTTGTGTCAAAATCGACACCTTGAGCCCGCAGACCATTCCGCAACGGTTTGGACATTAAACCCTTCTCCAAAGTTTCACTTCTTTGTGGGTCAACAAGATCACCAGCGGAATTGATGAAGAAACCAAGAAAAGTCATAGTTATGTGATCTTGGTTGAAGAACAGGTAGGGATGAGGACTGAATAACAAAAGAACAATCATGAGAAACACTGGGTACAAAACATGGGAGATTGAAAGAGAGGATGTAGTCCTTATCTGAAAATTTTAGCACAAAGCGAGCTCGCAATACGATTTCTATTTGAAAGTTAACCTGTCTAAGTTAACTCTTCAAAAAACCAAATGGTAGCAATAACCAGGAAAAATGTGAAGTTTTGAATCATAGCAAAAATTGTTAAGCTCTCACCTGCCTTCCCAGTGTCTTCTCAATTGAAACTGTTCGATCTCTTTCCGCTCAAGCTCTGCTTTATCCTCTGTGTAGAATATAGTGTTCTCTTTTGTCAAAGATGGAGTGGCAAAATCCTAAAAGGAAATGATATAACTCCTCATGGTACTCACTGCTGCTGCAAAGCCACCGAGGGACGTAATAAAACTCAGAAGCTTTTCTAATCATGGTAATAAATTAAAACCCAATATCCGAGTTCTTCATTTCCGAAAACTTTTCTGATTAGGTGATAAAGAGATTTGACTGCACACTGCTAAAACATTCTATGTAGATAGGGAGATTACATTCCACGAAAACGACGAAGTTGCCACATGCAACTAATTTTCAAGATAAAAGCCAACGTCTACGTAGAGAAAACTTTCAACTTTCCTTCGCTACGGAGACACCATTCTAAATAACCTTTGTAGAGTAGTAAGAAACTACCACAGTTTGCCTCTAGATAGGTGCGCATGTGTATTATTGCTGTAACTGTCCTAGAGTCAGCAGGACGCCATCAGAATGTTGGGCGAGTGAAGATTGAAAAGCCAGCTTACCCTTGACATTTGTATCATAAAGCGCACAACAAAAGAGCGGAAGCCTTCAAGATTCGGCACATTGGGTCCTGCTAAAACAGCCCCCATTAGCTGCATGTTACAATAACAACTCTGTTCACAGTCTTGGAGCTGCGAGTTCAAGAAACTCACAAAATGACGAATCTCTGACCACGAGGGATCAGGAATACCGCAATTTCTGCAAAGGAAACAGTAGTAAGTAACCATGATGGCAGACCAAACACTTTGTTTAAACAACCTTCAACAAGAAAGAGATATTAATACTTTCCTCTATGTTTGTGCCTAAGAATCAAGTTAGAAAGGGACGACTCCGTTTAAAAGAAAGCTCCGTATTCCATTTTTAAATTGTTAATGTACCTTTCAGCAAAGACAGAGTCGGCAAACACTATCTGTAAACACATTTAGAGCATCCAATTAAGTACGTGCAACAAACCTGAGAATTAGCATGAGGCATTTCCATCGATCTTCATCAACATTTTCAGGCGAAAACGTAAAATTGTCAAGATTCTCTCCTTCATTTGACAGTTTCAGATATTGATAAACCCTCTGGAACGGTGGGTTTCGAAACTCTTTGACGTCAAACAGCGGATTATAGTCATGTTTATCTAGAAAAATATTCAAGCAGACTCACTTTAGAATCAGCTACTAATTGCTGTTTGAAGGAGAATCTCAGTAAAATACCTGGAGTATCTGCTAAACGGCTGAGAACAGTTGTTGGAGTTTGACACTCAATAGTAGGTAGCAGTTCACAAAATGGCCGCTTAGACATTGTGGATTTTCCAGATCGTCTCTGAAATCAAAAGAGTAGTAGACATCACAAGCAGAAACAATAAAGGACACGAGCGACTTTCCATGAAGCAACGGATATTTAATTCACTTCTTGAACTCTCAAACTACCAAGATTTCAACCCATGAGCTTCCAGGCCCCATGTTCTGGGAGCACTTACTTTCCACTGTTGGGGAACGGGTTTAATTTCCAGACTACGTTACGTCACATGCGGGTAACTCCCTTGTTAGTTCTGTATCCTCCCTCCACAAAATTCACTAACAAAACAATGGACGAAGAACCTCTCCCTGGTTGTGCTACTGCGTTACCCTGTTGATTTAATATCTGTAGATAACATTCATCCTCTCTCCAACTTTTCCACTCACCCCTTGACTTTGAGCTTCTTCCTCCCTGGTGAAACTCGTGGGTAGGGGAGCAGCGGTCGTGATCTCAATGATGTACAAGTCTGTGCTTCTTCTCCTCCACACTCTTCCCATTTTGTCACAAAGGTAGCCAAGGACAAAGAGGTTGAAAATAAGAGTGTCCAGACCATGTCTCAACTAAAAGGAGAACATAACATGTCATAAAATATTGAGATAAGTGAACTGAGTCTGTCCTGATCACTGCAATTCAGTAGAAGATTATTTTAAGGACCTGAAAGGCTTTAAGAAACTTCAATTCTGAACTTTTTGTTCGTGCTTCCCTAACAGGATTAACTGATATGAAATTTACTTCGGGGAACGTTCGCTCAAGATCTTATTGACGGCACTTGTACATAGATTATGTTAGTTTAGCCCTTTGACACGACTGAAGACACGTGCCGGTTGGGCATTTTTTCAAGTATTGGCCACTGGAGATATAAATTCAAGTTTCAACTCACATACGTCTCGTATCTTACCGAAGGTGACACGTCCAGATGGAATATACGGGACAGAGGTACATTTGCCTTCACTGCATGCGGAAGTAGCGCATCAACAAGCATCGACGGGTCTATGGAATTCCCATGAAGAGGTACGGTCACGTGCAAGAATGTTTTTGAGACTTGTCTTCGCAAATTTTCCATAACCATGTCGTTGTTTAGGTTAGGAAGCTGTTCAGTTAAGCGACGAACAAACAGAGTCTTTCCCAAGCCTCCTCGGTGTGATGAGACAACTCGAACGGAGAGTCTAAAAAAAATGAGCATGTTAGCTGCACCAATCTTCATTAAAAGAAGACCACTATTTCATAATAATAATAACAACAATAACAAAATTTAAGCATGGAGCTTACTTCATCAAGCGGTGCTCTTTAGTGGGGCCCTGCATATACTGCAATTAACTTTAATTAAATAAAAACTACACATGGTTAAAGAGTAAAAACTAGATTAAGAATAGAAACAGTAAAAAAAAACAATTTAAAACAATTTAAAAACTTATTAAAAACTTTAAAACGCATGTTTGAGCTTAGATTTCAAATAAGAAATCATAGAGGTGTCACATATATCCTGACTTAAAGAGTTCCAGTCTACGACGCTCTGATACATAAAACGTCGTTTTTACATGAGTGTTGAAATTGTGAACTGTGTTATTTTTGACGAAATGAAAATGAAAATCAATAAAACCATTCAAACACTTGAAGATCGTTGTACAACGATGGAAACGTTGCCTGAGATGCAGTGGCTTCCAACCATGAGAATCAAGAGCTTCGGACGCAGAGGATTGCGGATGGCGATGAAGAATTATCTTAGCAGCTTAGTTTTGAAGAATCGGAAGATTTTTCATGGGAGCGGAGCAACAATGTCACTATAATCAAACAAGGGAAAGACGAGACTATTGTAAAGAGTTAAACGGGATTGGAGTGGTAGTATCTGCTTTACTCTTCTCAAAACATCAAGGAGTTGATTGATTTTGTTGACAATCGAAGAAATGTGATCTTCCCAAGTCATATTTTGACTGATTGTAACTCCTAAATACTCCTAGTTCGAACCACACCGCTCGGACAATACAACAGTTCTCTCTTTTTGAAATCCTCTATTCTAGAAACAGAGACTTCAGTCAATTTGAACAAGACACTTCTACAAACTTTGCTTCTTTCACCTTTATTGAAGAGAAAAAATTTTCCTAGACATCTTTTTATCTCCAAGGGTATCTCCAGAATGGAGGCTCCCCTATCTTAACCTTTAGGAACATAAGCGAGAACTTACTTTCCTGGGTCTAGGGATCCTGCTGTTTTCCAAGTAATCTTACTACCACTAATGTAACTGTCCTGAGAAGGAGGTGCTTGGAACTGATGCTTGAGGTAACTCTGCAGGTCATCCGGCGAAGGACAAGGTGGAGCAGCAACACGATACTGATCAAGAGCTGCTACTACGTTGGCATGATCTTCATTCTCGCTACTGCAGATTACCACCAGGCCATAATCTGCGAAGTAACAAACACCACCGACAATTCATACCCATAAACTTGACCTTCCGATGAAAAACATGTCGTTCAACTCAAGTCAAACTCACGTTCTCCAGCCTTGCCAGCAAGTCCCCGTGTCACTACACTAAGCATTTCCACTGCTTGCTTACTGACTGAAAAATCCAACACATCTGCGTGTACGAGACAATAAAATCGGCCCTCCATGTCCCCTATTGCACGTCTCCATAGCAACTCGATCTACGTACAAGGAAAAACAAATGGAAGGAAACAAATTTTAATGATTGGGCCACTCAACTCATGAGCGGGAAATTTCTCTACTTTCCTCAATCTGCTGGATATAAGAATCAAGATGTGTTTTTTTTAAGCAACTACGCTCCTCGACTCATTTTACTATTAACGGTATAAAATAGTAAAATATGTTATGAAAATCCTTCCGAAATGTACACTGTACCTCTTCTGTGGCGGTCTCAGGTGTGCAAAGGAGCACCTTATCATGGCTTGGCAAAGGCTGCTTTTCGTCATGCATATAGAGGGCGAGGACTGTAGCAAGGATGTCATCTACAACAAAATGGGTAGGAAAAAGAACAAATCATAGTAGAGAGTACAGGCTGTCGTGTAAAGTACGCAAGATGGGGAATACATGGCAGCAAGACCAAAATGATTTTAGTTATTGAACTTTAAAACATTGTACCGATCTGATTAGGTGATCTCTGGGTTCCTGCTAGACGTACCTTTAGGAACAAGTATGAGGTTGGGTCGTCCTCTTTTTAAGAATGCTGGAAAGGTGCGAGCTGTCGCTCGAATTCCTGAAATGTGAAATTAATATCATGTTCACGGTTCAGCAAATAGAGATAGTTTTAATATCGCAGCTATAGATTTTTTGATAACCTCAGCAGCGGTTTTAGCTGTTTTCCATGAATACAAGTGAGTGTTTTACCGACAACTGAAAGTGTTCTAAGGAGTTTTCCAAGCTGGGTGAGTGTAAGATATTGACTGATCTCTGTTTCGTTATCTCCGTCTTTGCTAACCGCCTGCTCTGCAACAATGGTTTCAGCAGGCGTGGACGACATCTCCAGTAGCAGGGCTGAGTCGGTTTCGTTTTCACTGAAGCAAAAGGAAAATAACTAAACCTCAGTTTTTGATGGTTGCTTTCATATTTCGAAAAACATCGGGTTAACACAGTCACCATGTAAGCTTAATTATTCCAACTTGAAAATAAATTGCAGGTCTCGTATCGAAAGAAAACATCCTACGCAAACAGTGACATTAGCTCTTTTTCTTTAACGTTAACATTGTCAAGTGATTGTGATTAGATACCTTTTAAGTAATCTAAAATGATGTTCCTTGTTGCGCCAAAGTTAATTTTAGTTGGTATTACTGACATACCGGAAATCCTCGGCTGGCACATCCTGATCAATAGACTCCACCACCTCTGGGAAGATTTCTCGGGCAATCATGGGATTTTGCTTCGCATCTTCGTAAAGAGCCTCGATATCAGCCTCGTCCGCTTTTTCTCGGCACCACAACAGTAAGTTGCCTTCTTCTGCATCAACACCTTGACTCGCCAAAGCAGCTAATGCAATCTGCTCCGAATAACCATTATCGGCAGCTGCATTCAAGAAACTTTGAATCTTCGATATTTCCTTCGGCTTCGGTCTCTTGACAGATGCAGTTTGTAGTTGACAAGTACTGGTTGCTGTTGAGGAACTCGTGCCTAAGTAGTTGTTGTTGCTAAACATTGACCTGTAAGTCACTATTTCGTCGTCTGATGGAACGTGAGTGGACGAAGGCAGTTCCGCTGTTCCTTTAGGGTTCTCGAGTAATTCTTTCTCCTTAAAAGCACGCTCTATTGCTGATTTTAACTGTTCGCTGGTCAAGCTAGGACGAACACTTTCCAGTAAAGTGAGCACTTGAATGTTGCTAATAGCGAGGTCGTTGCTGTTGCAAACTGTAGCGATTTCTTTCCTAAGTGTCATCAACTGCTGCGTGGTGAAGAAGTTCAATTCTCTATACTCCTTCCTTGCATCACTGACCTTCTTTTTCCAGTTCTTGTAACACATTTCCATGTAGGAGCTTTCCTTATCCAATTCCTTCGCAATAGACTTTCCCGCGACTTGATCTTTGCTACAGTGATATTCTTGGCTCCAATTCATACGATGAATGTAACCAGATTCAAAGAGGTTGATGTATGCAGTCGCTAAACGCATGACACCTTCAAGATTCTATAATTCGATAGAAACATTTTAGTTTGTCAATATTAGACAACAACTTCAACGAATAACTGTCCACATAACTGTTGTATTTTCACTTACCCTAACGAACTGCTCCACGTCACTCTTCCCTTTTTCAGCTTTTCCTGCGATCAACATTAGTTTACTCTGCAAATCCTTTAGTTCGTCAATAGAGTAAGTTTTCCTCTGCTCCTTTTCACTTCGATCTTTAAGGGGAACCGTCAGTCGGATCACATCTTTGAATGACAATCGTTTTCCTTGTTCTGGTGAGAGACCCTTTTCGTCATCCAAATGGCCCACAAGATATACACCACTGGAGTTGATAGTCTTAGCCTGCACTAATGACGTCATAGCAACCGAGCCATGAGACTCTTTAACAGTTTTTAGCCACTCCAGATGCCTGCTAGTGTCATACTACGAGAAATATAGAGGTCGGGAATCAATCAAGTATTTGGTACCACTTTTCATTATCCTTTTGTTTACTGTTGTGCATTACAATGAGTTAAAAGCAATAGACATTACGGATAAAAATTAACACTCGATTTTATGACTGTATAGCAAATAAAGGTATTCCAAATTTAGTAAAACATGTTCTGACGAAGTTAAAATAGGTAAACGCAAACAAGACGCTTTGAAACAAGGCACTCAAAACATTTGAAATCCCGATATTTTTTACCAGCTTTTTGGGTAACATCTGATCCGTCTCGACTGCTTTCCATACAGGATCGCAGGCGTTCATCAGTTGATCAAAGCTCACTCTACGTCCTTCACTCTCTTTGAGGTCAAATATCAGAGGAGCAAAACCTAGGCAGCTGGTATGTAGACTGGATATACGATCAGTTTCCATATCGCTTTCACCAGCAGAGATCAAGGCCAGGTCAACAAGAACCTTTAGCTCTTGGGTGGCTGTTAAACGAAAGACACTTAAAGGCGTTCATTATTTTCTACAGAGCAACACCGATGTGAATAATTATTGTAATATCCGCCATACCAGTTGAATAACTGCAAACTAAAAAAATTTACTATAATATATTTGTCCGACGTTCGGAAAGATAAAAATTTCGCAAACCGCGCAATACATGCTCGATGCATTTTGTGTAGAGAGTTCTGTCAAACTTCATGGCAGGTGAATAGAACCCTTGCAGGCACTTTTCAAATTGTTTCCCTGCCGTTTCTTCAAATTTTTTGAACTTCGTCTTTTTGTTGAAATCATGCAGCAAAACAATTGTATCTTTAATTTTTGCATATTGTAAATGTACTGTGTGCTCCCCAGTTTTCGTTAAAAAGCATGTTTTATTTCAATTTGATTTTAAAATTGGAAATCGGAAAGACAAACCTACTGCTAAATATGATAGTTAAGTTTTATCAACTGAGTAGATAATGTAAATTTACCACCGCAAAAAATTTCAAAGCTGACGTTTCGAGCGTTAGCCCTTCGTCATTTGCTCCGATGAGGGGCTAACGCTCGAAAGGTCAGCTTTGAAACTCTTTAAGGGGGCCAATTTGTATTATCAACTCAGCTGATGAAACCAAATTATCTTGTTATACTCCCCCCCGACGCAGCACCACAGTTTCTTTAGAAACTTACCCCCTTTATTTACTGCTAAATAGGCTTCAATCAACTGTTTACCGTTATTGTGTTCTTGGCATGGCCTTCTCGTTCAATTAAAACATTTCCCCTTGCAGAAACTGAAGCTTTCTCTTTAGGTGGTTGGAAGTGATTATAATTCGGCTAATCACTTCAGAGAAAGCCAATCATGCAGCGCGGGTGAAAAATGATAATCACTTTTGTAGTAAGACAAGCTAACAAAATCAGGGGAACAGCCTTGAGATTAGGGAAGTTAGCAGCGATACGGCTGGTGTTTTCGTTTACTACTGTACATCCGTTCGACCATCTGCCCCAACTTACATTTGATCGTGGAACGTAGCCACTCCACCAGCCGTCTGCTGTCTACCACTGCTTTGAAGCACTGAGCCTTGTCACCATAGCAACATTGAAGAGCTTGACCAGCCTTTGAAAAGCTTTCCCCGACGCTGGTTAAGGGCTTCTGCTTGAACTCTACTGATAGCTACAGACCAAAATACTGGAAAATTAAACAAGTTTTTTTCACATATTTAAGTGAGGTGCACTTATTGTTAGCAGCCTATCGGTTTTCTTTGCAAAGTATTTGTCCGATTACGGGTTCTCCGAAATGATTGCCTTGAATCAAACTGAAAGCCTTGACAACAGTTAAACAAAGCGTCCTCAATTTGGGTTAAAAATTTACTGACAGATACTCGTTTCTAGTGAAGTACAGTCCTTTTTGTTACGATGTAGTCACTTCCGATGTGGTTTGCGACATTTCGACTCCATACTCTGGTCTTCTTCAGCTGCTCAAAGAAGAATAGCAGTTCTAGCGCCTGAAAAAAAGACTCACCGGTCCACGTCAGCAGAGCCCACACCGTGAGACAAACGCACATAATTCACTATAAATGTACTCACCACGATGAAAAACCGCATCCCATTTTAAAACAAATACTCGTGTTTACTTTCCAAACTTACTCAGTATCGTCAATACATAATAAGGACTATGATACCTGATTACGTATATCTTCGATAACTTTAAAGTCCCCGGTAAAACCCATCGCCTCCTTAAACTCCCAGACGGTGTCAGCTGCACTGGAGTATTGATGAAGATGTTGGTAACGTTCAATTTGAGCAAGTCGCTCTGCGACAATTTTCTGTTGTTTTCTGGCGTTTCTCACAGTTTGGCCGGTGTTCACTTTGAACATACAGGATAATTCTCCCTCGAGTTCCTTTTTGCGATTTTCGTAGCCGTCAAAGAGCTTGTCAACATCTCCAAGAGAAATTGTGCCATCCTTGACACTAGCAACAGTTTGGGCCCAACTTGTAATAGCTGGTTTCCAAACATTTTCAACAACATCACTAATAGTGAGCTGTCGTTTTCGTGCATCGTCATTTTCCCTGGCTCTTTGTGCCTTATTCCCAAATTTTCTCCAAAGAGCCTGGAACGTGAAGCTTTTTTGAACTCTTCCAAGAGTGGAAAGTACCTCCTTAAGGGCCGGAGGAAGTTTAAATAAGATAATTTCGATTTGGTTGTCGTCTACCCGTTTGCACAAGCCTCGAATCTGGAAAGATGAAACATCCTGAGACACTTTATTCTTGAGCTTGGTTGAATCGACTGCGGAAAAAAGGTTACTTTCAATAATAAGACTATAATAAAAAGTCACACACTAAACAAAGATAAGGGTGTGAACCACCCACTGAACGCCTTGCCCTCTTGTTCCCTTTTTCTAGTCCGCTACCCTCGTAATAACAATGTCAAAACAGATCGAAGAATGACCTCCTTGACGCTAGGGTTGAATACAAACAGGTGGTGAACAAAACAAACGGAAAAAATCGATGCCTAAAAATCTCTTACCTGGCTGGATCACATCACACATTCCAATAAATGTGCCCAAATTTTCTTTCACTACAAAAAATTCCTGAATTTCTTCTAATCGGTGAGCCAGGCTAAGCTCAGCATCTTTGACCTCTGCAGCACTTGTCATTAAAAGTTCCAAGAACGTTTCCTTGTGCCTTTGCAGAAGGAGCAACACTTGAAAAGTTACTGAGCCATCTGATATGACCCTCACAAGAGTGTCCAGTAAGGATTTGGCCAAAAACAAGGTCTCCTTACAATCATCCGAAAGTATACTACTTCCAGACTTATCTCCTGTAAGACAGAAATAATTAAAATTTCTTCCAATCAACAAGGTCACAAAGTAATGCCTAAAAATTTGGCAAAGTTGAAATCTATTTTTCATCAGTCTAAATCTTACGTTTCACGTTCCCGTAATGACAAGCGTTTCGCCCTTATCAATAAAATTTTACGGAAAACACTTTTACCCAAAACTTTAGGATTCGTAGTGAACTTGAGGTATCCCATCATTGGCTTCCAGGTGAGAAGAAATTCCACCCTTAGAGGGTCCAAATCACACGTGTCTGATTGTTCTTCACCTTTTGGCCACGACTTTGTCAGAAACATGGACAAAAGCTGGCCGGATTTTCCAGCCTTTGAATTTGACAGGTGGTTAAAAATACGTATGTCGTCTCCTCCTCTTGGTAACTACGTAAAAAACGAAAATCAACGAATCATTCATCAATGTCAAGTGCGAAATCAATAAACCTCAGTCAAGTATTTACCCTATATATTTTACAATAGAATGTCCAATAAATCATCATCAGGTCTATAATTAGGTATCGCAATATTCCTTAAGAGTGACTAAAGGTTTGACTATTAGACCATCCACTAAACCTACAATTCATTATTGCTCTAATCTATCTTAAGTTCCAAACTTCTTAGTAATGTCTTTCTCTTTGCATATCAGCTTTGGGTTTTTCCTGTTTGAATTCTTCGAGTAGTTGCCGCTAACCAATAATCAACAATCTCGAAAGAGGTAACGACTGAAACCGGGTGTTCAAAAAGCACCAGTGAAAAAGTAAGGCTATCCCTAAATCATGTGCTCTTAGAACAATCAGTTATGGTCTACCTTTTGACCTTGATTAACCGCGGTTTTATTACACCACAGAAACACCATCTAGTCTAGTCATTTGCAACTTACGCTAATAATCTTTTCCACTGCTTCAAAAGCAAGGTTAGAAAAAGATTCTCCAACAGCTCCTTCATATGCATCCATGTCTACTTCACAAAAAATTTTAACCAAGTGCACTCCCTCCAACTGAAAAAAAAACGTATAAGAAAACCCATAACGAGAAGAAAGGAAGTGAATAATGTGACAAGAATGGGATAGGTTTCCCCTTGGAAATTTCAACCCTTGCCATTTCTGATTTCTTGGTGGAATGCTACACGGAACTTGAGGTGCGCCTAGTGTAGTTTGTGAGTGACAAGCAAAGTGAATGCCGCTATGATTGGCAATTATGAACGTTGGAAGCTTTGTGTGTAGCAGGCGACAATTGAGCTAAACTTTGAGCTCGATCGTCAAATGTTACACACATGTCGCGGGTGTGGAAGGCAGAGGAATTAGAATGACCTATGCATACCCAACATCAGGGGCTAACCACTAACAAAAATATACAGTTATTTTTTACAATCGTTCTACAAATCGTTTCCATCTTACCTTCCTTGCTCGACTCAGCAGCTCATTTATCAAAAACTTCCTGTAAGCAGTAAATCCTTGATTTTCATCCGTAATCCAAAGCAACTCGCTCCATAACTGAAACAAAAATAAGAAAAACATTTTCAAGAGAATACACAGCGAATCAGTGAATCAAAACATGCCTCAAATAATCTATCAAAATGTCTTTTCAAGAAGATAACCACCCAATCAAATTTTCAAACTGCAGTACTAAACTTACTGATAACTTGTTTCAGCTACATGCAAGGACACCTCATTAAATTAATCTTATTTGCTTCATACCGAAAGTTCTCTGGCTAGACGTTCACTCTTGTGATGATAAGACATGGTATGAGAGAGATCATTTGACAACCTCTCTCTCAGGCTCCTTAGTAGCCTGTCAATGGTTTTGCTCTCGTTTAACTGGTCCTCTTCTTGGTCAGGCTTCTCTTCAAATTCCCGTCGCTGCTTACTAATACATGTAAAGAGCAGCTTAATTGTGTGACAGATCAGATCCACGTGTTCCCAAATGTTCAACTTTTTTAGGAAGACTTCAACCAGTTGTAGACACAATGAAACTGTAAATTCAACCTCTTTAAGGTCAGTGCTGTGGAATAAATAGATTCTTAAGGTTCTCTTACATTGTGAAATACTTACAATATCATACAGAAAATAAAAAAAACAACAAGTTAACTTATGGAAACCTACGTTTAAATTTTTCTTCTTTTTGTTTCAGATTTTTCTTTCTCCTCTTCGTAATTTTCATCCCAAAAGAACCCGTTAGTTCGCCAGTTTTCAAAGCGCATGGTACACTTAAAAAAAAATATTTGTTCTAGAAATGGCAGACAAACAATCTCCTGTTGAAGCACTTTTTTTCCCATTTATTCCTCCATTCCCCAATGCGACCAACAACCATGCTATGCCCAGCACCCCAAAACTTTTTTCTCATATAAACATGGTTTACGGTTTGACGAATTTATTTAGCAGTACACCAGGGCCGATGGGCTTCTAATAAACTGAGGTCTTACTGCAGCAGAAACATACCAAGTTGATTCTTTTTCCCTGTTATACTGAATAATCATCAGTCTTATACACTGAAAAACACCTGCCCACTGCAAAAAGAAAAGAACTAAACGTTAACATCTAAACATTAAGCAACCGATTTTATCACCATCTAAAAGTTTAAGTGTCCCTCAAAGTACATTTCTAGAACTGATGAGCAAATAGAGTATTTAAAGAATATTACCGAATTATGAAATAATATTCTATTGAATTTTTGGAAACAGTTTGTTACCTTGGCTGATGGTACGTATGCACGGGAACAGCATGTTACTAGGGCCAACAAAATGTCGAAAATTTGGAACAATTCCGACGCAACAACCTTGTTTAGTTCCTCAACAGGAATGACATGGAGAAAGGTCCTTTTTAACAGAAGATCGACCTCGAAGGCTGAACCAAGTCTGGAGATTAGTTTTCGCAGATTTCTACGATAAAAACATGATGAACATATTAAGGTCAACATATGTTTAGAATGGTAGCAGGAAGGACTGTCAGCCCTCGCTCGTGTAAGGGACAATAACCAATGTTCGCTAATAGATCTAACGCCTCACCCTAACGAAGTATCTAGGAATTTTCGACAAAAACCTACCACACATCAACAAGCTTTCCCTGGCACACTCTTAAGCTGACTTTAAAAGAATTTCGCTTTTACTGATCTTCTGGGGGTCTGCAACTTGGTAATTCAAATTTTGTAAATGGCGACAAATGAATCGAGACGCGATTATATACGAATAAAGAGTTCAAAGAGCAGTTAAAACTCTCGCGACAGTTTCTGGTTCAACTTCCAATTGTCTTTACTTACAAATTTTCAGCTGATCTTTGAAATTCTTTTATTTTCAGTCCCTGAGCTCCAACCCAATCAAGTTTGTGGTACGATCCTTCAATACCAGGTTCTTCAAATGGCATAGAATCTCCCCTCAAGAAATGTAACAATGGTACAGCAAATAGCCACGTGTCGGCTTCTGATTTCCGAGGTTGCGCCATAATTTGGTTACATAGTTCCTCAATCCCTTTAGCAGCGCTTCTACAACAGAATGAAATAGTCAAAGACCATACAAGCGATTGCAAAAACTTTTTATCCTTTAAAAGTACGATCCATGAACGATGAGACCAAAGGTTTTATGGGAAATGTTCGCACAGTTGCATAATCAGTGCTTAACTTTCTCCATTGTTCACGGAAAATCTTTCTTGATGATAATTATTTTCTTTCAAGAAAGCGTGGATCGTGTCTTTCATTGACCATGTGCAACTAATTGTGCTTATCATTTAGATGCGTACCCAAAAGCCGTTGAATCTCATCGTCCATTTTTAACGCTTTTAGGTGTCAACGTTAACGATATGATATGCCTCATATTCACTGAACTCAGTAACAGGCAATAGCTCTCTTGTTAGTCCTCAGGAACACGTGTGTTGAAGTCCTAAATGTAATAACTTTCCTAAATGTAATAAAGTCCTAAATGTAATAACATTTGGTCCTAAATGTAATAAAGTCCTAAATGCAAAAACATTTAGTCCTAAATGTAATAAGCCTCCAAAGCAATCGTTTAACTCCTTCAATGCATTGTTGTTGCACCAAAAAAAACCGCTGGCCAGTTTACATGTCACATTACGGGCTCGCTGATATCAATCAGCGTCTTTTTACTTGCTAGACATAAGAAATATCAGCAGTCGAAGTATGGTCCTTAAAGCGGTCTATTGATCGAGTTGAAGAAAATCATTTCCAGCCCAAAGTGGGCTAGTGCTTGGCTGGAAGCTCAATAGAATGGTATCGATTGGTACGTAATCATTGACTTTTTTGAAAAGAAATCGACTACAATCGGATGAACTAGCATGCTATTGTTGATGTTATCGTTCGTGTTTAGTAGTTTTAGGACTTTATTACATTTAGGACAGTTATTACATTTAGGACTTCAACACACGTGATCTCATCAGTCAAACTATATAGTGTAAGATAAGATCAAAACCTAAACTTTTGCAAAAAGTCCCTTTCCCCCATTAGTTGATTATTTAATGTTCAGAAGTAAAGAATATCCTTGTTTGTTTTTTTTTTAACCAAAACGAGCTCCATTTTTTGTTGTACAGAACCATTAAGAAGATCATAAAACCTTCACTATTTCACAGACAAATGAAATTCTTATCATTTAAAAACCCACCCTTCCGTTGAACAGACCTATGTCTATCGACTCCGCTCACTCGAGATCCAGAGGAGCAGAGTCTCATACTGGCCGCTACGCTTACATATCGATGAATCAATCAGTTCTAAATAATAAGCCAGTTACTTTCGCTAAAAGTTTTAGACTCTTATTCTCACTAGTTTTTTTTTTCACCGTTTTATCTTATCATCGCATTTATGATGGGTTTGCTGTTAATACTGCTATTATGATGGCCGTTGCTGTTTTAGTATGCAGCCACTTACTCTCTCAGTTCTTCACTAAAATTTTCCAGAACTGCTTCATAAATCGTGCATTTTTTCTTTGCTGGATCTGCTGCAAGCGACAAACATCTCAAAAGTGATAACACAAGTTCTCTCCGAAGCTCTATTTTGTACTGTTTGCAGATCAGAACGATCGCTAAGGACGACACCAATGCTGAAGATCGAGCTTCTATTTGCACGTCACTCTGGGCTGTTATAGCGGCATTTTCCTTCATTTTTGGTTCCAAGTGGTCCATTAAAACCTTGGAAAAAGGAACACCTGCATCAGTTTGCACAACGTCACTATCTAAGGATCTTGTTTACAATACAAAAAGCCAGCACGAAAATAACCCAAACCCTCTCTTTCCATTCATTTTACGCCGGTTCAATGAAAATTTTGTTTTGAAATGTCAGACAAATTTGTCCACTTGACCCCTGAAGATTTTTTTTAAGGTTTTACTTTAAGAGATCACAGGTTTACGTCTAGAAGTTTTGGATGTGAACGAATTGCTTGAAAAAATAATAATGACCACTAATTATATTTCTTTATACAGTTTACCTTGTCAATATTGAAATCTGGTGGTTTCCTTCTCTCAGGTTGTCTGCGTGAAAACTGAATCCCAACGTTGGTAAGGCAGTCTACGACTTTGTCCAACTCCATAACTGCTTCTGTTGCCTTCATTTTTTCCTCGCACTCGCCAACAACAAAGCCTCTCCACTTTGGTAAGAAGGCGAGAAGTGCAGTTGTGCGATTTTGTGCTGTTTGTTCGGGCCGAAACAATCCTTTCAATGAGTCCCACCAGCCCTTCTCAGTGATAATATAGCTTACTCCGTCGAACTGGTGCCATGTTGCTAAACCGTTAAAAAAGGAGAAAAAATCCACATTCATCTGTAATAAGTCTGAGGCAATAGAATTTCAACGACCAACAGGTTATATTAAAGTTCGCACGGCAACCAGGTGGACAATCAGACATGGTTTGATGCTACTCTGGTTTACAGATTTAATGAATGTAACCGAAGAAGTTACAATTCATAGACCCAACGTTTCGACACTCCTGTCTAGTACCTTCATCAGGGGTGATACAAACACTGCAAAAAGAGGTCCTTTTATATGATCACTAATTAGCGGCCTTTTTTTCTGACGAGGTGTAAATAGGCGTCAGGAAGCAAACCGCCATCGTCACGATTTAAAGGAGCGTGGGCGGAGTAAATATGCCAAGCTTCCAAACAAAGGCGCTGATGGTAACGCCGATTAGTGGTGATCATTTTAGAATTATCCCACCCAGTTGTATGGTTAGTTAGGCATGTGTGCTGCGATAAAGCTAAATTTTCCTTTTTGCAAAAGAAAACCGGTTTTTTGATGCTCTTTTAAAAGTGTACAAAACTGACGTTTGGTCTGTCCGATGTATTCGTTATCACAGTCATTGCAAAGAATAGAATAAATGGCGTCGGCTTGTTGTTCTTTCGTGGCAGGATCCTTATGTTTGGCGAAAATATGCCCCAAAGTCCGGAAATGAAGCGGAGCGCCTCCTGCCGCATTTGAATTCAGTAGAGTCGTCGATCCCATTCACCCTTGAGCGTGAAAAGGATAGGCATGCACCTAATTCGTTTGTTGAAATAAAATACAATTTTGACGAGCTCCAGGCAGAAGGCTTGCAACAGGTTGTTGAGGTGTGTATGGCCGCTCCTCGCGTACTCCCAACATTTTAAACAATTTCGCCTCACTTTTTCAAGTCTGGAGTGGGCTTTTCAGGCTATCATAGGGCAGATTACGACAACACACTGGCCAAACTTTTGCTGTCAGATTCAGGGTATCTTACAGGAGTTATAAAAAACTACACTAGCCAGTCAGGCACGGTCCTTCAAAACGGCAACTTTTTGACTGTAAATCACCTGGACACCCGTAATAGGATAAGCTTTGTGCCAAGTGTCATGTTTTCCTTTTCCCTACCTTTCTTGTGACACTTCGACGAAAATTTAAATTTAAATCTTGCGCGACAGCAGTTTGTCTTTTTCCTTTGGAAATTTCCACAGAAAATTGGGGCGCGACCGCCCAAAATTGATCCTCTTACTCATGCCCTGCGTTTGGTCGCTGTGTTGCCGGTGCGAACTTAGTTGAACAAAACCAAACGATACCTGCATCCAAGTTGTATGATAACGGTTTTGATAGAAGCAAACTCAGTCAGGTAATGGCCAATTTGTATTATGTATTATTTTCTTTCATTTAATGCAATATTAGTACAGTTAAAGACAGTTGGAAAGAGCAGGGGCTAATTTTGAATGTTCGTTTTTAATTACTGAGAAATTGCTTGAAGGGGAATGGGTTTTATTTAGAAATAGTAGAGTAATGTTTAATTTTAAAATTGTAAGGTTTAGTTGTAAAAGTTATTTTTTAGGTATGGAAGTCACTGATTTAAGATAACTGCTAAGACAAAAAAAGTGTTTTCCACATGAAGGGATGTGCAGCCAGACAGACAGCCTGGGATCATACATTGTTGCTCCATTGACATGAGAACCAAAATTTAATATGGCATTGCAGAAATTTTGGGGAAAGTAAGTACCATCTTTTGGCTTTAGAATCTATGGAATGCTCTGGGTAACCAACGCTTATTATGATCAGTCGATGAAGTGTTACTTTAAGTTTATCATAGTTTATTAAACACAAAAGTCAGATTTTTAAGAAAAGAAATTTAATAAATGTAGTATTATGATTAAAGTTCTAGGAAAGCAAAGACGAGGTAAATTAACTCCTTAGAAATTTATTAAACTTGCCAAGGCTTGTCAAATAGTCAATATGTACTTCCAATAAACATTGTTTGTTTAAAAGCATTGCATTCTGAAAAGTAACAATAATAAGCATACTTGTTATTGACAGTTAGAGCTGTATCTTCAAGTAACAGTTTGGGCACATTACAAATCAAACATTACGATAGAAGTTCTAAAACCAAAAAACAAGGTATATTTGATCCTTCTTCAGTGGAAAATAATTCAACCTGGCGAAGATTAAGTTATGTTTTCCCATGAAGTTATTTGTTTACGATTCATGGCGTTGAGCGAACTGACAGTGCTCATTGCAATACTCCCTGAGTATAATTTTAAAATTATAATTGAAACTACTTAACCAGAAAAACAAACAAGGTATTTTTCCTTAATAAAAATTCTTTAAGTTGGAGGATGATATTGTTCTTAGCATTGTTCTTTTAAAACCAAACTTACTGCACCGCAGATTTTGAAAAAGAGAAACTTTTCTCAGATTTGTAGGTGTTGAAAAAATGTGCTGTAGTTATTGGGGATCAAGCTTGACTTCGCCTTTTGACAGGAATAACAAGGATGGAAAAGCAAGCTTACAATGGCAGAAATCGCCAGAAACTATAATGGAGACATAGGATGTGAGTAATTTTATTGATTTTACAAGTAAAATGTTCGTATTTTGAAATGCTAATCGTTGTAAATCGACCATATTTCGTTACTCATACTATTCCTTATAGCGTGCTCAAATTTTCAACGGTTCCTCTCGTAACCGAGTCACACAACGCGTGACGCTGTCATGAATTAATCGTTGGCTTTTTCTCGAGACGTGAGCTTAGGCCGCCTGTGTTCAATTCTTTCTCCTTAATGTTATCTCTTTGGTTTGGATTGAAGCAAAACAGTCGAAACCAAAACAAAAGCAAATAAGCGTCTTTCCAATATGGCTGCTTGAGTGGGGCATTGGGATTTTCAGTTTTTGCGGTTTGGCTATTTTTTAGATCGGTTTTTCGGTTTTTATATTCATTGAGGTTTGCGGATTTTCCGTTATTTAGCATTTGGTTTTCGGTTTTCGCGAAAATACCAGCGGGTTTTCGGATTTGATATTCGATGCGGTTTTCCGTTTTTCTTATTTGATCTATTTAGGTTCCGGTTTCTCTTCGATCTGAGCGGCAATTTACGCGCCTCAACTGATCTCGAATAGCCGCTAAACGCAAATGTTATTCAGAGGAATGCGTGACAACCCAATTGAAATATCGCAGGGATCATAAGGTAGCATACGTGAAGCCGTACCCTCCCCCCAAAGGTAAATTGGAAGCGACGGAACCTCGCCTCCGTTTCACCTTAGGGGGAGGGGAGGGTATGGCTACATGTAGGCTAATCCCTAGGGGGTTCACGAGTCTTGAATGACGCCCAAGACTTTGACCATTCGTAGGGGTTCCAGCGTCTTGAATGACGAATATGGTGCAGCAGTAAGACAAAGGACAGTGCGGCAAGAAACAACTATGGCTAAGCACGGAACATTGCTAGAGTTTCTTTATCAACGCCACCTCGAAGCTGGAGACCAAGTTACAGTCCACACGTGGCTGATTGATTCAACATTCCAATAGAATCTCCCTACTTTCAGGTCTTAGTTCGCAAATGAAAATGTTAGATTAGGGATTTTCGATGGTAATTTCCAGAGCTATAGCTTTTTTGCGACTGCAAAATTGCAATCCTATAGAGCGCTATTTAACTGGGCTCCATTACTAGCTGTTGAGTCCGCAGAGACCGCGCTTGAGGTCCTCGAGAGAGCAGCTGAAATAAAGCATATAACTTAAGCAGATGCTAGAAGATAAGAGTGCCCAGTCCATGGCATTCACAAATACTGTGATGAAATTAGTGTAGTTTACTCTGTGTGCTCCAGTTGTCACCACTGTATCGGATCGATCAGGGTTTAATAACTGGGGTCTGAAAATGAATCGGTTTTAATAGTTTTGCATGCGGTTTTCGGTTTTGATCGATTTGTTTCGGTTTTTCGGTTGGGATGATTTTTTTTTCCACGGTTTTGCGGTTTCCTGCTTCAATGGTTTGCATCGTGTGATAGCGCATCTCAAAAAAATTCAGGGGGGCCCCCTAGGTGTGAACATTTTAGCCTCTTGATCCATAATGCAAGCGAACCGCATGTGAAATCACTTCCGTCTACGGTACACAACTTCCGTCCACATCTGATTCACCACAATACTTCATAATGCATTCATTCCAAATGAATGGGCTAAAAAGCGTGGCACACCATGCACAAACATTTAAGATCTACATATCTGCTCGTTTGCAATAAGCAGATTGCCGCTGCCAGTCATAACATCATATTACAGTTCGCTCTTAAACGTACAGATTCTTACACTCTGTTTTGTAAGATTCCTTAAAGAAGTGCGCGTTCGTAAAAACGCATTGGGGTATTTTCTTAACTTCTTTTTCGCGACACCGATAATGTTTCAATAGGAAAGTCAGTTTTAGCCGTAAGCGTGTCGAAGAAACCTGTACGAAAAACGTATTCTGAAAATATTGAAGCCGTTTACTTATGTGCGACGTATCCTGACTCCGTGAAGTTTTCAATGAGGTGCTCCTGAGAGATTTGATGGGTAATATGAGATGGCTTTATTAACGACTGACGGTAAAAACGATAAAATATCTGGCACTCTAGACGGTTGACGTCTATTATTTGGGCCATTTGACGGATAACCCCATTCAGACCCGGTTTTTAGAACGCTACTCACGGAATATCGGTTACAAATCCCTTGGTTCTTTTAGCTAAATATCTGAGACATTTTACAACAATCCTGTTAGAACATGTAAAGAAAAATAAAGTAACAACTTACCACCACGTTCCAGGTATTTGTCTGGTATAAAGAGAAATCGATCGACTATAACTCCTCCATGGGGTGGTTGAAACTCTATCAGTTCTTCCCATAGAACAACCTTTTTCTTGATTATCACATACTTGTATTTGATTCCCTTCCGGGCTCGGTCGATGGTGAGAGTGAACTGTCCTTGGAAGAGCCTAGGCTTCTTTTTGTTTTTGCCTTTGTCAACCCTACGAGATTCATTATATTAGAATTAATACAGCCTAATGCGTAACCACAATGGGGGTAAGAATTCCGTCTTCGAATTCTGTTCATACACGCATTCTTAACTCGTTAGCTGCAGGTAAAACAGTAGATGAGGCAACATCGTATTCCGCCTTTCTTAAATATTATTATTTATCGCATTTAAAAACATTTCGTTCGAAAACTCCGAGATTCCCACAATTTTAATACATCGAAATGTAAAGATAAAGCAAGCTCCTTTCTCAATACAGCTTTATTACTTTTCAGGAGGTCTTAAATAAGCATTTAAAATAGGCAGTTTAAGACTGCATACGGTTACTGATTTAGAACAATTTCTATAGCATCGAAAAGAACTACAGCTAGAAGGTATTATTACAGAAGACTTGTCTCACATGCAAAACAGAAACCCGCCGCATCCTATATATTTATGAGTACCCTGTACCACAAGAGAGAGATGATTCAAGAATAGAGCGAATAATTGACACTCGACCAATGATTAAAAGGTAAAAAATAATCATATTAATAATAATAATGAAAAAATGGTAAAGTGCTCCCTCTTCGAAGAAACAAAATGTTTCTTCAAGGTTCCACGCTGTGCAGATCAAACCCATTTGGATATTTCTGCAAGTAAAAGTCTCGTTTTCAATTACATGCCAGAGACGCTACTATGAAATTGTTTTTAGATGTTTATAATCTTTTGTAGTGTCACGGCAAGAACTGAAAAAATATATCTTCGGATCTACTGGGCATAATATAATTCGCTAATTCAAACGTTAAGATACTCTCTCTTCAAAGAATAAACTTTTCCCCTAAGTTTTCATGATGCGCCGATCACACCTTTTAAGACATTTTTGTAAGGTAAAGCTTTGTCCTGAAATGATTATGAGATGTTTATCGTCTTCTTTAGTACTCCGAAAGAAAAAATAGGCAGCACCAGGAAACAGTGTGATCACGTGCCAATTCCGAGTAATATCCTAAGCGATTCAAAGAAATCGTTACCAAGCGTTTAACGCCCGAAGATGTTCTAAAACAAAAAAAAGCAAAGAGCGAGGAATATCGGGTAGAATTCGGCATACTTCGCTGTAGGCGAAAAGGTTGTATGCATTCTATTGTTCCACTCACTCACTCACTCACTCACTCAACAGGGCAGCATTATGGCTTCGCCTTCATAGGAGGCTGTAGCCATAAAAATTGGTCATAACAGTACACTTATCTGATGAATCCGATAAGAAATGACGAAGTCAAGAACTGGAGCTATAAATTTTAAAACATTAAAAGGGAGAAAAAGCGTATTTCATAGATACGTACTTACGCCCATATGTTTAACATAAATGAAATTAATGATAAATTAAAGAATACAAGAAAACACCGCAACAACCAGTTCAAGGCTCGACCCGAAATCTGTTGACCTGGAGTCCCCGTAATAATAATTGAACCCTTGCGTTTCTTCATATTAGAGGACGTTGAGGTAAGAGTTAATTTGACAACTTGAAGGTTTCTTTTACATCTGTGTTAACTCGTTATAGCTCGGAAATAACACGTAAATGTCATGTAAGTGCACTTGGCTAATCTCAAACTTGCAAAATTCGTGGAGTTCACCCACCTATATTTACAAAAACAAACTAACCTTACTAACTTCATGTCAACACAGTTTATCTTAAAGTCTCCCAAATCTTCTCCTTCTGCTTGAATATGCATATGTCCTTCTTCCATATTTAAGTTGGACGCTAACACGACGTGGAAGATTACAGTGACTCCATCCTCTGGTTCAACCTGTTTCAAGGTGTTGGCGACGCCCTTCAAATGAAGTGTGGTCGAAACAAACAGCTTTAGTCAGAACTTGTCGTCAAGATAAAAAAATCTTCTTTTGCCATGAAAGAAATGCACCTAAGCTAGTTGAACACTTTTTATGAAGGAGATCATCTTAATTCTATTTTTATTTATTTGCCTTGTTCATTCTTACGGTATTCGACGCCTTTTTTCGTATGAGAAATCAATTTGCGTTTGTTTTGTACAAAGGATTGCCTTATCCGTCTATAAAAAACACTCGCTGGAATTGCTTTTTATTTAGCCTTTTTTACTCAATTGTCCCCTCCACACCTCACCTTAGCACCTTCTTTACCATCACCAGTGTTTCCTGTACCATTGAGAGGATCTCTCGAACCAAGCTCTTTTCCTTCGGCACCACTCTTGACCAGAGTGGGGCTCTCAACTGTTTCCCTACTCAAAATTTGGGTTCCATTGTTGGAAGTCTTTGAGTCTTTTCCCCCTTGTACCTGTGCTTATTCAAAAAAATATAAAAATGTAAACCAATCACTCCACGGATCTGAAATTCAATTTTCTTAATTAAAATAATAAATTTGTAAATATTTCCAGGTTTATAACATGTTCCTTCTGATTACCTGTGTATATTATTTAATGTGAATTTACACTTATGTACATGTCTTATATAATAAGCATCTTGACAAAAGATAGTTACCAATTACTAAAACTGTCTCACGATCACTTCTAAAACATTTCGAGTTGAGTCGTGATAATCCAGAGAGGAAGAATTCGAGAAGAATTCTTGTTCCTTTTATTTTCGACTTTGGCAGCCCCTCTTGAGCAAACACCAATAGAGTGAATATCAACAGTAACTACCCAATATTCCAGCTTACCGGCCTCTCAATTGGTACGTTATATTTCAATTTATGACGGAGAAATATATATTCTTTCATTTACAGCCTTTGCTTAACAATTAAACGTTGTGAAGAAAAAACAAACTTGTCATTTGCAATGAGTTCTTAAGTTAGACAGAACTTTGCATGAGAGGAGGAGGGCTGGATAATTTTGCTCATTCAGCCAAAACTTTTTTCGGTGAAAGATACTTATTTTGCGGTAACCCATCCTGCATGTATGCTATGCTCTTGAAATGTGAGATAAAAGGGAGTCGTCCTTTAAAAAATTATCTTATCCAAACTTCACCTTAGCATTTTTTTTGTCATTACTTACGTTCCCTGTGCCTCCAAGGGGATCTTTTAAGACAGGTTCTCTTCCTCCAGAAGGTGATCCAACATGAGTGACCGTTTCGTCTTTACCACAGGTCATCTGGCCATGATTTGATGATTTATTTGACTGTCTGACTTCTTTCTTTGTATCATTAACTCCATCATAACTTCCGGTCTGATCAGCATAAACGTCACCCTGACCAAGTTCTGCTTGGCTTCTCACGCTTTCACCACCAGAGACGCCATCTTTCTTAACATTTCGGCTGTCATCTCTCTCAGTAGATCCTTTATTGAAACCCTCATTATCGGCAAAACCCGGCTGCTTCCCATGCTGCGTTGCCGTTGGCTTTGTAGTACCTGGTTTGTCCTCTGAACCCGACGATTCTGTACTGTAAGGGGCGGAAGCGCTAGCGCGATGGGGCAGACCTCCGTCTCTCGCAGTAGGCGAGGTCGTCGGCAACAGGGAAGTTAGTGCGGAATTCGCCGAATGACGATGGCCTTCCGGTGACTTACTCTCGCTCTCCGTTGACGGATCAACGAAGGTGGAGCCACCCTCGATGTCTGGCTGCCTAGAGTGAATCGTAGGCTGTGTTTGTTGTCTTAACAGGGTCCCATGCTCATCTCTGTACGAAAGCTGGCACTGCTGATTTTGCCCATCACCTTAGTGCAAGGAAAACCCAAACATTCCTTATTTGGAAAATAATATTACAGAACATTTCTAACCAGAAGGTGGTTTCTTAAGAAAAATGGCTCATGTCCTTCATGTATTAAACTGCCAAAATAATTTACTCAACGACATTTTTCCCAAAAACAATTCACAAACAAACCTAAATAGGATTTAGTTTTCAGAGGGCTCACTAGAGCTAAGAGGCTTCATAAATCTATGCTGTCCAGAAACATTTGGGTGGGGGTTTTAATCAAACTGTTTTGAAAAAGGTTAACCAAAATTTTTATTCACAACGCGAAGCTACCAGTCAATTGCTGGTGAGTAAATATAGAGAGTGTTTACATAGGTAGCAAGAAAAAAAAAGAAAGAAATTTCAAGACATTGTGAGGTACACATGTTCAAGTCATGACTGTGTGGAATAAATTAATAATGGTTTCTTTCAAGTACCTGTCTGAGCGAAAAGAAAAAAGACAATGAAATTCAACTGCTCTATGGAATATAAGTTTTTTCAATGATGGTATTTTTGGGCAGTACTGGTCCGCAATTTTCCAGGCATTTTTTTGACCATTGAAATAGGTACCGTACTCAACCATATTTTGGAGACGTAAGTGCATGTCTGCAAAATCCTAAAATTGGGACCTCATTTCAGACCAAAAATAACTTCAAGTGAATTTTTTGAGAATTTCTATTATATGAAAATAGTTCACAATAACATGTTAAACACAGTCTGGGACATTTTGTGCATTAGCCCTTTTCGTTATTGATTTTAAAAAAATATTTTCAAGAAGCTGCTAGTGAGTACCTCTTAGGCCTTGAATCATGCACTCGAGTATCCTACTCTGTTCTAAAAAAGTACTCTTTAAATACATTGTTTTCTAGATCAGGAGCCTCAGATTTTTTTTTATAGGACCTAACAATTGGTTGATCATAAATGAGGTATTTCCTGTGAAAAAGTGAAAAAAAAAAAAAAAATGAAATATCTGTAAAGCCTCCATGAAGAAACTTCTGAAAATATCTCAATTGATACATCATCCAACAATCCACTAAATTAATAAAGATGAGAGTGATCTTTGCAGTTATGAACACTACTTGAGCAGTAGCGAAAATAAAAGTTGAAAAAATCTGGGCCTGAACTCGACAAATTCATGACCTTTACTATACTAGTGCTGTGCTCTGCCAACGGAAATAACAAGCCAACTGAGGGCTGGCCATTTTTTTAGCTCGTAATAAACCCATGAAGTGAAAAATGAATGACTGTAAATGTATGAATATCACATACTTGAACTCCCTGTTTCACAACCACAGAGACTCCCCGAGTTAGGCCATTGATAGTTTGTGTTTTAAGCATTCTCTTGAATCAGAAATATGTCATAATCTGGAAAATATACTACTTACATTAAAGCCTTGTCTTCTGGCCAGTTTCACATGATTTTGTATACAAATTCTTGCTACTAAGTACTGTTTATTTTGACAAAGAAAAGGATGGGGAGATAAAATGAACTTTTGCAACAAACTGTCACCACAAATAGGTCAACAACTTCCTCAAAAATATAAAATTGATCTCTCTCAAACTGCCACCAGCGAGGCATAAGATCAAATATCTGCTTAGTCAATGAATGCTATTTTCAAATTTTATTGTATGGAACCAAGAGGAATTCCTTTATTATTCAATTATTCAACTTTGGCCTGATTTGCTTTGATATCATCAGTTTTTTTTTCAGGTCCTATTTTCAACTAAAAGTTCAGTAGTGTTCTTAGCTGCGAGCCTCGCGGGATCTCTTAAATTCGTTTCTCCACCGCAGTGCAAATATATGAGTTTCAAATATCTGAAAACATTATTCATCACTTGGAGGGTTTATTTGGACCCAACACATTGACCAGCTCCCAGTTGGCTTGTTAGCTCAGTTGGTAGAGCGCTGCACCGCTATCGCAGAGGTCATGGGTTCAAATCCCGTACGGGCCTGAATTTTTCAGGTCCTATTTTCAACTACTAGTTCAGTGGCGCTCTTAGCTGCGAGGGTCTCTTAAATAAGCTTTCGTTATATTTCAGACCAAAGTTTTGGCCGACAGTCGGTGTTCTGTCGGCAACCTGTCGGTAACCTGTCGGTAACCTGTCGGTAACCTGTCGGTGGGTCGTAAACCGAAATGATCGTAAACATTTACCTATCTATTGCCTCTAAAACTACGTAAAAAAGGTAAAAAGTAATTTAAAAAAGATACCTTGCACTGTACTATCAATAGCTACTGCGGCTTTTGCCCCACTTTTTTGCTTTGGTTAGCGAAACTTTCCCAAATTGGTCCGATTTCAGTTATCCGCCATATTGAAAAGTTTTTCTAGTTCCCAATCCCCTAAATGCACTGCCTCCGAAACCCTTTTAAGAAGTCTTAGTTTGGTTAGAGCTATTTGACTTGTTGGTTCATTCACTTGCAAAATGTAGAAAAGGAGCCGTTCTGTTTACAAACAAGGATATAAGAAATAGGTATTTTGTTACTTACGGTCGGGAGATGGGTTAAACAAGCTTATTTTACCGTTTAAATAGAATCAAAAAGATAGGTAAGGACGATGGATCGACATGTTTCTATTTACTGTTTCGACTGGAAAAGTTTTGAGTCTGTTTTCAGTCCATTTTTGGTCTACTTAACACTGTCGGCCGACTGTCGGTAATGTGTCGGTAACCTGTCGGTTGACAGTTGACCGATAGGTTACCGACAGCCGAAAATGGGAACCAGTGTTTACCATTACCCATATAGGATGAGGAAATTATAATCACTTTGAACCACTTTCACTTTCGAAGGACCCGAAATAATGCATCACTGAGATAAAGAATCTAACTTTGGTTATCAATAACATAAAAAAGATTTTGGAAACCTTTTTAAAGCTTACTAATCTATAAATCACCAAATGATTTCGCACCGAACAGTTCTCCAATTATTATTATTCATCGCGCGCCGGACAAAATCAAAATCTATTCACGGATGGAGTTTTGAGCAACGTTTAAAAGACGTGTCTTAATTTCCACCCATGAAAGTACAATTTACCTTCAACGTGTTCTTCCTCTTTTCCAAAGTCGTGTCCTCTTTCCAAAGCATCGCTTCGCGGCAAGAGGACACTTGGAATACTTTGACCATGATGCAGAGGAGAACGACATTCTGGGCACCATTTAAAAGTATCTTCCAAGTCTGTGCATCCACATTCGGGGCACTGCATCGCTAGAAGCTACTGCCACATATTACTCATGTCACCGACACTTCAAGATTGTGTCAAACTCTCGAACGAGCGTTTCTCGGAAGCAGCTGCGCATTTAGAATTCTCAGAAATGTAACCGGAAGTGTTACGTCAGTTGGTAGGCGCCTGTGGGGCGGCATTTGTCAAAACAATATTCACAGTGGTGTAAAATGGAATATCTTGCTCAACTCAATTTGAAAACCTGACAGTATTATACAAAAAGATGGAAAGGAAGATCAAAAGTACTCTCTCTTCTTGAATATGCTCACGAGTTTTCAGATTTAGGAGTGACAGAAAGAGAATATGAAATAACACAAGAGTTACATCACCTCTATTTTTAACTTTTTTGAGGTGGTGAACGAGGTTGTTTATTTCCATTCACCTAGATGCACCTTTACTCACCGCTTCGTTCACTGCACTTAAGGAATCTGTTTCTGATATCACCAGTACTAGAACTGTTTGGGCGTTATAGCAGTGAGAGTAAATTTGAAGATTGGACAACAAAGACCTTGAATTGAATCAATCATTCCATACTTGTAGTTCCGTCATATAGGGGGGAGTTGAATCGAAACACTCCGCTAATCGCAATATCTCAAGCCTACGCGTTTGCCTCGAGACCCCTGCATATATTAAACGTGGATTGCGAGCCTTGCATCGCATCTAACTTGTTGGTACCTTTTCTTCTATTATACAACATGGAAGCGCGGGAGGTAGGCGCAGGATAAAATGGAAGACTACGTTAACGTTAGACATTGCCAAAATTCTCTTTATAATTACCTTTAATGAAACGATATTATGTTCATCCTTTTTTGCCTTTATCATATTTTGTTTACAATTATCTTTGGTAAAACTGTTTCTCGTAGTTGAGAAAACACTGTAGCTCCCTTTCCTCTGTTGTCTCTGAATGAAAAAAATGCGTCAAATATTCACAAGCGTCTTTGATGTTGGGACGAAATTTTTTTTATGTTGGGGCGTGATGGATTGTTGTTAAAATTTTCCACCAGTGTCAACGCCTCATCGTTACAGTTTTACAGAGATGTAGCCATATAACATGGTCCAACACTTCCTCAAATCATGACCACGTTTCACTCTGTAAATGTCTTGTACTTTCTAATTTTTTATGAAATTCTTCGGCTTTGGGTCTGTCCATTTTTCTCTCTTTCATAAATATTCCAAGAAGGGCATCAGTAACATCGGTGGGCACTCTTTGAGAGTTTCTGGAAATATAGCAGATGTCAACCGTAGTTAAACTATTACGAGGATTTTCATTATTGATATCAAGTTGGAAAGGTCACCAAAAATTTTGCAAAAAAATTATATTCTCTCCTCAGATTTTCCTTCCTGAAATTTCTGTGTGCAGTTTATCCGACAGAATCATGTCACACATGATTTACTTCACATGTTATTCTTAACCATTTATACCTTGCTCGCACCAAATTTTCCGCCGCTTGATATTCAGGAATGAAAAACTTAATATACCTACATCCGAAGGATTTGGCGACCTACTTTTGCCAATTATTTGAAATTCTCACTTAAAAACCTACATTAAAAAAAACGTGGCTTGTCTGCGACATACGTTTCATTTTGTAGCAGCAAAAACGTAATTTCAGAGGCTGTTCTTGAGGAAAACATGCTGAAAAAGGATTTCTCCCCAAAATTGTATAACTTCCTGGAAAAGTACCATTGTCAAGTCACCTACGCTAAAAAAATTCCTTCGTTGACAAGTCTCCACGTTAAAAAACTAGACGTCTGTTTTCAGACCAGGGGATTTAACAAGAAAAATGGAAGACATAGTTTTCCATAAACACTGCCAGAATTAATTATCAAGGGAAAACCTCTAGGTTAGCTGAAGTTATCGCCCCATTGCAAGTTGCCCTTTTAGATATACCAAGTTCACCCCCACCTTTACGAGTTCACAAACACAACTAATTTCCTCTCAGTCAAACATATTTCTTTTAGGACAAAATAGGAGAAATTTTTGAACTTATAATGGGACGAAACCCGAGCAATCCATTTGGAGGGCTTGCAATTTAACCCTTTAACTCCCAGATCAAATTTTTAATCCTCCTTACTGTCAACCATACAATTTTTATGATGTTGGTTCAAAGAATTTAGTATTGGATCAACTAATTATCCCCAAATTGATAACTTTCTTTATTCTCATCACTAATCTGGTTGATATCGTCTTGATATTGCAAGGAGAAATTTTGTCTTGGTCAGTCATGGGAGTTGAAAAGGTTAAGCAAAAGAGCACTTATCATACCCGGCTATGTAAAACCATCCTTGTTTGTTGACCAGAAAATCCCAGACAAGAAATCTGTGTTCTAGTAACCTGTGCTGAACGTAAACAGGGCGTGAAATTAATTGTTTTTTCTGATAGCCACTTGGCTCCTAAATTCTTCAAAGTGGTAGCCAATTCAAAAAAAGTTTGTCGCCATTTTCAAAGACAAACAAAGCCTTTCTTTAAGCTGTCAACGTTTAAGATAGACCCTCCAAAATTAATTTAGGGAAAAGATCCATAACGTTCTACAAAGTGAACACTAGGATGGATGATAAACAACGTTCAAGCTCACCTAAATCCAAGATGGCGTCTAGTTATCGATTGAGTTGCTAGAGCCGAGTTTTGGAAACAAACTTAACGAGGAAGTTTGCCGCGGATTTATCTTCGCAAATCTTTTTGATTCACTATATCTCTCGGTAAGGTTGTGATGAAACATTCAAGTCGCCAATTTGGCGACTAATTTTCAAGATTTGGTGACTAATTTTCAAGATTTGGTCGCCAAAGGGAAAAATTTAGTCGTATTAGCGCCTGTATTAGGCGTAATTTCACGCCCTGGTAAATCTTGTCTTCCTGTAAACAGAGACATTTTGAGAGCAGAAAGAGAGAGAGAGAGAACAAGTCATTGAATAAATACGTTTTTAAGATGTTGATCTCTAACTGGAAAAAAAATAAATGTTTTTGTGCTTTGTTCGGATTCACATTTTTTCTGTGTGATTTTTTTTTCTCATTGTTTCTGTGACGGCCTCTAAGATCTCCAATGCAACGTGCTCCCTAATGAGGAAAAAATTGTGATCTGCGATAAGTAACAACCGTGGCGAAGTCCCTGTACCATAGGGGGGGTACAAGATGCTTATCTTCAAATACCTGATCTCACGAGAAAGCAGTAAACAACTGCAATCTTCTATTTTCCACCAAGATATCCCATTGGTCTTGGAGGAAGAAATCTTTCCTACTATTCCGACAGCCAAAGAACAGCACACAGTCTGCAAGAAGACATCCACATTATTCAACTGGTAAAGGCCGCTACTTGATTAATACCAAATCACACATAACAAATAACAAAAATAACAGTTGTGATTAGTTTTTATGATTAATAACAAACAATCCATGGGTCAAAACTCGAAGGCGAAAAAACTGCAAAAATATATCAGAACGAAAAATCTACCATTCCTGGAGTGACAACAGTAATTTCAGAGGGACCCGGCCAGGTGTCAAAACCCACAACCCTATCAAGACTGACTTCGGATAGCGGGTTGTCTTAGTTATGACAGACTCCTCTCGGCAGACGCCAACAACTACAAGCACTCAACCAACGACTTAATTACCACATAGAATGACATAAATCTACATGGACGGATTGAAACTGACCAATCACAAGTGACGGACACTACTCCAGTCCTACAGCCTGAAACATCACAGAAAATATGTCCAATCAGTTTTCACAACATTTGAAAACCGGTTTTTTCGAAACGACAGTTATGGTAACCGCCAACAGTTTTTTTAGAGACCGTTACCTCAACCAGACCATTATACGAGATACTCAAAAATTTCAGTTTGATTGCGTTGCCAGTCTAGACCGTTTCAAGAAGTGAAGGTTTCAGGGACGCGAATAGCTTAAGGCATTGTCTCCTCTTGCTGGTGGAACAAACACTAGCTTACCTCCAGCAGACTATGACACTCTTTCTTCAATAAAACTTCTAAACGGCGCACAGCCAGTACCTAGAGGAAAAATACAACGCATCAATAGTTTGTTTGTTTAACCACAAAAGCAAGATACCTCAGTTTTAAAGTTATCTGCGTTTTCTTTGAATTACCAATACACAACCTCATTAAGTTTGAAAAAATAAAGTTCAGGGTGTAAATTATCAATGACGTAACTCGCCCATAAACTGAATCAAAGTATATAACGAAAAACATACTATTGATGTCTAAAAGCATCTCTTTAAGAAGCACGAGCAGTTTTCTCAAAGAAAAATGACCAACCATAGGCACATTTATGAGGTAAACAGAGGTTATGGGGTGTATACTTTTCTGAAAAAAGGCGTCACGATTGTAAAGCGAGATGCATTCTTATTGCAACGTGTTGGCGCTTAAATGCCTCTGCTTGTCTATAGAAAACTCAGTAATGTTCGACATATAAATAAAACCAAGAAGCACACGTCAATACAAAATCTAAAAAATTTAAGGCAAAGGGCTTTGACTAATCATGTAAAAATACAAGTATGATGAAGAAAAAAAATTGTGCCACCATTCAAATTACCTGGGCCTACCATGACAATAGGTGAGTCTAAAGCCTTGGGAAATGATATTGTTCCTTTCTTCACCCAAACAGGTACACGACAATCTTTGTTCAAAGGGGTCCAGAGAAGCCAGCCATGTGGAGCACAGGCCTCGCCTCGGTTTGACAAGTTTAGTTTTGTAGTTTACAACTACTACTAGTAACTGGATTTCATCTGGATGAGCCTGTCAAGATAGGATCAAAATTTCTCAATGGATTTTAGTACTCGGCTGAATGCAGAATTACGAAGGAGGTTCCTGAAAATATTTTACTGAGAGTTTTCATGAAAGAAGGAACATATTTGTATCTTATGGGAAGTTTGTAATTTTTGAAAATATTTCCAGAGTTAGTTCTTTCAGGAACGAGGAGGCGGAATTCAAACGTCAAAGTCTTCGTTTGCGTCTGCTGCTTTCGCTCGTGCTGATATGATGCCCCGGCTTTTTCACATGTGCACACAAAACTTAAAGTCTTTATCTATGTCTTTGCAGCCGAGTGGAGAATAAGGAAAGGCAGCAAAAAGATAGTTAGAATATTCAGTTTTCCAGATACATATCCTCTTACCTTCAAAGAAGAAGCAATAGAAAAAGCTCGCGGTTGAATCGGTGGGATCAGGTCAAATAAATATTCGAAGGGGATGTTGGCACTAGCAGATGGAAAGTCTTGAAGAACCAATAGACAGACATTGCACACCTTTCGTCAAACACTATCTCTATTTATCATAATTAAATACCGTAATGATTCGATCTGGCGCCCGGGCGCTTATTTACTTCAGTTACCAAAAGGAAGGCGCTTCTTAGGGACAGGGCGCTTATTCTTTTCTGAAAAACAACAGAATGTGTCAAATAAAGCTTCGACGTTTATTTGAAAAGGATCAAGAAACTGGAAAAGGGACTTGTCGTCTCTGGATCCTTCCTGGCTAAAACGAAAGCCAAGTATTCGTCGCAAATTTTAAGACAAGATAATTGCTCAGAAGGAATTGTGCACTCACGTGGACATAGTAGTTGAGAGACTGAGACGAAGGCCACTGTTTTATTATGAGGCTATAAATAAGTAGTTACACGAAGGTGGACCAAGGTTGATCTCAATGTACATAAACTATAACAGTGATATCACTGAAACGGAAAAGGGGCGCTTAATGGCAATTTCAGACTGGAGTATGAACGCTCATTGGAATAAAGGTGCTTACTAAAAAGGGGGGCGTATTAAAAAGACAAATTTGAGAGGGGCGCTTATTAAAGAAGGGGAGCCTATTGGAAAGAGGACCCTAAATTGCATATTTAAGGTATGATAATTTAACCTGTTGTTTCCTCAGAAACGATGACACGCAGCAGCCTTGAGGTTTGCGCACTGAAAAATACAAGCCCTGGCCAGTGCTATTCTGTTCTTTGAAGGACCTTCTCCTCCCACAGTGCCACTCTCTTGGCAAGAGTGTACATGGGAAGTGTAAAGTTTCAGAGAAATTGCTGAGCTCAATGGACCAGCATTCCGCTCAAACATTCCACTCAAGTGGAATATAAATACCCCTGGTGACTTCATGTTCCAGAAACTGGGAAAAAAAGATCCCCAAAGTCGTAATTTTACCGATATACAATTCTTTTTCCGTTGCCAGTATTAAAATTGAGAGAAAATCGCCTCTGTTTGAACAAATTGATCACCTTCCTCTCACCAAGATGGTGAGTACTTCAGAAACTCAATTCACCTTGTTTCTGAATAACAACATCAAATTTACCTCCAAGGAAGGAAGGAATCTTCCGTCACTTTTCAATCACATTTTGGTGAGATATTATGAGGAACTGATACTTTCTTTCTCAGAAAGACGTTTTTTTTTATCCTGAACCATTATCCTATGGTTCTCTACATCTAATATGGCACAATAGGAGTGAACTTTAAAGGCTTAATATTGTAGCCTGTATGCAGAAAACTCTTCATTTGCACATGGGTGCTGACTCAAATTCAGCCATCATTTTATAAGTAGATTTGGTTTTCAAATTAAAGTTAAAGACCACAAAATTTATTTGTACCTGTCCCTCTGCAGAGCAAAACTCTTGAAGTTTTTCCTTTTCCAGCTCTGAACTTGTGAAGTGGGAAAGAAGCTCAAAGACGTGTCTTCTTGGTACACCTTGAATGTCTAGATAATTTTCCACAAGGTGCTTAATGGAGCAAGGCTGAGGAAGCTGGTGTGGAACAGGGAGATCTGTCACATTAAATCATGTAGTTCAACGTTTAATCATGGCGGAAAGGCACAAGCTTTTTTGAAACAAATTTTTCCTAAAGAGGCTTTGCAAGGAATTTCCTAACTAAGCATTAAATACAAACCCTACAGCAAGATCCCAAAAATTACTACATCCCATTGAAGGATTCTGAATTTTCTCAGCCACATGCTGAACCAATATGACAAAAAAACTCTGGCATCGTAATAACATTATAAATCCAATCACTTCAGCAGATGAGTGCATCTTTTAAATGACAGTTGTCAGTTCTGCAAACCACTAGCCTGGATCATTCTGCCCAAGATGGAACATTTTTTTCTGGTTCCAGCAATGAATGATTCATAAATTCTTGTACAACATAAGGCAGATTACTTGGCTGTACCATAAGAATGCCACCTGGAGAGTGGCTACAAAGAGCACCAACAAAAACAAATTGACTTTTTACAATGAAATAATAGCAATCTCCTCACCTCATAGCAGAATAAATAATCTAAAATTAGTGGATAATTGTATGGTGTGTATAAAGTATCTATTATTCATACAGACATAGCAAGTTTGTTTACAACTGGCATTTTTTTTTTTAAGTTAAGAAGAAGGTAACTGATAAATTACTACAAATTAGAGTATCTCAGACAATCTTTATGGCCACTGAAATAGTATCACATTAAGCCTATGTAGTGCCAAGAAAACACCTTAAGATGACAAGACAGTAAAGTCTCACAAGAATGTTACCAGTATGGAAATGGAACAAAAATTTCTAGAAATATTTCTGTGCAGTCCAGCAGTCAGCTTAAAAAAACTAATTTTGCTCATTTGAAGACAACGTGTTTAATACAGGTAAACAGAAGGAGCTAAAGAATCAACCAGCTCTTGGTAAGATCAAGATGTGTAGAAGGTTAGAACAATGTGTCATGTGGGGTTCATTAACAAAAGCATTTTGTTTACAATTATTCCTCCCAAAATAGAAACATTTTTAAGCAAATGATTGGATACCAAATTATAAGAGCTAAATGTGGAAAAAATGTATCAAAGATGGTAAGAGAGTTTCTTTTGAGATCTTGGATGTGTAAAGATCAAATAAAGAAAGACATAAAATTAATCAAATTTATTTGATTTAAATTCAACTTGAAATCATTTAAACCATGACTTTTCAATAAACTGTATGTATGCAGTGTTAGTACCTCATTCCAGAACCCTTTATATCAAATTGCACCAGTCTTACATCTTGCCAGTGATCTAGTCAAGTGACATGGTTGTTTGATATTAGCCATGCATTGAAAGGATGTCTTTTGCTTGGACTGGAATCAGAAATAACTGCTTGGGTAAAGAAATTGTAAAAGAGACCAAGAGTTTTTGAATCAAAGTAAGAATCACTATTAAACCATAATTATAACATTTTTACTTCTGTCAGATTATCTCAAATTTCCATCAAAGAGCTTTCACATACTTTGTTTGTGTCCTCTTTTACAGGATTAATGGTATCAACAAAGATCACCTTGAATCTTGAGTGAGGCCTGTTTAAAGAGCAAATCAATAAAATACTTAAATTCAGTGCACCTTTACGTGTTTGCTACATCTGTCCAATTTCCTATTATTTTCTTATGCACATTGGATGACAACGTAATGTTTATGATGACAATAAGAGGTTTCTTTGTTACAGTTCATGAAATCAAGAACATTCAAAATAAGATTGTACCTTTTGTTCCACTTCTTAATTTTGCACTGTTCTTTCCACTATAGTAATGTCTCCCAGGAAAAACATTATTGTTTAAAGCTCACTGGGTGCCTAATTTTCTTGATCTCTTTAATCAAATTGACAAGAAAAATTCACATGAAGATAAGGACTGATCCTGGTCCTGGACAGACATTGCCATCTTACCTAACATGAGTACTGATGATATCCTTTCCAGCTGGCAGAGGATGTATTCTAGGCATTCTTTCCCATAGTTGTTTCAACCACAGATCAACCACAGATCAACAATCTGGCCTAAATTAAAAGAAAAGTATATTCAACTCTTTACTTTCCTGCTATAAGTGCACTTGTCTTGTAGAATGCACTGACTGACGACTATGAAGTTAATACTCAAAGATATGATAAAATAATGATGATTTTTGCAGTTATGTCAACAGTTCTGATAGGTGAATATTTACTTGCATTCATTTCTGTTCATGCCTTTTGCTTTAGTTTTGTCACAATGTAATTTACATTATTCGGTTTTCTATTATAAATCACCAAAAACAGGGACTTGGATGAGTTCCTTTGAAAGATACCAGTAGTTCCCTTATGTAGTAGAACTTAAGCCTAGTTTAATTTAGTCCTTCTATTCAGAACATAGCATTTATAATAGAACAACTGCCTTAAGCAAGTTACAACTGACAAATATGGTGTGACCCCCTGGGGAGGAGAGAGAGGTGGCCCCTTTTTTCAAAGGAGGCAGCATTGTTGACCCTATACATTTAGGTTCCATTCAGTTAAGATATTCTTGTTATATTATCCCCCACTCTATAACTACATACTGATTAGTATGTAATCTAACCTAAATTGAAAAACAGACCCTAATTGATAGGAAAGAAAAAAATTGATAACTTGCTAATCCCAAACTTGGAACATGCCAAAGATTATGCTGGTCATCTGCTATGCCAACCCTTTGAAGTTCTGTACCACCCAGCTAGATCAGTCTCTTATTCAGCTTCTTAGTAATAAAGTTAAATCTATAAAATAAAAATTAATTAAATATTGCTTTAATCAGAGGAGACTGATGATGAATTACTCAAGATTTATAGTATCCACTGTTTATCATCATAACAGAATCAAAATTTTGATAATCTGGTTTTCACAAAATCGTTATCTTGAGATATTTCCCAACCACCTTAACCCTTTAAATCCCAGATCAAATTTGTTATTCACCTTACTGTGAACCAATCAATTCTTACAATGTTAGTTCAGATAATTTAGTATTGGATCAACTCATGATCCCCTAGGTGATATTTAAGTTCATCTCCTTGACCTGTTGTTGCACGTACAAATATCGCAAGCTCCTCTTCTATCAGCTTCATCTGAAAAAATCTACAAGTCATTATAATACTTACCATGTACTTTCGTAATATAAGATATCCTAACATAACTACAGTCATCAGATGATAGGCATACCACAATGTAATCGTCTTGAGCCAAAACACACGCTGACAGATATCTTCTTTTCGCTTCTCGACCGATTCTTTCAGCAATCTCTTGGGAAGTCCCAGTTTGAGAGCCATACAGCACAGAGAATCTTCGTCCGTCATGGCGAAAGGCTTCAATGAAGAATACTTATGTCTTGAAAAGACTGCAGTCCGGGTGAATTGTTTCAACTATTGCGTGACTATTCCAGCTAACAACGGTCACGCAATACTGCCATAGTATATTTGTACGATAACGCTTTTGAAAAATTGCTTAATTTTTTATTTAGCGAAGTGTACTGTTGACATTTCGGTTTCTATAACACAATTACTAACTGGAACTACGAATGATTTGTTTCTACATGAGTCATCAAAGCCATTTCACCGCTGACCACTCATATTTCAGACTATTTTCTTCCCGGCTCGTCGCCCGTGACGTATAACTTCTAGAACAGCGAAGACATGGCATCCAATCTCGATTTTTCCGAGGATATCGAGGAAGCAAAAGTATATATGGCGAAGAAAAATTATTTCCAATTGTTCGAAGTGAGGAATATCTTTCATTCGTCTTGTTTTGAGAGCGGAGATTCGTTGATCGTCCGCTGAAAGAATGGAAATGACATCGGATCACTCGAGATCCTTATCTGAAACCAGAGCGGTTTTTTCTTCAGTCAACATCCAAGAGGAAATCCGTTAAATTAAAAGTATCACTACACATGTGGAAAATCATTCTTTGGTTCTATCCAAAACATTTTCGGTTTAAGCTGTATGGCTAAACAATCACTTGCGATGTTAATTAATTCAGTTTCGTAGTTACACGGACATCATAATTGCACCATTGTAACAATCAGAAAACCAAGACCTCACATGTTCCTACGCAGATCAAAATCATATTTAAAACTGATTTTCTTTTCAACCTCTCCCATATGTATTACAGCTTTCCCTCCGGAGGAAAATGGCTCATAATTCTGTCAGATACCGACATAGTTTTCATATTTCGAGGTCACTAGAGTACTCCCGGTAAACCAATCAGGATAACAACAAAACACATCACGTTGTGGTTTTTTGACGACTGGTGGTTTTACCCTTCATAGTTTTATAGTGCTCGTGGGTTTCAGCCACCTGGTCAGCGTCAGAGGGCGGAAAATTTGTATTGTTCTAAGCGTATAATCTTCCTCTTTATTTCCAGACTTAGTAGGTACTTATCGAGGGTCTTTGATGACAGTTGTAATGTATTGCGTTACATAATGTCACATAGCGTCACTACGGTAAGGAACTTCCAATCATGCCGTAAATCTACTCTCCTGAGGGTGAGTAAAATAGCTGATTACGAGTATTGTATGCTAAATATATTTTCTTGATTATTAAATAAAATACAGTGGAATTAGAGGAATGAGAGTGTTCCCTTGACTTATGAGTACTCTACAAACTGGCGATGAGGATTCTCCAAAACTCACAGAAGAAAACGACGACATAGAAGTGGTAGAAACTCCTCCACAAATGGAACGGCTGCTTTATAAATGTCAACGGTGCTTTAAGCCGACAGAAGAAACTACATGTTTATATGAGTCTTACAGTCCAAGAAGTATCTTAGAACATTAAGGGCACTAGAAGTTTAAAATTTCAGTCTGTAAGTAACCGTAAAAATTGTTTTCCTCTCCTAGCCTGGAAAGTGTTGGCTCAAGAACCGGCCACTCAGTTTTCGTCTTTTCTACGACTAAATTGGCAGGAACGATGGCCCAGAGAGAAAAGCGGTTAATTGAATCAACTATAATCACAACAGGAAGTATCATAATTGCACAATTGTAACAATGAGAAAACCAAGAAAGGATCTTTTCATCAGTGCCTCTCGTATGCACACAAAAATTTTGCCCAGGCATAACTTTGGGTGGGGTGCTTATTACATCACATTTGAAGACACCAACACCGGTAAAGAAAAAATTTATGCAACAGTTTAATGAAAGAGATACTTTCTATACTAACTTAACATTAATTGAAAGTGCGGTTCAAACTTACACGCCATGCTAATATCATTCTCAGCTGTGGCATTTTGAGTTACCTTTAGAGCGTATAAGAAAAAATTATAAAAAATTAATTAATAATACCATTCTGCTTTAGTTTTCTTATACATAAAAGCTCCTGCTTTTTCTACTATTTTTGCAGAGGGAGACATCGAGAAGAATTTCTTCTAAAATTCTAAATAAATCAAAGGTAAATATACGTGGCAAAAGAAACTGGCTGGCCCTATTAATTAACTACAACAACGAAATACCTTAAAGTAGCCACAAAAATGGCAGTATTTACTACATGCCAACATTTTCAAATTAAGGAGAAGATGGAAATGCTTGACGAGCTTTGTGGAAGTCGTCATTTAGCTGGACAGCGGAGTTCCAAACGTCCTTTAGGTGCGCCACTTTGACGCTGTCCGGAATGTTCTCTGTTCCTGGGATCGGTTCCAAGCCTTTGTCGGCTAAACAACATTCCAAGTAATCTTCAAAGCTGTAATAAATTTGTATTTAGATCTTAGTCCTGTTAAACTATAGTACTTCGCAAGGCTGTTTGGTCAAAGTTAGGATTTAAAAAGCCGCAAAGAGTGTACCGGAAACTGACTCTTTTCCCCTAGCAATCAGCAATATCAGGATATCACTATTTTCAATTCACATCTTAAATACCAGTGTTAAAAAGAATTGAGCGTGGACTTAAACCACAAGCTCGTTTACAAAATATAAAGGAGTTTGAATTAGAGAGGAAATTTAGGGAAAATTGAACAACAAGGCGAAAAAAGAATTGAGCGTGGACTTAAACCACAAGCTCGTTTACAAAATACAAAGGAGTTTGAATTAGAGAGGAAATTTAGGGAAAATTGAACAACAAGGCGCAGTAAAGTGTTCATCATTAGAACCTTTGGTTCAAATACAAGAAAAGACACTGACGATATCATCCCTCCCAAGAAATAATATCACTTAGAAAAGTTACAAATATCTTTTTTGAGAAACAGGTTTTTTGAAAGCCAAACGTCTATATATTAGGCATAACAGGGCAAGGAAATCTCGTGAGTTTCATGGTTTGCACTTCATAGCTCGACAGTGGCACGGTGGAAAACGCGTTATTTCCTGAAGTTACGAAAGCAACCGTAAGAAGTGTATGATAAGATAACGACTTTGGCCCTTATTTAATTGACGCATTATAGAATGGAACATTTCGAATAGCCCGCCTTACATCATCGTCGAAATCGTTTCGCCATCTTTTTTCACATTTAGAAGAATAATCTGCAGCAGCTGCGGCAGAAATATGTCCATATCGATTTTTCGCAACTCGCGATTCAGGTTGGCCTTTTCTCCTGAGCCAAGTTTTTCCTTGAAAACGTCGGATAATTGTTCAAAAGGCTCCTGAAAAAAAATTCCCGAAAAGGGTTTGTTTTAAAGTGGATCTGACGAGCTCAAACACAACTCACCAAACCTTTAATATCAAAACTACACTTTGATAACCTTGCGGTAAAGTTAAGGTATACATCTCGTGTACAGCACTCAGAAACACTAATCAAACTTTGAACGAAGTTGCAGTTGTCCTTTTTATGCGTAAACGAACGAATGCTATAAGGCTTAAGTTCCAGAAAAAGTGACGGAAATTACATAGATCGAAAATTAAAACCATCAAAATGAAAAAAATTACTTCAAACCTAACCTGTTTGTTCCTAGACTTGATTTTTGCTCTCTCGAGAGCCATAAGCCGCCACAACGCCAGGGTATGGGACAAACTGCAATGCTGCTCTGCCTTCAACAAGATGGCATAATCCATAAGAACCCATGAAAGAATCAAAACACTCTTAAATAAAACAATTGTTGGCGTAGGAGCAAACAGTCGAAAACAGGGTTTCTCCTTCAGTTAACTATTGGAAAATATTATTATACATCTCTCAAACATCGTTCGGATGCTGTACAACCTCTGGCGTCCAGAAATGAGTTTTTGTAGCAATAAACAAGAACATTTTGATTCAGATATTGGTGTTGTGAGCGTTGCACCAGTCAAGAAAGATGACCGCTCAAGTGAGTCTTTCAAATAATTTTCTCACCGTTGCACTCTTGAGACCTCGATCTTTGGGTAGCTTAAGTACCTCATGTATGTACCATTTTAAAGGCCTCTCCGGCTGGCCACCCGATGAGGCAAGAAAACCAATGGCAATATCCAGTGACGATATAACATCACAGACATCAGACAAGGAAGACCGCAGATCATTAATAATCTGACTTTCGACTACGCGGGAAATTGATTCCTTTAAAGAAACACTTGGTGTCAATGTCTTAGATCTTGACTACACCAACATCATAATAATGTTATAAATATATTACTGTCGACGTAACAAAAACAATTCAGAGCCGAAAACATGCTTCCTTTAACTTAAATAACTGGAGGGAAAAGTCTATCATATTAGAAAGTGGAATGTAGTACTCTTTCCGTGGTCAAGACGGATCAAAGTGGCTATAAACCTGTTTCCCAAAAATACAATCAAAGACAGACCAGATGACAAAACAGCAAAAAATGAAGCAAGATTTCGTTCCTAATGAAACTACAAAAAGTTAGTAAAGGAGTAAGGTTCTAAAGAAACTGTGGCACTGCGTCGGTGGGAGAGTATAACAGGTAATTTAGTTAACAACTGAGTTGAAAAGGTAAATTGGCCACCGTAAAGAGTTTAAAGGCTGACGTTTCGAGCGTTAGCCCTTCGTCAGTGCAAGTTATACAGTAAATGACATTGGCGGAGGTGCATGTAAAGTGATCAGTGATCTTAATGAATCTCTAGGGTGCCAACATTTTCTCTACGTTAGGAATGAAAGGACAAGTTTTGCATCGTGGACGAGCGCACTTGAAAGTTCCAGGTTGGTCACTGGTTTGAAATGAACTTCTGACCAAAAAGTTGCCTATGTTTTTGTC